AGCTTATCACATATCCCTACACACGAGTCGGAACCACATCTAGTGGTCTTTACGACAGAACTAGGTGTAAATAAGTACACTCAAGTGCTACAATCACGTGAAGACTATGAGAATAATCACAGGTCACCTACAAGTCGGAACCACCTGTAGTGGTATGTACGACATGATTGTGCACCTACCTTGGATCCAAGGTAAGCGTAAGGTGCGGAAGGTGAACATCACGTGAAAGACTGTGCCCCGGCCACGGGCAGGAGCACTAACACGGGCATGTAGGTTTATGAGTTCTAACTGCATCTATTATAACATGTACGAATCATGGGCAACCTGTACAACAGTATCGGGGTTGCCTATTATTGCAACCTGTACGACAAGGTCGGAGTTGCCTAAAGTATAAATACAGTCATGCCATAACTCGATCATTTCAAGTAACACCATAAACTTACCTGAACTTACTTGTGCGTCCTGCGTTCCTCTTCGCACTTCAAAGCATTCACAGTAATTCCTTACAGGTAGTATACATATGGATATGTCATGATGCAATCTAATAATCAACCATGTCATAGCATTTACCAGTATATACATATATATATATATATATAACATGGCGAAATATGCATAATCTGTAGCACCCTACTCCCGAACTATTTATTTTGGGAATAATTATCGAGAACAAGTCCAATTAAATATTAGTTTAATTAACCATCATTATTTATGATTCTTTACTTCAATCTTTCAATTCCTCACACGTTGATTTATGACCAATATTTAACCACCAAAATCATAAGATTAAATCTCGCATTTTCACCAACTTCATTCACATTGCTCAATTCCCAAACAAGGCTTTTGTCTCGATTATTTAATCTCATTTATTGTATGGCTACATCTAATGTCTCATTAGACTCCCTACGTATCTTAAATAGGGATCAAGCTAATTGTAGTTCACATCAATTATTTGTAGGTAACGTGCATAAATCAATTTAAACACGTTTGTGGAATTATCAATCATATGTATATATATGATAGAAATGAAATGACCCACTCACCTCAGGTCCGCGCTACGACTCCCTAGCACGTATATCGAGACATCACGAACCAATGTTGCCTAGAACAATTATCAATTCACGTCTCAGAGTTCTTACCGATAGAATACATAATTTACAAAAAAAAACACATCCCTATGTAATTCACTCCGGAAGATCTGCATCACGGATTTCTGATCTGTTACTTCCAAAGATTCATATTATGTTCCTAGAACCACGTCCTAGTATTTCAATATGATCCAACGGTCGAATGTCTGCCAATTGCCAAAACCAAGTGGCAATTAACACTTTATTTTATGAACTAACAATTCCAATTTTGGAAGATCTGTACGTCGGATTCCCAATTTGTAAGTTCCTATGGTCCACAAATATTACGTACTATAATGTATTAAAGTTTGGTGACGATCCAAGAGTCGGATCGTCAATTCACACTTTTACCAAATAACGTGACGTAGAGAATTTAGGTTCCAACCATCAACCTAAGACATACAATTACCAAGACTGACTCAAGGCATCTAATTTAGCCTAAGAATGACATCAATGGCCCCCTGGCCACGCGTTGCTGCACGCGCTGCGGTGGGTGGCGATCGGCCGCCCCGACTTGTCGGAAAATCCAACTATTTCTAAAAATTCTCAAAATTTACAAAAATGAAGATCTCAGTGAGTGGAGAAAGTTTCATACCTGCGACCAAGGTCAATTTGGCTGGGAAAAGCCCCAATTTAACACGAACCCGGCGAAACCCTATAATTTTGGTGTCCTCAATTCGGCTCTATAGCAACTACGACGCCCCTAAACTTGTTTGGGCTTTGTTCCTGAGCTTCATAGGAGTATTTTGGTGGTGTTAATTTAAGGGTTTTGTTTCAGAATTTGAGGAATGGCCACCACGAACCCTTAGCCCCGCCGTTGGCCCTTTGATGAACTTACACCCAAATTCCTTCAAATTTTAGGTGGATATGGAAGAAGGGAAGGTCAGTTAATGACTGGGAGTAGTAAATCGGTCCAAATCATCGGAAAAATGGTAGAAAGGCAATCGAAATCGTCGGAATAGAGGTCGGGTCCGTGGGTTTCGCGGGTCAAGGGGAACAAATCCGGTTCCCCTCCTTCTTCTCCTCCCTCCTTTTTCCTCCTTTCCCTCTTCCCTCACTAGGCCATCCTCTATCTTTGTCCCTCATGTGCTCTCTTCCTCCCTTCTCTTTCGTTGCCATTAGGCAGCCCCTCATTCTCCCTTCCTCTTTCTTCTTTTGTATTTTTTTTTTCTCTTAAAATTGATTCGTTACCACTCCCACATGGTGGGAGTTTGAATTAATTTATAACTAAACTTTAAATAACCAATTTTAAATATCTCTAACTATACCGATATAATCCGAACTCTCAAACGATTTTTGCCTATGCGTTCGTACCAACGAGTACTACGAGGATATCATTAGTAGAAAAACATGTTTGCGCGACCGAAACTTGCGCGACGCATCAAATTTTGTCGCGCAAAGTTTGTTTGCGCGACGGCAAAAACAAAACGTCACGCAAATGTCTTTTGCGCCACGACACTTTGCGCGACGTCGGCCTTTGTCGCGCAAAGTTTTGGTGCCAAACCAAGAAAGATTAACCATTTTTTCCCCAACTTTGCGCGACGCAGGTACAACTGCGTCGCGCAAAGCTGTTTTGCATGACGTAGGCGTCCGTACGTCACGCAAAGATGTTTTGCGCGACGCAGTTGTCCCTACGTCGCGCAAAGTGTTTTTTTTTTTTTTTTTGTTCCTTTTCCTTTTCTTTTGGGGTTCTTGCATTGCCTTTTTCTTTTGTGGTATCCACTTGTGTAAATGTTTTAAATTGACGATCGAATTGGTTCATTGTAGTCATATATGTTTAAAGAGTGTAGCTATAAAAAATTATCAAAATCGGAGTTAAAACTACCGTTAAATCGTGATTTTTTGTTTATATCCATCGAAAAGTTTTATCGCGTTCCTTGATTTCTGCATGTTTGTTTTTTGCAATTTTTGGCGCATGCGATCTCGAAGCATATGAAAACAAGTTTGATGGTTGGATCGTTGAAACTAGTTTCATAAAATGCGTATCCCATTAAAACAATAGATTCACTAACACTTGGAGTTTATTTGTACTTTCATTAAGTATAACATGAGATTTTGTGGTATCCACTTGTGTAAATATTTTAAATTGACTATCAAATTAGTTCATTGTATTCATATAAGATCCAGGAGTGTAGCTGTAAAAAATCATCAAAATCGGAGTTAAAACTACCGTTAAATCGTGATTTTTCGTTTATAACCGTCGAAAAGTTTTGTCCTGTTACTCAACCTCTGAATGTCTTTTTTTTTGCAATTTTTTGCGTATGTGATCTTGAAGCATATACAAACAAGTTTGACGGTTTGATGGTTGAAATTAGCTTCGTAGAATCCGTATCCTATCAAAACGATAGATTCACTAACAATTAGAATTTATTTGTACTTTCATTAAGTATAACATAAAGAATATTTTAAATTGACGATCGAATTAGTTCATTGTATTTATATAGAATGAAGAAGTGTAGCTGTAAAAAATCATCAAAATCAGAGTTAAAACTACCGTTAAATCGTGAATTTTTGTTTATAACCATCGAAAAATTTTGTCCCGTTACTCGACCTTTGAATGTTTTTTTTTTTGAGATTTTTTGCATATGCGATCTTGAAGCATATACAAATAAGTTTGACGGTTGGATCGTTGAAATTAGTTTCGTAGAATGTGTATCCCATCAAAACGATAGATTTACCAACACTTAGAGTTTATTTATACTTTCATTAGGTTTAACATAAAGATTTTGTGGTATCCACTTGTGTAAATATTCTAAATTGACGATCAAATTAGTTCATTGTATTCATATAGGATCAAGGAGTGTAGCTGTAAAAAAATCATCAAAATCGGAGTTAAAACTACCATTAAATCGTGATTTTTCATTTATAACAATCGCAAAGTTTTGTCCCGTTACTTGATCTCTGAATGTTTGTTTTTTGCAATTTTTGGCGTATGCGATCTCGAAGTATATACAAACAAGTTTGATGGTTGGATCGCTCAAACTAGTTTCGTACAATGCCTATCCCATCAATTTCAATGGTGTATATATATATATATATATTAAGTAGATTTAAATTTATTTATTTTGTACGTATAACACTTAAGAAATTAAAAAATATGTATATATATTAAGTACCTTTAAATTTATTGCAGTTGTTATAAAAATATATTATTGTGGGTTTTATGTAAAAAAAATTGAATTTGAAAGTAGCAAAGTCACCTTTTCAGTACATTTTATAATAATTTAAAAAAAAAAAAAGAAAAAACCTTGCGCGACGCCACTGTACAATCTTTGCGCAAAAACCCTTTGCACGACGTCGAAAGGTAAATCTGCGTCACGCTATGTGTGATAATTTTGGCGGCACACTTGCTAAAACTAGGCGCTTTGTTTAAATTTTCGCTATCTGTGATAAACCTGAGCTCTCTCTTCTCACTCGGCCTCCCTCATCCTCTCACGCAGGTGATCAAATCACCCTCTCTCTCCTTCTCGCTCACTCGGTCTCCCTCATCCTCTCACACAGGTGAATCACCCTCTCTCTCCCTCTCGCTCACTCGGTCTCTCTCTTCCCTCTCACTCATATCGACTTCCGCCTCATCCTTCATCCTCATCCTCTCCTCATCCTCTCCCGACTGCACAGCAGGTATAGACCCAGATCAGAATCAAGCTTAATTCTTTATTTTTCTTCTTTCTAAGTTCAGAATCAAGCTTTAATGCCTTAATTTGAAGATTTTGGTATTGTAATTAGATTCAATTTGGGAAATTAAATTAGAAATTGGGTTAGGAAAGTTAGGGTTTTAGTGTTAAATTGAATTTTAGGGTGGTGGGTTGGTCTGCTATGGTGTTAGTTTTCTGGTTTTTTTCTCTACTTCTTCACAAATTTTGTATTCTTACAAGTTCATATTTTTGCACCAAATGGCAAAAATATCGGTTGAAACTGCGAGCGAAGAAATTGGTTCCTCAGTTTAATCGATAAAAATAGAAGACGCATAAAGGAAAAGAATGCAGGAGTGATTAAAGAACTTAACAACTAACATGACTGCTTATGGACTCAAGTTCCAGTTAACACGATGATACGAAATACAATGTCCTACTATCACAAAAGAAACAAATGTATGTAGACAATTAGACATCTATGTTTGTTAGCTTTCCCAGTACTGGAAATCTGCTATGTTTCCATCATTTTGATTGCTATTCGCCTTTGGGATTTAACCTAGTTGCAACACAGGTATGTAAAGGCAAATGAATGTAAAGAAGAACTTTCAGTGCAGGAATTTGCAGTTCGACTTGCAAAGCACTTCACATTGCTTTACCAGCAGGTATATACTATGTAATTTAAGCCTTTTTTTAAATTAAATTTCATTAGTTAATCCCATATTGTAGACGAAAAGGAAAAATAGACGATACTTTTACTATTGTCACTACTGAAACGATGGTTGTTGTTGTTATTCTTGGTCGGCTTCCTAGTCTTTGTTTTCTCATATAACTGGTCTTCCTTTGGTTAGAGGTGCATCTTCTTCTAATGGTTTACAGTGTATATGTTATTATCACTAATTGGTGGTACTCATTAAACCAGTTATGAATTTCTGGTCACTTTAACTAATCAAGCTTTCATCTGGACAGCTCAATGTTTTTACCCTTTCCCCGAAAGCATGACTCATGGAAATTCATTAATATTTCATTTGTAGAAGTTGGTTTCTTTTAAGTTTGATTGGTTGTCTTAAGTTTGGACTTTTTTTTGCTTTGTCTCTATCTATCTCAAGCGTGAACATGAACATCTGCCCTCTTTCCCATACACACACAGTTTCACACTTGGAATACTGCCTTGTTGGAACTGCAGCAACTTCTTCTAGCCATGTTTTATGCTTTTAGTATTTGCATAATCTAGAAAGAGAGTTGTCATTTTGAAATATAAAGTTTGGACTTTTTTTTGCTCTGTCTCTCTCTATCTCAAGCGTGAACACGAACATCTACCCTCTTTCCCATACATACACAGTTTCACACTTTGAATATTGCCTTGTTGGAACTACAACAACTTCTTCTAGCCATGTTTTATGCTTTTAGTATTTGCATAATCTAGAAAGAGAGTTGTCGTTTTGAAATATAAAGTTTGGACTTTTTTTTGTTGTCTCTCTCTATCTCAAGCATGAACACGAACACCTGCCCTCTTTCCCATACACACATAGTTTCACACTTTGAATATTGCCTTGTTGGAACTGCAGCAACTTCTTCTGGCCATGTTTTATGCTTTTAGTATTTGCATAATCTAGAAAGAGAGTTGTCGTTTTGAAATATAAAGTTTGGACTTTTTTTTGCTCTGTCTCTCTCTATCTCAAGCGTGAACACGAACACCTGCCCTCTTTCCCATACATACACAGTTTCACACTTTGAATACTTCCTTGTTGGAACTGCAGCAACTTCTTCTAGCCATGTTTTATGCTTTTAGTATTTGCATAATCTAGAAAGAGAGTTGTCATTTTGAAATATAAAGTTTGGACTTTTTTTTGCTCTGTCTCTCTCTATCTCAAGCGTGAACATGAACACCTGCCCTCTTTCCCATACACACACAGTTTCACACTTTGAATATTGCCTTGTTGGAAATGCAGCAACTTCTTCTGACCATGTTTTATGCTTTTAGTATTTGCATAATCTAGAAAGAGAGTTGTCGTTTTGAAATATAAAAACGAATTAAAAAAAAAAAAAAAAGAGAAAGCTTTCTTCTCTACAACTTTAGTGTTAGAGCTATTGATCCAATAAGCTGTCAGATGTTCCTAATTGTTGTGAACGTGAGGCTTCATTTAGAAACAGAAATGAATGGTTTGTGTAATTTAACTAAATGGTGACTCAAAAGAATCATTATTGAAAACATGATTGAGTTCAGAATATATATGCAATGGGGTTTATTGTTCTATGATTAAGGAATCACAGTCATCTCAGTACTAGGAACGTGATGCGAGCACAGATGCAGGTGGACTATTTTAGCCAATAAGCTATACTTTGTTGTGAAGAACTTCAATTATAGGTATCATACTGTTATTCATGTTCACTGTTGTTTTATGTATGTAATCAAACTAGCTATGAATGTCTAGTTCTTAGGTCAACATATAAGTGTACAACAGACGAATCTCTAATTCAAAGGTAAAATTGTATAGGAGCATCCATGTCTGAGGTCACATGGTATATGGCTTAGATGAGCATTCCCTATATGGTATATTATATCATATATATTAACAGATAAGCAATTTACCTTGTCATAAAACCCACAACATTATCTGTTGCATTTAAGAAAAATGTTGTAGGATTAATTTCTAATGTTATTTTTTATGGTTGAATAAGTGTATAGATGTCGCAGTTAATCACTCGTCGTCGGAATGTGACCAATGCGCCTCCCGCATTATCAGCATCTACTGCTCCAACCGTGAGTGCTTCATTGATTAGGGAGCCTACACCCTTTGCTAAGGCCACTCCTACGGCGTCCCAGGTGCTCGTATCATTGACGTCATCAGTGTTGGTTGAGCAGCTCAGTGCACGGCGGCCGCCTCGCCCTGTCGATACCTAGTAGCTTGATGTATTAAACCTAGTTCACTTGTAGTTTTTTCTTTTTTGTTCGGATCTTGTATGTACATTTTCATATATTTTATAATTAAATACTTTTGCTTGGTTAATTAATTATTCTTTCGAATTTAATTACAATATTTATCAAAAATTTAAAATAAAAAAAAAGTTTGACCAAAACTACTCCCCACTTTGCGCGACCAATCACTTTGCATGACGCATGGATCTGTTGCGCAAACCCACTTTGCGTGACCCATGCCTACGTCGCGCAAAGTGGGTTTGCGCGACGGAGGCCATGCGTCGTCAAAGCGGGTTTGCGCGACAGATCCATGCGTCGTGCAAACCCACTTTGCACAACGCACAAAGTGAGTCGCGCAAACCCGCTTTGCAAGACGCATAGCCTCCGTCGCGCAAACCCACTTTGCGCGACGCACACCATGGGTTGTCGCGCAAACCCTAGCGTCTCAGACTTTGCGCGACGATTAACACGCGACGAAGGTTGCATCGCGCAAACCCTTAGGCAACGATTTGTGACTTTGCGCGACAAAAGTATCTACGTCGCGCAAAGTGTTTTTTTTACTAATGTATGCTAAAAGAATAAGTCATACGTCTCTCTGATGATGGTCAACGGGAGTCAAAGTCCTTGCCTCTAGGGCATTTTCGTAAATTCATTCTTTTAAAATTTATAAAATTGTAGAACTAGGGACGGGTTGTCACAGGCAGTCTAGTCTACATCTCAATTTTAATTATAAACGAACTCTTGTTTTTTTTATAATCTATATAAAATGTTGAGTTGGAAATTGGAAAAACTATATTTCATCCAATTAATCTTGAACCCCAGTAGATATAATTGAATCCTTAAATTGAGGACGGGATGAGATTCCATAAAAATAGCAATAAATTAATGAATATTATTGAGTGCATTTTTTTTACATAGAAATGGATTAAAAGAATTTATAAAATACTTAAATTAAGAATATACCTAAAATATACAGTTTAATTAAAAATAAAAGCACTTTAATCAAAAGTTGAAAAGTAACAGATGTTTAATTTAAAAAAATCTAAAATGAGGCATCTAATTTTAATTTATCCTATTTATAATTAAATAATTTAACACATTAATAAAAGTACTATTTGAGGGCATCACTATGTCATCATGATCCAATTTTCTTACCCAGTGAGATGGGCTAATGGTATCACAACATGTATCCTTTTTTATTTTAAATTTTGAACTTTTTTCACACTCATAAAAAATGACAAACTCAATACACTGAGCGTTAAAAAGAATAATACTTGTGTTCTCTCCACGAGGGAATGCACATATTCTATCTTTTGCAAATAACTTATGTTCATTCTATAAACTCTATAATCTCCGCTTAGCTACTTAATCTTCTTTTGAAAATTCCTACAAAAACTTATTCGAATTGGAGATCGTTTAGTTATTCAAATATATCAAATAAATGACAGTTTATCATGAATATGTTATTTGGGACTCAAATCGTTGATTTGTTCCATACTTGGATGACTAAACGATCTCGGATTCGAATTTTTTTTGTAAGAATAATATTCAAATGAAGATTATCAAGATTAGCGATTCCGATTATAAAATTGATACCGTGAGGATTATTTAAAAAAGTGGGATCCGCACATTCCCCCATTGAGGAGTGCAATTATTATCCAAAAAAAAAAAAGGAACTTTAACGAAAAACTCTCGGTGTTGTTCACTTTAAAGAAAAACCACATTTTTACACTAAAAAATCAATCTTGGTACTATTTACTTTACCATTTATTTTGTTCTTATCGTTAAAACTAGGTTTTCAAGTCATTTTCATTAGTTTTTTCTAAAAAAAAATGACATGTATTATAATACTTCTTGTCTATGTCATTGCGTAAGGAAATATAGATGACACTAGCTACTTTAGATCACTAAAAACTCTTCTAACTATTTGTGTTCAAAAGTACTTAACATTTTTATGAAAAAGATTAACTGGCTTCTAATAAAAACACTATTATTAGAAGCACTTCTTTATTGAAGTGGTTTAAAAAAAACATTTTCAAACGAGTCTAAAATCTAAACTAGTAATGAATTAAATATCGTCCATAGGAGAAATCAACATAATGCTTTTTTTATTTTTTGTCAAAATCTCTAATCTCTAATATTAGAAAGCCAGAAGTCAAATTTGGTGTGTCTCAAGGCTTCACAAAAAATAATTAGACTATAAAACCCTTCAAACAAAAAAATCTACAACTAGCTGAAAATAATAGAAACAAAATAGTAGGACTAAATTTTATTCTTGCTGTTTTCATGCAGGAAATTAAATTTTGGATGCAAAATTTGATGTTTTGTGATATTGCTACCCAAAAATAACAAGTGATATTAGCAATGCTAAAAGTGAAAGTCCTAAAATGCAAATATTATATGTGCATACATGATTTGCATTGGATTTTTGTGATTTTGATGAAAAGCCTGCGCAGTTTATAATTTCTTCAGTTGATTTGTGTTGAAGTGTGATTTTCTAACGCTATTGTATTGCACAGACATCTGTGAAGTATGAACACCATAGATGTGGTTTGATTATGTTAATTCGTCTTTTTGAAACCAGGAAGAAATCAGGATCCAAATTCGATCAGAATTGAATGTTTTGAGTGAGTTGGTGGTTCAATCAGCATGTACAGGTTTTGGGAGTTTGTATTCCTAACAATTTTGAAAATTTATCTTCTATTTTATGGGTTTTCAAAATGTTGGAAGATAAAAGTGAAATCGTTTTATTCTCAATGGTAGTTTCTTGACTTGCTTACTAATTTGTATGGTACATTGACAACATTAGTTATTTAGATTTAGTGATTTCATATCAAATTGGTGTCTGCATGATTCCTTTGTTCATATCTCGAGTGCAAAAAATTTCACTTTACAATGTGATTAGCGTGATGTAGAGAAGAGCTTGAACTATATTTTAAGTTGACAATTAGGTTGTCATTCATTTAGTCTATTCACAAATACAAATGCGAAGAATAAAATAAAATTTGATTCCCTACGTCGCGCGTAGCACCCGTCATTGAAAAAAAAGTAATCGCGTGCAAGAACGCTCGTCAAGATAATGTTTACCCAAATTAGTGAATCACACAAGGATTGTGTAAAAAAAAAAAGAGTTAAACTCTGTTTACTACCCTGAAGTTTCGTGGTTTTTAGTATTTAGTACATCAAGTTTTTTTCGTCCCAGAATCATACTTGAAGTGTTAATTTTGGGACAGTTTCATACATCCGTTAGTCAAACTGTTAAGTCTACCATTTACTGATGATGTGGCGTTTATGTGGACAATGACTGGGCACCACATGTCATCAAGGGGTCCACGTGGAATTTTTTTTTCTTTTTTCAGAAGGGGTTAAAAAAAAAAAAAAAACCGTCTTCTCCCTCCCTCATCCCCGCACCTTCTTCCTCCCTTCTCTCCTCCTTCCTTCCTTATCCCTCCATTCTCTCATCTGCACTAACCCACCATGTCGCGGTTCTCGATCTCACCAAGCTTCCATCTTTCAATTCTTTTCAAGCTAAAGTTTAATCATTTTTTGCACACCACCAAGAACAAAAATTTACCAACAAATTTATCCCACCAAACAAATTAAACCCAACAAAAAACAAATCCAAAAAACCAAAAAAAATTCAAGAAAAAGTAAAATAAAACCCAACCTGATCGAATCCCACCAAACAAATCAAACCAAACCTGATCGAGTACAACTTTGAGAAAATGGCGCACTACAAAAGAAAAGCACATCGGGTTGGTGATGAGTCGATATTATACTATATATTTTGCCCTAATCTTAGTAATAATTTATTGGTTATTATGTGTGAACTTTGATACTTTGAGTTATATTTCTAATGTAGAACATTCGACTTCCTTTGGAGAAGTAATCAAACGGATAAATTTTGAAGTGATTCCAATCGGAGCTTGTTTGTGAGTCTTTCAAGATGATTGTATCAAAATTTCAGATTTTTCTATCAAACCGTTTGACCGTGGCGATGAAATAAAGGTCTAGCGCACAGCTTTTCCAGATTGACATTTCTGAACATTTTGGGTATTTTGGAGATGGCATATTTTGAGAAAGATTTCTTTTGAGGATTTGTAGGGGACGTCTCCAGTTTTCAAAAGAGACCTTTTGGGACTAAATCGGAGTTGATTTGGTCGGTCAAAAGTTTGATTTTCTGAAAAATTCGAATTTCAGTTTAAATAGGAAACCTTTTATTTTCTGTTTTATTATTTTATTATGTTTCCTAGTTTTATTCTAAGACTTTTTAGGGTTTTATTTTGTGTAGTATAAATAAGACTTTTTAGCCGTTAGGGTGAGAAGGGAAAGAGAGGAGGAAACGCATAAGCCTTTGACAATTCAAGTTTATTTTCTACGTGTTTTCTATCCTTGTTCTTAATAATATTTTATTATGATTGTTCGTAACTAGTTCTTTTGTTAGGGCGAAGTCTTGAGCCTTAACATGAATTTGTGATTTTATTAATTTACTTATGAATGGACGCATGCTTGTTTTGAATTATTAATCACCACGATTAAAACTATCTAATTGTCTTAATGATTCACGACCATTAGGGTTTTTAGACAAGTAATTTGATGCAATTTCTGCTGGAACATCACCCTGAAATTGAAGAAAGCTTCTTGTGATTAGTAATTGTAAGTTCACTTAAGGTGAACATCACGCTCTTAAGGGTTGCATGGTTTTTCAAAGGGTTTTCACAAAGCTTAATGAGTCTTGCATGTTTACATTTGATCTGAACATCACAGACGGGTTGCATGTTAGATATATGTTTTCGCTTGAACATCACGAGGAAAATATGTGTTAGGAAAACCTAACTTTCAAAGCATGTATGTAGAAATTCATAAGTAATTGATAAAATTGCGTAGGATTGTTAAGGGGACGGCGGAACCCTAGGCTTTTACAAATTGATTTTCTTTAAATTGTTCTCTAGTTAATTTCTTTAATTGTTTTTTATTTTAAAATTCGTTTTCATTATATTAAATTCTAAAATCAACATTTTCCAAACTTTGTTTTAAATAATTAATTAAGAGTTGGTTTTAAACACAAATTATTCATTCAATCCCTGTGGAAAACGACCTTACTTGAGCTGCTATACTACAACAACTCTGTACTCTTGCAAGTATTTTTAAGTGTTTTTATCCTTACTTTTGTAGGTGGTAAAAATCCTATCAGTTGGATCTGGGTGTCGTCGACATTGATCTCAAGAGCAAACAAAAGAAAAGCACATGGGTCAATATGTACCCAACCTTTTCAATTACGCTACAAAAGAAACCCTTTGGAGGTGATGTGACGGAGAGAGAGAAAAGACATCAACAGGAACCATGTCGGGTTGGATCTGGATGCCGTCGACATCGATCTCAAGAGCGGCGATTTGGTGAACTTGTGGATCGAGTACGATGAGTCGAGTCAGGTCATCAACGTCTTGGTTTCGTACTCGAACCTGAAACCCAAAGACCCTGGTTACAGAAGAGAGAAGGGAGGGATAGGGTGCGGGGGATGATGGAGGGAGAGGGTGCGGGTGCGGGGATGAGGGAGGGAGAAGACGGTTTTGTTAAAAAAATCCACGCGGCGCCCAATCATTGTCTACATAAGCGCCAAGTCATCAATTAACGGCAGACTTAACAGTTTGACTAACGGATGTATGAGACTGTTCCAAAATTAACACTTTAGGTATGACTCTGTGACGAAAAAAACTTGATATACTAAATGTTGAAAACCACGAAACTTCAGAGTACTAAACAATCTTTTGCCCAAAATAAAATAATAAAAAAAGAAGAAGGATTGCACAAATAAAATAAAATAACCAGCCCACATAAGCAAACCCAACAACCAACGTTGGGCCCAACACAGTTAAAATGATGGGCCTGAATCAAGACTACATGGGCTCACAGCTAAAAACCCAATTGACCCAACCCAAAAATTGAAGTTAAATTCTGAAAACAAACCCAAACCCAACCCCAACCCCCAACACCCCCCACCCCACAAAACCCCCCCGCCCACTATATCTTGCAGCGAAGTCTGTACAAAATACATTGCTTGCTGTAAAAGAAGAAGGAAGAACCAGAGAGCAAAATGGAGGCACCGAAGACGATCGAGCACCAAATCGGAGGAATCCAGAACGACGCCCTTCGGTTCGGACTTCACGGCGTCAAGAGCGACCTCGTCGGCGCTCACCCTGTCGAATCTGCTTTGGAATCGGTATTTTTCCTCTCTCTCTCTCTCTCTTGCTCTCTTATCTCTCTTGATTTGCGTTGCTGTTTGTTTGGAATTGAAGATGTGTGATTAAATTTTGTTGATTTGGGTTAATTTACTTGTTGGGTTTTAGGCGAAGGTAACTCAGGAGCAGATAAATAGGAAAATCTTGGGGTACACTTATGGAAGTGCGTTTCCACTGAAGATGGATCTCGAAAGGCAAATCCTTTCTCGGTATGCGATTCTTTTGTTTTTGTCGAATTCTGACTTGTGTTTGTGAATTGTTGTAATGGGTTCCTCTTATTTTTATGATTGAGTGGAAGTATACATGTGTTGCTATGTTGAAAAGTTAGGGTTTTTTTCTTTTGTTGTATTTGTATATTACGCCGACTTTTTATGCGAAACCTTGTTACGTTTTTTGTTTGGAATCGTTGTGGAATTGTTGGTTATGTATCGGAAGGGTTTTTCAGTATGAAACTTTTGCATTAGAGCTTTGTTGGTGGTTCTGTCTGTGTAGGTGTTAATCTCTTTCTACAGTTTGTGCTCTTAGGTTGTGCCCGATTTGGGTCATTATCTCTCACTCATTGACGAAAAACTGATTCAATTAGGAATAAGATGATGGAAATTCGTGTTCTTATGTTCTTTCGCATCCTCTATATTGAGTTGATTATAACACCAGGTCCCTATCAATTTGAGGTGCTTTTAGTTTTATCAGATATCCAGACTGAGTATGAATGTAAGCAAGAACTTACAGAATCTTGTTTTGTAGTCTGAGTTTTCTCTGAAGTCCGTATATTATTGGTGGATGTAATTGTATATCATGGAGCTTAAAACACTGAGTGTTTATTTTCTTTAGTTTGTATACACCAATGCTTTCTAGTTTAGGTAGTGCATAAATTTGTAAACTGGAGTTAAATCTGAGTCACTAATCGTACCTCTATTCTTTGAAACAACTGCAGATTCCAGAGGCCTGCTGGACCAATTCCTTCTTCAATGTTGGGTTTGGAGGCTATGACCTGGAAGATTGGATGATTTTGGCTTTGAGGATTACCTGAATGGTAAGAAAATACTCTTCTTATACCTAGTAAATAATCTTGCTATCTGAAGCTTTAACTGTTCCTGGTTTTCTCTTTGAACTATTTGTTTGAACTCCTTCAATGTTTATGATCAATTGGAGCCTTATTACATTCCTCTTTGTAAATAGGTCACCAACCAGGGTCCTCTTGTACTTGCCTCGTTTAAACATCCTTAGTAAGCCCCATGAGTTAGAAACATGCAGCCTTTTTTGTTCTGATCAATTCATTTTTAAGTAGTGTTGATGTCATTAGGAGTTTGTGTTCTGTAATTTGATTTGTCTTTTAATTTCTATTCATCTTCAAGATGCTAAATATAACAATGAGGGGTCAGTAAGTAATGATTTGAAACTTCTTCTTGAGTGGAATTATCACTTTTTGCTCTAAACTAGTGAAGTTTTATCCCCTAGATGGCATATATTGTTTTAATTGCATGCTGATCCCTGAAATGCAGTTAGTATGCTTATATTTTGGAACTTGCATACTTATAGAAGCCGAAGCTTCTAAGGTGGTCAGTTGATCTTCGTAAAACCTAGGAAGTCCAGATTGTCCAATTTTCCTTAAATCAATCACCTTTTCTTGAGTCATTCCCCAGAAAAGTCTGGTCTGCCTGGTTGGTTAGCTATATTATGGAGCCGTTTTAGCAAGTGAAATGCATACAGATGTTTTTTTTTGGGTGTTTTGGTTTCTTATATGTTTCATTGTGCTATTTGCAGACCCCCGGGAATCTGAAACCTTCCGGCCTGTGGACACACATCATGCAATGGAAGTTCGCCTTGGACTTTCAAAGGGTCCAGTCACCCCAAGCTTTATGTGATCCCTGTAGACTTCCTTCCCGAAAGAGGAGGATTGTAACCTGGCGGTTGTCATGCATGGGCTTATACTTCGATGCGAACGTTGTTCTTAAAATTTGATTGTCTGTGGCGCTGTGAGTAGAAGGTCCAGGCATTGATATTGTGGTGTTACATGTACTCTGTAGTAGTATTGGGTTATCTTCTATCCAATAACAGTTCCTCTATTTGGCACTTCAATTTATTTTTGAAAATTTAGCTCCCCTCTTTGATCTTGGCTGTGGCCATGCGTGTGTTTCTATCAGAATCCTTATAACTCTGTTCCATTCACGTTGCTTCGGATTTTGATTACTAAATGTTGCTCGTCAAAACATTCTTAAACGATATTGTGATTTCCACTCCTGTTTTATCCTTCTGCACTGCTCCCATTGGTGAATAGGTACAATATGAACGCCAGATTGCATGTGTACATTTTTTCGCTTGATGCAAGCGATATTAGAGGAAGGAGAACACAAACTCATAATCTCAAATGCAAAGATAAACATTAGAGTTTTGGCTCGTAAAAAGCATTTTGTAGAGAAGCAGGTGTCAAATGCTTCTTTAGAAGGAACTTCCATGTGTTTTTACAAAAAACACTTCGAATTAAAAACACTTCTAACAAAAACTGGTCCTATTCACGCAAGCTAGTTCTAGACGCGCCTTCATATGAATGTCGTTGTGCTCACTGACATTCGAGCCTTTCATATGAATATCATTCGTGCAAGCTATTCGAACTACAAAAATCATTCTAAACTCTGCTTTTTTATGTCACAAACGTTACAGTCTAGTGATACTGTTTTACATGCGGATTATTTTGTTAGGCACATAAGTAACAAATTTTGAAAAAGATGAAGAATCTTTTGAGAATCTTGTTATGTCATCGTCAATGGCCCTGTGCATAATGCCCAATGGCAGAAGCAGTCACCATTTTTGTTCCTACTTTCAAACGATAATGTAAAAAAACATCAACGACAGTTACGAAAGGGAAATTTCCCACTTCTTTTTCACGCGCTCCGCATTTCTCTGCTGCTTCCCGTCTTCTCCCTCCCCTCGCCAATCAAATCCAACGATCCAAACCCCCCAAACTTTTCTCTCCGCACCCCAAAACCCACTCTCCCCACCCCCCAAAACCCTCACTCCACACCCACAAATTCCCAAATGGACCCTCGCCGGCCTCCCCGCGCAGTCAGCGACCCCAAGGTCCGACAAGTCGGGTTCTTCGCCTCGCCCGACCCCATCGCCTCCTCCTCGCCTCCCGTCTCCAACTCCCCCTCCGGTAACTCCCTCTCTCCGGTAATGATCCCCCCGCCACGTCACTCCTCCGACACCAGCCGTCCGGTTCTTTTTCCTACGGTTCCCGCCTCACCGGCCCGCCGAGAATCTGTACTCGTCGAGAGTTACAACAACTCCTCTGAGCTCTTCCCCGCCTCGCCTCCTACTGCGTCGTCGTCGTATGGAATTGTGATGGGGAATGGTGAGTTCCTGAACGACGTCGTCATGTCGCCGGGTCGAACATTCAGAAGAGTAAGAGCAGCTGGCGGTTTGACAACGTCTTCTTCGTTTCCTAGTGGAGGGTTCGATCTGACGGCTGCCGTGAAGGCGAGTAGCGTCCCCGCGAGTGGGTTGATGACTGTCTCCGTGGTTAAGATGCCTTCTGGGATTTCTGGTAATTGCTGATTGCTGTTCGATTACTTTGATTTGATTTGGGATTTTAATTTAGCTCAGGCATATTGTGATTGCTAAGCTTGAAGAAACAAAGATTGAAACTTTTGCAGAGAAAGATGTTGATGCATCAACGGAAGTGCAAAGCGAGCGAGCTGGGAATTCGAAGCCACTGAAAGAGAAAACCACGAAAGCCGAAAGGCGGGCCCTTCAGGAAGCTCAACGAGCAGCTAAGGCCGCTGCGAAAGGTATGTTTTTCCAGCTTTTACTGATTCACAAGTGGTTTTTAATAGAAATGTTATTGTATTCAAAGAATTCGAATTTCGTATGTTGATTATGAATGTGTTCCTTGCATTGTGTTATTAGCTGATGGAGGTAAAACACCTTCTGTTGTTGCTTCTGCTTCGGCAGCAGCAAATGTGAAACCGCCTAAGGCCACGAAACTTGTGTCACAATCATCTGTGGCGGTATCTGAGAAGAAGGGCGGTGGCGGAGGTGGTGGCAATGAACGTCCGCCGGAGAAAGAGAGGAAGAAAGAAGTTCCTCATCCGCGAATGCAATATGATGATAAGAGTCGTGTGGAGAAGGCGAAAAGGCGGTCGGTGGTTAAGCAAACTGAGGCCAGGAACAGGGTTGAGTTGTTCAGGCATTTGCCTCAATACGAGCATGGAACTCAGCTTCCTGATCTCGAGTCCAAGTTTTTCCAACTTGACCCTGTGCATCCTGCTGTTTATAAGGTATTTAGATGATTACGTCAGCTTGTTATGGTTTGAGCCTTTTGCTTGATGATGTCGAGAGGTTAATGTGACTATAAAAGAGATTATGGTTCCATCTAATTGTAGGCTTTTGTACGAATGTCAGGTTGGGTTACAGTATTTATCAGGAGATATATCGGGTGGTAATGCTCGTTGTATTGCCATGCTTCTAGCACTTCAGGAGGCCATTAAAGACTATTCGACGCCACCAGAGAAAACCCTGAGTAGGGATTTGACAGCAAAAATAAGTAGTTACGTTTCATTTTTCAGTGAGTGCAGACCACTTTCAATCACCATGGGGAATGCAATTCGGTTTCTGAAGAGCCGAATTGCCAAGTTACCTTTATCTATGTCCGAGTCAGAAGCAAAAGCATCTCTCCAGTTAGATATTGATCGGTTCATAGCCGAGAAGATTATACTTGCTGACAACGTGATAGTCAAGCATGCAGTTAGCAAAATCAGGGATGGTGATGTTCTTCTAACGTACGGGTCATCCTCTGCAGTTGAAATGTTGCTATTGCATGCCCATGAGCTTGGCAAACAGTTTCGCGTTGTGGTAGTAGACGCTCGTCCAAAGCTTGAAGGACAGCGTTTACTTCGTAGGTTGGTGGGAAAGGGCCTCAGCTGCACTTACACTCATATAAATGCTGCTTCCTATATCATGCATGAAGTTACTCGAGTTTTTCTAGGCGCTTCTTCAGTGCTGTCTAATGGAACAGTTTACTCAAGGGTTGGGACTGCTTGTGTTGCTATGGTAGCTCATGCATTCCGTGTACCTGTATTGGTATGTTGTGAGGCATATAAGTTTCATGAAAGGGTACAGCTTGATTCGATATGTTCTAACGAGCTCGGTATGCACTCGTAGCATAGAGCTTTGGTCATTCTGAAAAGTTTTTATAAGAAGTGCTTGCTTGGTTACTCGGGTAATGGTTCTTCTTGCAGGTGATCCAGATGTCATTTTAAAGGTTCCTGGGAGGGAGGTCAATCCTTTGGATGGTCACGGCGAATTGTGAAAATCTTCAACCGCTGAATCTGATGTACGTAAGGTGTTTATTATTCTGTTGTGTTGTGCACTTAACGCGATTCTCAGCTTTAATCTCCCTATAGTAACCGTGCACTCCTGTTTTAATTTGTCATTGGCAGTTACTGATGCACTGCCATCAGATTACATTTCAATGATAATCACGGATTATGGCATGGTAAGTCCCTTTCTTCTTGTTGCAACAAATTCTGAACTTGCAAGTCATCACGACGACTCATGGCTCATGAGATTACTTCTGTTCATTCTCATTAGGAAAAAGACTGATGACGCGTATGTTTTTGTGCTTTTGTTAGGTTCCGCCCACAAGCGTGCCCGTCATTGTGCGCGAATACGGAAAAGAACACCTGTGGATGTGATCATTTTAAATTCCCCTCTCGGAAATGGTCTTATGGTTCTCGAGTTTTCTTCAAAATTATATGTGCATGCTGAAATCAGTGGATTCGGAGTCAGCAGCCTTTAGCAAACAAGAAGACCAGAGCCAGAAGTTCCTCTTTTTTTTAGCTTTTGATCTCACTCACTCTTATCTGTGTCCGTCTCTGGATTGAGTCATTGAGACACAAGTCAGATGTTTTAAATTTATGTTACACAAGTTTTGCATGCTCTACTTGGAAGTTGTGGTATTGGTCTGTTTTAATGACCGGGCTCTGCATGTGGTCCAATATACTAGCCGATGGAGTGTTGAGTTTCACCAATGCTTCACGTGTTCGAAACTCTATTATCTTCTAAATTATTGTATTAGTTTTAAACTCTCCTCCTCACCTTAATAATTATAAATTAAAAAAATGCACCATCTCGATTTTCAATTCTATTCATTTATTTTTATACAAAGCTATATGAGTAGGAAGAGAATCAACCACAGGACCTCAGGCGTAAATATGAATGCTCTTGTAACACTTCTGTTACAGTCTCTTGCCATTGATTACAATTTACATCTTAAGAACTCTAACTGGATGATTATACAATTTTCTTCTTTTACAATCCAGATCATTATTTAAAAACGAAAGTGCAACGTTCCAAATCAGCGAATATTTTGAGTCGCGCCTGAAATTGCCACCCTATTATCCTAAATGGAACCTCCAGATGCCAAATCATGCCATCAATAAACCAAGACATGAATAATGATAACCAGAAAGGAGACCCAAGCCAACAAGGCTTCCTGATTTACGAGGGGAAGGGGACAAACTTCTCTCGCACACAGCCTTACCCTTGCTTTGCAAAGAACCAATAATGATAACCATTTTGCAAAAATAAATAAATAAATAACAGATGAGAAAGGAAGAACCAAAGGAATTGTTACTTTAATACACTCATCTTTTGACAGTAACAAAATCTTGTAATCCATATATTAGGGTACAATTATGCCTTCTTTGTGAACTAAAGTCAGTACAGTTGAGCAGCTTGTGCTTACTCTATTGGTCCTCTCAGAACATCACCTCTATTATTATTCATCGGAGTAATAACGGCAAGGATAACAAAACCTCCCAGAACAACGACCAATATTCCGAGAGAGTTCACGAGCAAAGCCTCGGTCGAATAGCGTGAGATTACTTGGTGGGTTTGGAGGAAGGTGACTTTTTCTAAAATACCAGTAGTTACTGTAACAACAGCAAGGGCGTAAGTATAAACACCGAAAAATACATGCCATGGCAGCAAGTTAGCTCTGCTGTGTTTCGAGCCTCCTGGGAACCAATACGTTACAAATCCAGCAGCCCACTGGGGAAAAGAAAACCTCGGTGAAAACTGGCTAAAAAAAAAGTAGTACAAGCTATCTTCTCAGGCAAAGAAAAACAGTAACTATAAAGGTACCTGGAGGGTGAAGAGGAATAAGCAAGCTAGACCCAACCAGGAATGCAGACTGTAGAAGTTGTCAATGCCTTATCGTTGTGGAACTTCAAAGCAGCCCATACGCCGATGATGCTTAAGCAAAAGGCAAGGAATTGTAGTGTAAGATGAACTAATTTTTTGAAGTTTTTTGTTCCTGAAACCGTCTTGTATGCTAGCATGGCTGCATCATCGTAGAAACATGGGATGGTTCAAATTCATAGCAATTTTGGTAAGCATACAGGTAGTTGATAACTTCACAGATTCCATAGAATCCCCTATAGAATTATTTCACATTTAAAGCAAAGGAAATAAAACCACCTGTAACTGAAACACAAGATGAACAAAAAAATATACTTATTGCTCTCTCACAACTCTTTGCGAAAGGAGGAAAAAGTAAAGTACCCGATTACATCTAAAATCCATCAAGAACATTTTTAACATACGATACGATTATACTTCTACAAACACATCAAACTTATCATCCTTGGCCTGCTCTTGGAACTCATTGTATTGGGACACAATCACCCAAGGTAATCACAATAACTTTAATGCAAGATTACGAGAGAGAGAGAGAGAGAGAGAGAGAGAGAGAGAGAGAGAGGGAGGGAGGGAGGGAGACGCATCATTGAGAAATCCGTAACTAGATACCGGGCCAAGTGCCCTAAGAACAGAAACTTTACCTTCTCCATTGAGCAGTATCAACCCAATCACCATTAATACGGGATGAACCTACAAGAAACACAACAAACATATAAATTTGAGAGAGGAGAGAGCAATGGGAATGCACCAAATGCTTAATTTACAAAGAGAAATTTCTCCTAGATCAAACAACCAGGAAATTGGCCAAAGAAGCATCAATTTCCAGCTCAAGATGATAGTGAACTACAAAAATTTAATAGAATGAGCTTTCTTGATCGGGACAATATCATAATCTAATCCAAACTAGGAGAATGAAGATTCGAACTTGAGTGGAGCGGGGATCACACGGAAGATACAAGCAAAGAAGAGAAACATAGTATTGCATAACTCGATAACAATTAAGCTTTAAAACAAATTACATGATAAACCCAGTACCCAGTCGAAGTCAACTAAGCAAACCCATCAACCATTAAACAAAATTCGAAATTAATTTCCCAGCAGATTAATGTAAAAGAAATTCTGAAAAATCAAGATTAGAACTTTAAGTAGAAGAAAGTGAGAGAAAATGAGGATTTGGGCAGAGACGTACATTGAAAATAAGACTTTTGTCATCGGAAATGAGAGCCAATCCACCACGGAAATGAACGTTCCACGTGAGCACCAGAGCCGCCACCATCACTCCTATAACCCTCACTGCATTCAAGATCGGGAACGGGACCACCGGAACCGCCATTTCTTCTTCTTCTTCCTTAGGCTCTGAAATCTTTCAGAGACGGAGAATTTAGGGTTTTGACAGGGAAAGAAGGGGGATTTATTTTGGGGATTTGGATCTGTTTCCTGCGCGGACCGACGAAGGTGGTGGCGGTCGAATGATCTTCAGGCTTTCTTTCAACTGAGATATGACACGTCAGCTTTATCTGGGAGCTATTTTGTGTTTGGTAAACACTCAGCTTCAGCTTTTTTTCACAGTTTTGGATGAAAAAAAGCCAAAAACAAGAAGCTGCAAAACCCAGCTTTGAAAAACCGGCTTTTTTTCACATCTGTTTTACATAAAAGTTTACCAAACACTCTGATACTGCTTTTTTTCTTTTCAAAAGCACTTTTACAAAAAAGTTTACCAAACACTCTGCTGCTTTATTTCACAGCTGCTTATTCTCACAGCACAGCAGAAGCAGCTTTTTTTCAAAGCACAGCAATACCAAACCAGCCATTAGTCCACGTAGGACCGTTCTTCTTTATTTGGGTTTTTTGGCTCGTGACCATAATGGAACCGGATTCTCACATGACTCATTGAAATTTGATCAAACGGCTACAATTATTATAACTTTTAATAGAACCCCTTGTTTGTAGTCGTTGGATCAAATTTCAATGGCTCAGATCATTTGATGAGTGAGCTCAGTTTCTTCGGGTTTGGAGGGGTTCCGGTTCCGACCATACTGCTCTCCTGCTTTGTGTATTCATTTTGTTATGCCGTTTTAGTTAAAATAGTAAGATTTACATAATTTCTCACTTTTATCCCTAAGACTTGAAATTGATAGAAGCGATCGTTGAGTTTCTCCACCTCAATCATTTTCTGGTACTTCTGTGAAAAACTTCTGTTAAAAAAAAAAAAAAAACTTAAATGATCAGAATACCCCCAATTTGATAAACAATGAGTCAAAATAATTTGACAAAAATTTAGAATATTCTTTGTCATTTTAGTTTTTATTTAACTGAAATTTTTCACAGATTATAGACTAAGATTATTGTTCAAGAGCTTCTAGTCACAACCAACGTTTATGTCTCGACGTCAGTGTTTTAAAAGGCTCGCCTAGGTGTCCTCTGAGGTTGGGCGTCAGGGTTCCTGCCTTTGTTTTGAGGGAGTGGGCGGAAGGCTTCGCCGAAGACGCCAAGGCGACGGAGGCGCGCCTCAAGACGATGCCGTTTGGTTAAGGATTTTTAATCTCCAATCTCCATACGGACCATACCTCATCTCTTTTCTTCAATCGCGCCTTTGCCTTCTTCACTCCTCTCGCGTCGCCAGACCAAAACACACAGCAGCTCAGCCATTGTCACCCCACCGACGTCACCTAGCAACATCGCCGTCAGCAAGCGCCCACAAATTCCCAATTTTAAAGGTTAGGGTCTCTTGAGATTTTATTTTTTTATTTTACTTTATTTTAATTTTTTTTATATAGTTTGTGTGTGATGATCTTACCGGCGAATAATTGATATTGGTTAAAGTAGATACAAAGGCTATGATCAATATAATACTAAAATATATAAAACTACATAAACAACATTGTAACATTATGACACAAAACTACATAAACACCATGTACTGCTTTGCATTTTCAACTTCCCCGAGCAGAAGATGGCAACTAGTACCAACAATAGGAAGCATATTCAGACCATACAACACATTAAGGTAGTAAAAGCACACTAATAATAGGAACAGCTACAAATAGATACAAAGTATTATTGAAAATGGATTTGAATGAAAAATTGAGAATGGATGTTTATTATACAAAATATTATTTTTTATACAATTATATGTATAATATATAAAACATATATATTAAAAAAAAAAAAATTTAAGACGAGGCTATCCTTTGGACGCCTAGCCCACGCCTCGGCCTTCTAATACATTGCTCGACGCTCAATAGTTTAATGAAAAATTATCTTGTTTTCGAGGCATTCTCGCAGAAGAATTAGCTGATTGACAAACAAGAGATTCCAAGCTCAAAACATCCTTCAAACAACTACAGCACAGAGAAGACACAGCACAACAAAGCTCTTTCTGGTAAATACTAAAAAACGACATTGAATTTACATGTACACGTACATAAATGATCAAGTCACCGGAAGATTACATCAGAAACCTAAAGAACGAGAAGAAGACATAAAAACAGTGATTGCCTCAAACTAGAGGTTCTGATTTACCAATTCTAAACATGCGCTCGTCTACTGATGTCCAAGATAACTATCTGTTCAGGGAAGGGGTAAGGACTGCAGAAAGAGCCTTAACCAGTTATCAAAAGCATACCTTTTCTAAGCCTATTTTGTTTTGGAACCGTACCAACCCCTCAAGTCACAACCCGTCCGAAGGAATGCCACGAAGTTTGTATACATGGGGTTGGTACTAGACTCAGATTTTACTGTGTTTTTATTTGACAACATCGTTAACGCGTGCAATACTTAACGCTGGAAGCTCAACTTTCTATACATTAGGCTGCCACTGTTGACAATCCTGCCCTATTCTATACACTTTAGACTATCAACTCTTAGCAACCCTCACTGCTCACTACCTGACTAATTCTTCAGCCGACGCTCTTCTGCATGCTTCTTCAGATCCCTTCAATACCAAATAATCCAATAAATGAGCAAAAAAATAGAGCAATTATGGTAATGCAGATAATGAAAACGAAACGAAAAAGCAAGACCCCTTTTTGTGTGGAGGGGATGGTGGCTAAATGCAAAGAATACTCACATGCAACGCGGTGTGGTACAATTCAGTTTTCTACAGTTTAACGAATGCAAAATCAATCCGGACCATGCCTTCTTACAGAACTGACAACCTCCTGAAGCCCGAACCGTGCACTTGACTGCATGGTAGATTAACTTCTTCATTTGGAGGCAGTTTGGGTAAAAGCAAGGCTGACTCTTGGCTGGGTAACATGTAGTTGCATGCTGTAAAACATCTAGCAGTTCCCTTATCTGCACCACATTTTTACGCTATAAGTCTAAAGCATAATGACCTGACAAAGAAACTGAACATCACCAAAAACCGTACACACGCATGCACAGTGCAACTTTTCCTTTGGCCAACTAAAATTACTATTTGCAAAGAAGAAGGAATGATGAATATTATATTTATCATTATTTTTAATAATAATATTATCATGAGAAAAGATGAAAACTACTACATGCAAGTCCAAAGAAATGTTGAAATATTAAAAATTATAACTTTTATACCAGAAATCCTTTTTTTGGTGCCTGTTGACTCTCTGTCGTATGGCTACGGCTAGCTGAAGAACTTAGAGTCAACTTATGAATATGACAAGAGCTTCCTTTCTCTCGATAGCATGTTGCACAAGCATCAAACTCTGGGCACATTTCACACACCCATCTCTGATCAATCACAGCATCCTTATGGCACAGACTGCATGTATTCCCAGAAGTTAGCGCAGTAGCATTATGGAGATGATGCAGAATCATTTTTGAGGAATACTTGGCCCGGCGAAGTGTGCCAAACTGATAGTGTTTTTTCTCACACAAGCTCAAGAAACCTATGCCTATTCTCAAGTAAATTGTTGTTCGAAATAACATCTTCGTCCTTAGTGTCAGAAAGCATATCCTCCACCACAACCTGAAAAAGAGCAAAAGTCATACGAATTAATCAGATTTAATTTTTATAAGTACAAATATATCACTCAAACAATTAACGGGAGCATATATTTAAATCTACAATGCATTTGGTAAAACTGGTTCCTAGGCCGGTTCATATTATTTTAAGCTTGGTAGATGTTACCACCTAATTGACTGGTATAAACTTGTAAGTTTCCTTTGCCACTCGCTTAGTTATCTACCGGGCAGGCTAATAGAATACCATAGAGCTCATAAGGTTTAAAGTTCACCTGAGAAAGCACATGTCGTTCCATGTTGATGGAGATGTGAATGTCCTGTCCACAATTTTTGCGCTCAGCGTCATGGCATCTGCAACATATACATTCAAAAAGTAAATAGAGATAAAACGTTACACATCAATTATGTAGTAGTGCTCATCCCACTCGTTCCTTGATGGGAAATAAGATATCAGGTAGCTAAGAAGGATGAACAATACTACATTTCAATGAGAACATTCTTATTAAAGGAGACATAAAAAGTTTGGAAGAGAAGGAGAGACTTCAGAGTGATTCATTACCTTCCACAGAGGTGAAAACTTTTGCACTGACCACAAGACCAGCGTCGTCCAGATAATATTGCTTCATGACAGTGCGTGCAAACATACTGCATGTCGACAATTATAAAGTCCTCCTTACTCTGTAAAATGGTTTGACCCATCTAAAAAGGAAGACGCAACAAAATAAGATCGAGAGATAATAACAGGTAGAAAAAGAGGGTAAATCTATTAATAGCATTAATGCAACTGACAATGCTCGTGTAAATAATTTATTCTTTCCGAAGACCTATTGACTGTTATCATTGTTGAAATTTAAGGCTAACACTCACACACTCAAATATATTGATATTGTGATCAAGGAATAGATATTTCCCAGGAAACCACAGAATCTGGATAATATATTGCCCGCCTTACACCCTAGGGAAGTAGCAGATCAAAATGAAGGTGATCGTATTAATCAAGCATTAGTTTGTGCTCTGTTTGTACCCATATCTATCAGAGTTCACACACTGGTCTCACTTGACTAGATAGGGTACATTTTAAGCCACCAAGGTTGCTTCATCTAGAGTATGCAAAGTGAAGAAGTAGATAATTAGAAGATAGCTTTTAAGCCACCAATTTAGTAGGAAGAATTAGAAAGGAAAAGGTTTAGAATACTTACTCTCTGCATCAGAAGAATATCTTTAGTAGAGCCATCAGAAGGATTTGTATGCCCCATGGCTTTCAAAGTTCTCTTTGTTATTGTTTTCTTCGATTTCTTCTGCGTATCTGCCATCCCTTGTTCAATCGCCCTGATCGCATCCTCGGTAGCACCAGACCAATAGTCACCATCAAAATATGGCAAACGAGTTGCTGTTACCTTGGAGTTACATTCCCCAGTGGGGATAAAAAACCGATCATATAAATTAGTGTGACTGACCACAATTTTTTCTTCAGCTGCTTTTTTATCATTGACTGATACCTGCACAAGTGAATTAGTTAAAATCAGAGAAGGAAAATATGCAGAAATGCATACACAAAGACAAACAAACACACATGAGAGAGAGACAGAGAGAGAGGGAAACCATTGCCGCAGCTTCTCAGGCTTGGGCATATTCTGCATTTCTGGATGGCAGTGTAATATATAATCTTCACCCTTTAAAGGGGCACACGCCCATATGTAGGAGGTAACAAAACCTCGTTTCTTGCAAAACTCAAGGTAAGCTATCTGTAGAAAAAATAGCAAAACAGAACATGTAAGTAAACATGTGTCAATTTACATAGCAATAACATGGGACTAAATAATGATAGGGAAAAGAGGTAACTACCAGTATTTCATGATAAACAAACGTACGAAGAGCTTCTCCAGTCACGGTTTTTATCTCTGGCCTGAAGTACTTAATAGAATCCAGATATGAGATATAAACACAACGCTTATTCGGGTGACTACATTCTGAGCCAAACTCCTGCACATACAATCCAAAAAGGCATACATCTACTCCTTCAATCTTCTGAAACAAAAGAATAACCTGGATGCAAAAAGAAAAAAAAAAGTGCAATTAGGTTTTCCTGAAGTTGTAACAAACAAGCAATTATACTGATGGAGAGGAGATTCAGTGGGAAAAAGAAGTCTATGGATTGTAAAAGCTGTCTCACCTTTGATTTGTATGGGAATTCAGCAGGGTAATTCTCATCATGAAAGAGATCCAAAAACTTCTGCTTAACTTTTAGTGTTTTTTGAACAGATAACACTACTCTCACAACAAGATCTTCCGCTCCTGGAACCTAACAATCATCAAACAAAACATAAACAATAAGTAGACAGAAAGGATTGTATACCGTAAATACATTCTGTGTGAATATCAAAACAGGACTTTCAAGTTAAAATTTAATTTACATTGAACCAAAGTGATTGAGTTGATTAGCATGTGACTTAAAGGCAGAGTATTTATTCTCATTAAATTGGATATATTCTTTTTACACTTTCAACAAAACAAACCATTTAGACAACAGAACCCTCTGTTCCCGGGACCTAACAACCCATTAAGAAAAAACATAACAAACAAGCAGCTTCAAAGGACTTTAGATTATGAACATTTCTGTATGATGATACACACACGATTATCCAAAACAAGCAACTTCATTAGATAGAAAATAAAGATCAAGCAGCCCATGATTAAATTGATTATTCCTAATCGCTAGGCATTCATCTCACGAAACCTATCCAGTGATCAAAATTGCGCAAATCTCAAAACAAATAAAATTCTCAGTAGAATGAAAAATAAATCAGATAAGCTGAAAGTACAAAATTCCAAATCGGAGGTTGCTTCTTACCTCAAAAAACTCTTTTCCTTCGACCTTTGCTCTATCTTCTCTCTCTTGCTTGAGGCGCCTAAAGAGTCTTTGTTCTATATGGTCACTAAGCATGGTAGTTGGCAGATCTTTTGCACTGAAAACAGAACTCTTTGGTAAGTTCTTGAGCTCCCCACATTCTGTTTCGTTTAACAAGCATTTGAGACAAGTGTTCTCAGCTTGGCCTCTCAAAGCACTTTTATCATTCAAGACAGCACATATCTGATGTTGCCAGCCCTTGCATTTATCACATTGAACCCACTGCAAGCACATAAAAAGCCTCAGGAATTAAGTAATTACTTTCAAGATCTCAGAAGATAAGAAGACAGTATGACTTTACTTACCGGTTCTTCAGTTTCCTCATTGTTCTTCTTTCTACCAAGTGTTGCCTTTGAGACACGGATCCCATGAAATGAGATATTTCCTCTTCGAGACCCCTTATAGCACAAGTTACAAAAACAATATCGTGAACTACGCTCGTCTAGTGTGCAGTAATAGTTTACACCGCGCTTGATACGGAGACCACAGCATGAGCAATATATTTGTGCAGGAGCAAAAAACAGCTTTCCTAATGCGCACAACTGACACACTTTCTCACTGTTTTCTCTGTCTTCCATCAAGATACTCTGTTTTAAACAACATGCATAAGAATATTACGCCTTCATGCTACATGAATGAAAACCTAGGCAATTAAAAAAAGTTGAAACTCTTGGAGCAGTAGTAATGATGAATATAAAATTATTACCTGATCAATGCTCTGCCCAAGATTCGATAAATGTTCCTTGATTTTCTCTTCTTTAAATGGTTCCGTCAATAGGACACTATTTGTTTCTGGATTCTGTGGCTTTATTACTTCCTCAAAATCAGAGTCTGGTTCTGGCTCTGTCTGGATGAACTCAGTCCTCACAGTTCCCTCTTTAAGATCTTCCGAGAAAAATTGGAAACTCTTCGACCCCATTCTTCCAGAAAATTCTTTCACATTGTCTATAATCTCACTACTGCTAGTAAGGTCTATCTGTTCCCTCTGATGACAAGCAGATCCTTCCCCAGAAGGAATGGGCACACTCTCGGAGTTCAGTTCAAGGATATTGTCAGAATCACATTTTGTAACGTCATTGATCCTCATTGATTCTTGTATGGAATTATTTACAGGTTCCATCTCCACATGCGTTACTTCAGAGTTAATAGATACAGGAGATTCAGATTGTTGCTGCAGATATGAAAGTCCTTCAGGAGCACAAGGTTGAACGACTGAAGGAGCCAATGTATGGTAATTTTCATTTTTGTTCTCCATCTTCAACTTTTTTGACGATGGCAACTTATCTTCAATATCTCCTGAACTGGGTCCATTTAAAGCATACTGTTGAGCACCATGTGACTGTTCAGGAGGAAACTGAGGCTGCAAATATGGATGAAAGGGTCGTTTTCGGTTATGCTGAGCCTTTATCATCTGGGAGCAAGATTGCACTATATCCTCAGAACTTATAGATATAGGATATTCAGACTGTTGATGCAGATCTGAAAGTCCTCCAGGAACACAAATTTGAACAACTGAAGGAGCCAATACATGAGAACTTGTATTTTTATTATCCATCTTCAACATGTTTGACAAAGGCAGCAAATCTTTGATGCTTCCTGAATTGGGTCCATCTGAAGCATACTGTTGAGCACCATGTGACTGTTCAGAAGGAGCCTGAGGCTGCTTCAATGGATGAGAGGATTGTTTTTGGTTATGTTGACACTTTATCATCTGAGAACAAGATTGCACTATGTCCTCAGAATTAATGGATGTAGGAGATTCAGACTGTTGCTGCAGATATGAAAGTCCTCCAGGAACACAATGTTGAACAACTGAAGGAGCCAATAGATGATTACTTCCATTTTTGTTACCCATCTTCAACCTTTTTGACAAAGGCAGCATATCTTCAATGTTTCCTGCACTGGGTCCATCTGAAGCATACTGTTGAGCACCATGTGACTGTACTGGAGGAACCTGAGACCGCATTAATGGATGAAGGGGTCGTTTCCGGTTATGTTGAGACTTTATCATCTGGGAGCAAGATTGCAATATATCCTCAAGAGTTGAGATCTCTCTGGAGACTACAGGAACATCCGTTGGAACATGTTGAGGGATCAGCAAGTTAGAAGAGGAAAACACTGAAAACTCTCCCTCTGTGGATGGAAAAACAACCGATCGAGCATTCTTGTTACACCCCAAACGACCTTCAAATTTAGAGGATCCAACTTCACCAAAAAAAAAAAAAAAAAACTTGTTAGAAACAGGCAAACAGCATAAAGGTTTTAGTGAAGATGTTTGAGCGAATAGACTAGTTAAACTCAAGTATGTTTTACACTTTTCCTATATAATATATTTACTTCTAGAAATATAAATTCTCTAATAACATAATTTACAACTCTAAATAAGTGCACGCCTGTTGATAAACAGATGCAAATAGTCTGCTTGAGAACATATTGGATCAGTGAACATACAATATAGCAAGTTTATCAAATGTAAAATGGGAGAACTTGGGGAGCAGTAGCAATATGGCCTTGGATCCAACTATGTTGTTTCATAATAAGAACACAATAATACTACTTCTACATTAATTCAGAGCAAAACCAAGACATCTGAATAAAGTCATCAAAAATCTTAAAGGATTATGTCATTTAGATACTAAGTTGTAGCCTGTAGCTAAATATGGAATCAAGAATTATATCTCCAGGAATGTAATTCAGATTATATGGATTTGGGGACCTAAAACAAACCCATACCATGGCCAAGATGTTGATGTTGAACCTGACAATCAGATGATATGTCAGAAATGTAATTCAGATATCCTTGATTGGCATTGGAGCATGCAGCGAATGATGTTGAAGCATCCTCAAGAGGAACAACAGTCTCAGTAGAAGCCTGTCTTAGGCTGTCAGGAAACGCATGTCCAGTTCATCGGAAGTAATGAATCTTTTAGTATCTCCCTGCTTATCACCATTAAAAGGGAACCCTGCAAGAGAAATTAATTACGCTATTAGATAAATATGTCCAAAACTAACCAATTGTTAATTATGTTTATGATGGACGGTTCAAATGGCCCACCTTTTATGAGGTTAACATCGTCAGCATTATTAGCTATGAATGCATTATAACAAGCAGAGTCAGATCTACTAGCACCACCCAAGCAGTTGAAAGGTGTTTCTGCAGAAACTGCTGGTTGACTGGAGTTTGCATCATATAGGTTGAGTAATTTTTGCAGCCGATGAGATAATGTTTCCACATTCACATACTCCTCCTAAAATATATGAAAATTTGAAAAATTCAGGATAACTAACACATATTCATAAAGTTTCAGGCAGACAAGATAGCAAAAATATATCCTACACGATTCAAGTAACAAGTTTTTCTTTAAAGAATTTGAAGCTAGTTGATGAGGTCACCGAGTTACTCAAAAACATGTTACAAGGACTAATTATCAAGCATCAGAATACAAAAAGTATTTCCAATAGCATGGCCACGATTGGCTATTAAGTTTTTCCCATTTAGTAGCAAAAACATGGATAAAATAACAAACTTATCAAGCTAAATTCAATTTAATGTGAATGCAGACCTCAGAAGTAGCCTCCATAAATAGCTGGTTCTCCATGACAGCCGCATAATCAGATGCCATCTCTCCACACCCGTAATTGGTACGTATTAAGAAGTATTCATTACTGTGGAAGAATTTCAAAAGTCAGAACAAATAAAACAAATGCTTAAGACTACGCAAGAATAGTTTAATGTATCTGCTTATGTTGAAATGCGAGCTTAAGAGACTTACAGTAGTTTCCTCACGAAATTACGAAAGCGGATAACTTTAGGACCTTTGCGCCAATCCCTCAAGTAACCTACTGGGCATTTCAACGCTTGACAACGTAAACTATCCCCTCCCGGCAAAAAAGGACTTGAATTCAGCCTTGGGTAGTTAGGCATATGGCCAGGAGTTTGTTCTGAATTGTATATTTGTACATCCATCTTGCTGATTTTATGAGACTTCATTCATGCTGAAACTGTAAATTACCAAACATTTAGCATGGAAGATTACAAACAGAATGTTTGAGTGTGCATCAACACTGCAGGAAATTATTAAAGTTTCATCCACAAAATAATAATCTCGATAACAATGCAGCTGCTGTTTGATAAAATTTACTAATTACCACGTTTAAATCATGATTTTCCACGCGAAACCATCAAATTATTCTAAATTAAATTTCAAAATCCTATTAAAATAATCAAATTCATCAATTCGCTCAAATCCCCAATTTGCAAACACAATTATCAATCCCCCAATTTTTTCAATAAATTACAAATCTTTACCCCGCCGAGAGCTAAAATCCCTAATCTCCCAAATCCAAAATTCAGCAATTCGCTGCTCAAATTATCCCACTAAAAACCATTCAATAAATTTTTTTTTTTAAATAAAAATCATCAAATTACGCAACAAAATTGCGATCAATGGCGAGTCGGAATCAAGAATTGGGATTTAACGCCGCCGGCCACAGCCGAATTGCAATCAGCAACGAAGTCAGAAACCCCTAAAAAAATTAGCACGAAGCAAAAAGAAGGGAAATCGAGAAAAACCCTAATTGGAAAAAATAAAGAGGGATTAGGGTTTAAGGAAAAAGACCTGTAATTTCCTCTTTTTCTTTATTGGCTTGAAGCTGAAGTTTGCGTCCTCGACGTTACCATCGGTGGTGGCCCACTGAAGCTTTTTATTGAATAGTTTAAGTGAATGTTTGAGAGAGACAAGTTCAAAGCAGGAGCAGTCAGTCGAAATACTTATATAATATCCAAGAAAAAAACCTAGGTTTTACTCCCCACACAGGAGAGAAGGGTGTTTTATATTACCAAATTACCCGCACGCCACTTTTCACCTCTGTTTATCTCGTTACGCCACGCAGATAAAGATATGTGTAATAAGCGTATAATATCTAGCTCCATCTTAATGCGCCACACGAGTTAAGAGATGCATAATAGGCGGATAAATATCTGGCTCTGGCTACACTTACAGAAAAACCTTTACAGCAGAAGAATGGTGATGTGTGTATTCCCAAATTCCCATTTTTACCTTTGCCTATCTAAATGTCATGTGAAAAAAGTGTAAACAAATAAATATTCGATTCCGGTTGTGCTTAAGTCTCTCTCCTTGCCCAAACATGAATTTGCGTTGGCGTTCCCTTTATCAATAAGTAAATACACAATTCTATAAGCTTGACCCTCAAGTATCGATTTTTTTTTTTAATACATCGATATTTTTACACTTAAGGGAATGGGAGTTCAGCTAAGCCACATTATGAGCAGCCTAATTTGGACGAGATTCGAACCCAATATATCTCACTTCCAAATAAAGAAGAATATCATCAAACCTGTAGTATTGAATGTCCTCAAGTATCGAATTTTAAATAGTAAGGTAAACTTTTATTTTTCACCATCGTTTTGGTAGGAAATCCCTAATAAAGTAGAAACGGAAACCGAAGCTCAAAGCCCAAGTATTTCTTTTTTCGCTAAAACAAAGCCCAATATTTCTCTTTTTGGTTTGAAATATCTTAATAGGGATTGATGACAAAAAATAAATCTTATAAGTGAGGAAGTTTGAAGAAGAAGTTATTTCCAAAATAATTTAGTTCCAAAAATTATAATATATATATATTAAATTTTTTTTCTCTAATTTTTTTTTTCTAATATAGTTTTAGCACTCAATATTTTAGATTAAAGGTTATTTACACCCACCAAAAGTCAGAGAATTAGAAAAAATTGTAGAAAAAAAAATCTCACAACCATCCATTTGTTGTGTGCTACTCATATGTGTGCCATTTTCTGCGCGTCAAATAATTTGCATAGTTGGATTAGAAGCAGATGAGTGAAGTTATTTCATTTATTGCTATTAAATAAAAACCTAGTAATTGGATTTATAAATTGTGGAATAGCGCTCAAAATCAATCGGTCATTTGATCAATCAATCACTTGTCACGTTTTAATTAATTCTTAGCTTAGAATTCTAAAAGATATTTTTCTAAAGTATCGGGTTTGAAGAGTTTATCTCCTAACATGTAATTGTTTTTTACAATAGAAAAATGGGCATATAATTGAAAAGGGAAACCCTTAGTTTCTACGAGTTTAATGACAAAACCCTTAAAAGTATAAAAGTTTTGTTTTTTTGTTTTTTGTTTTTTTTTTTTTTAATAAACAAATAGTAGTTCTTGACAAAACCCGAACTCTCTGCACCTTAACTTCACTCTACCATAATTTCTTATTTTTATTTAAATACTGATGAGGCCCGAAACAGGTTCGGGCCTAATCGCACAAAGCTTTCAAACTTCGAATCTTCGAGTAGATTTAATTAGAGAATAACATACAACAACAGCAGCTGATGATCACAGAGCCATCTAAACTCATCACATCTAGTTCTTTGTACAACTCCCTCCTTGGATTAAACTATCCCTATATCCATCACAGTAAGCATCTCTACTAGCTACATGTCATTGCCATTACCTCCTGCGGTGATGGCGATGCCTGTCTAGCCTATCCCTACTATAAGTTGAAAGATCAAGGTCGTAGTCATTCCTGCTTCCATCGTTCCAACTTTCAGTATTGCCCGAGTCATAATTCTTTGGTGAATGACGAGAATTGGAGTATGGAAAAGAACCTTCATTGAATGACGGGATTCTTCTACCTCTGTCTGACTGGGACCTTCCGAAGGTAGGACTTCTTGGTGCTGAAGCACTACTTGAACTGTGAGAGTTGTACCCGTAATCATAACTACCATATCTTGGAGGGTAACTAGATGGCGCAAAACCTGGATCAACGCCAGGAGGCCCATCGTCTCTATAATCCCTGGACCACCTTTGCTCGCAGGTGATGCCCTCTGCTGACAGGTTCTGAATGATGGCTCACTCTGCTGTGTGAACGGTTCCTAGAGAGATCTTCAAATGAATGTCCAGGAGCCCAAAGTCTCTCATCAGCATTTTCTGGGATTGGTGCATTGACTCCTGGAAATTTGACCATCTTCTTCCTTACTGGATCAGCAAAGTCTGTCTCAATAATTTCCCCGTCCTCCTGTTCTTCCTTAATTTCCCCATCAGCATATATTATTATCCCTGATGGCTGATCTTCATCATCTACATCTAAAAATGACAAGACAAGGTGTTATGACTTGAAAACAGAATTTAAATCTAAAAGGAAAAGGGAAGTACAATAAATTAAAAGTACGGCTATCAAATAGTTTTTTGTAACCTAGGTTTGATATTTCTAGAAAACAGGACGGTCAAGGGTGCTATCCAGGATTTTAGCACATCACTCTCCATAACCTGAGCACTATGAAAATCCCATACATCACAAAGCAAAAAACCTCAAACATTTGCAAATGCCGGGTAATCTCTTCAAAATGCACATTGCACAGCCACAAACAATGCTGTACCAGAATCAAGCATTAAATTGCAATATTAAATTCTGACTTTTCAACATGTACTATTCGAATATGTTTCGAATGCACAGCCTAATCCCGCAAATAACATTTCAACCATATGAGCTTCAGCAACTTTCCATTGATTATGCATCAAATCAGACCCACAAGCTTTTTTTCTGCCTAATAAAAATTTGACAAAGTAAATGAAGCTAGAGGACACAAGGGCCAGATCAAGTCCCTGCTGAAAACCTAACTACTTTCTTTCTCCCTTTGATTGGTCATTGGCAAAATGGAATGTAAATTTGAAAACACTTCACCAAGTTTTTTCTTTTTTTTTGGTACTTCTGTGATGGAACTACAACAATTATTTATAATCGGTTACTGTAAGTGACTGCCAATTCAGTAAAATATATTCAAATACCTAGATATCCTGGTGGGTAACCAATTTCTCGCATTCTGTTAAGCCAAGGTGGTGGATCAAGCTCCTGCACACAAGCAAAAAAAAATAAATAATAATAAATCGGTTCTTAATATTCTAGACTCATGTGACCACAAGCACATCATTAAGCTTCTATACTAATACAATCTGGAATAGGAGCTTAACGTTCAACTAACAGTATTTGCCTCATAATTCTAAGGAACACCAGTAGACAATAACAAGTGTTCTGTATTAAACACAATGAGTGATCACTTACCCCAAGACCCAAAAGCTTCCGTGTCTCAGCATCGAGGACACCAGGCCTTAAACCATCATACTTTCCAGCCGGAGAATTCTGATAGTATCGTGTTGGATTGCGAGAACTAGCATTCTGATTACGTTTGGACTTGAGCTGTTTACGGGCACTGTTGACAGCAGCATTGTTACGAGGCTTTGGACAATTTTTCAATGAATGACTATAAGAGCCACAATTGAAACAACGACTTGCATCATCTATAATCTCCAAGCCTCTGAAACAATAAATAAAAATAAAGAAAGAAGGATATCAAACATCTGCAAAACAACTTTTTGCTCATACGTAGAAGTCAGGCTGAAGACAACCATGAAATGGATTCAAACATTTCACCACCAGATTACCATACAAAGCATCCTGATTGTCATGTCATGACGAGATTAAGGATTAAATGAAGATCTCTACTTAGACACCTAACAATATTCAGAGCCCAATCACCCTTCACTCTTGATACTCATTATTCATTTTTAATTATCTGTTGTTTTCTCCCAGAAGAAGATCAAGGACATAAACATGTCTATCAGAAGGATTAAACCAAAACATGAAAAATGAGGAACCAACTACAAAAAATTTAACAAATATAGTAATACCATCATCATAAAACATAAAACCAATAACATGATCCGACTATATTTAAAATACTGATAAAAATGTTTACCCCTCTGCATTACTTGAGCCACCAGCCAAAGTCAAACCTAAGGCGTAACCCCGATCATACAGGGGCACATCATTGTTATCCAAAACATTGGATTCGTTGTTATCTGCCTTCCGTGTTTGGTTGTCCATCCAAAAAGACTGAACATGAAAGAATACTTCAGAAAAACTAACAAATGGTACTAAACAATGAAACTTATATAAAACATTCCGTTTTCTAGTTTTTGTGACAAACAGAGAAATTAACAAATTGAAGAAAGCTAAATCAGGAGATGTCAGCCAAGTATAACAACTAGTGGCTGCATAACTTAGCAGCTAAGTATAATACAAAATTTTGATAAGTAATCAGAAAAGCACCCAAACTCAAGCACACAAAGTGCATATAGAGAAAAGTAGACACAATAGCAGGACCATACCACCGCAGACGTCCTCTCTATGCCAACATGAAGAGCTGGAAAGAAGGTCTCTTCACCTGATTCCACTACTTCAATAGAATCCTGAAAGATCACATGATACAAGTAATCATAAACCCAACAGTCAAAAGAAAAACAAAAATAAGGCAAGAAAACACATCATCATAATTTTATTCAACAAATCAAAACAGGGTAATAGCGATTTTATTGATTGGACTCTACCAACTGAAGACCTCTCATTCTCTAAGATACTCTTGCTTTCATGCCATATAACCAGAATTATAACCAAAAAAAAAAAAAATCATTCTTCAAAGTTTACCGCATTTCACAAGCCAACTCTCTGTGCCAAATGTTCCAAATTACTTCCAAAACCTAGGATTGTTAAACTCAACCCGCCCCGAATTTTGAGCGAGTCTTCATTCAAACAGAAAATGGAACTTAAACTTTCTTTAAAACTTAACACGTTGGATGATCCATCCCACAGAAAGTGACGTCACAAGATATAGTATTCAATATGATGAGCCAACTAAACGAGGAGTCTTACTTGAGATGAAGAAATATGCTTTGTATGCCACTCTGACCACTGCTGTAATAGTTCTTCAAGCTTTTGTTTACTAGCTCTAGAAAAATTATGACAATTCATTAAGAAATTAAGAAATGGAAAACTGCAATTGGAAATAATCTATATGCTTTGTATTTTTTGCTTAAGTGCATATGAAAACATTATGCAACAATGGTTACTCCAACCCCACCTTGTCAACGACTCATATGTCACATGAACTGAAGCTTTATGTTCATCAACTGTCATTCTAGCTCTCTTAACACCTGATACAGCTGGCAATGTTGAATTACGGATAACAAAAATTCAAATATCATGGTATTAATGAAGAGAACCTACATTTCAGTATTCTTAATTTTAACATACTGCATTATATGGTTGAAGAAGTAAACCTATTTGCACATGCCACAAAGTTACACAGTTGGAAAGTGCTTGAAAATAAAAAAGGAGAAAGCCTTAAGAAAAAACAAATGTGGAAGAAGGATACAAGTGGCGCCCTTTTTGGGGACCTTAAAGGTACTTGAATCTTGGACAGGAAGGCAACCATTTTCATGCACCTTTGGGAACAAAACATTTGACTCCCCTGCAACTGTAACAGTTTCAGACAGTATACAATGAGCATGCCCGTCCTTGTTACCCCCTAATTTGATTCCTACATTTGCCGAACAAGAACTGTCCAAGGCAGGGAGGTTGTTTATGTCCTCGATTTCCATATCTGAATCACCTTCAACCAATTCTTTTTCAAGGTTTGATTCCAGCATGCAATGGCTAACTTCATATTGAACATCACTTTCATGCCTCAGGTTCTCACTGTTAGCTTGAACTTCACATTGAACATCACCTTCCTGCCCCAGATCCTCCCCATTTTCTTAACTTCATATTGAACATCACTTTCGTGCCCCACATTCTCAATGACAGAATCACCAGAAGCAAGGAGACCAATAAAATTCTCGGATTCCATATTTACGAAGAAGCAACTTCTTTTGTAAGAGACCACCCAGAAAGTACTCTGCACTACATAAAAAATCATTGGTAGATCAGAAAACCAACCAAGTACGATACTGAACTCAAATACCGCCACTAAGTAAATTAAACTAAACACATGAACACACTCATGTATATTGTATATAAATATATTTCAAAAATTCGATCTTTAAGTTGAAATGTCCAATATTACGAAATAAAATTGGAGCTTTAAGAGTCGGGAACACCACCCAAATACAGTAATTATACAAAAAATAAAAATCAAATTAACCAGATATCCAGACCCCCACAACTCAAAAATCCAATCTTGAAGCATAAACCATAATCTATTAGTACTAATTTCACAAAAAGGTAAGAAATTTTTTAATTGAAAAGGAAACAAGTAGGCAATGACGCAAGATTGCGAACAATTTTTAATTGAAATGGAAACAAGTAGGCAATGACACAAGATTGTGAACGGATTCAAGCTCCATTTCAAGCTAATTTACTTTCTTACCTAAAATCCAGGGTTTCTGGGCAACCAAACGGAAAAGAGAAAATTGATAGAAAAGGGCTCGAAATTTGGGATTTGAAGAGTGCAATTACCTTGAGTTGAGTGAGATTAGGGTTTCTGTACAGAAGCACCGCAGCTTCAATCGAAGTCCTGAGACGCCACGGATTCCGAGTGTGTGTGAGAAAAAGAGAGAGGCGATGATTGGGTGTGCTGCGGCGTACGGAACAACGCGGACTCGCCGCCGCAGCTATTTGTGGCTATATTTCTAGTGTGGAGAAATCATTGACTTTTGTTTTTTCTTTTCTTATTTTATTTTCTTACCTTGTTTGGATAATGACTTGCAAAACTCTTGCCTTCACATGAGATATTTTGTTATTAAATCCAAAATTTCAATTTGTAACTCAAATCCCTCACTTCTAAGTAAAATTATAAGGTAAAAATTCAAGATGGTTAATGGCCTAGGGGGTAAAAGATTATGTGAGACAGAGTTATTCTATCACGTATCGTTGAGTTCATTTCGTATCACAATTATTCTATCACATATGTTACAGAGTATAATTTTGCCTAAAATTAATGATTAATATACAACTTATTATTGGTTAATTTGGTTTGGTGTTTCTACATTTGATTCAAAGTTTGTAACCGGCTGTATTTGGGAGTCTTTCTCAAAGATACTCGTGTATCATGGTGTTGTAATGTAGATGGCTATCTGTTCTATGCACATTGTTGGTGTGGCTTCGATTGTGTGTGAAGATTGAGGAATGGCAACTGAGGAAAGGGGAGAACAATTGCAGCAACCCACAAGTCCCCAATCTGCTGCTGGTTTCTGCAGTGCCTACCGATGGAGAAAGCTTCGCAAGACTCAGGATCGCCAACAAGATGATGAAAGGCAAACAAGATGTTAAAACGAGAGACAAGCTTACAATTCTGCCTAAAACAACGACGAATGGCAACAAGTGTTTTGTGAACAACAAAAGGATTATGTTCAATACAAAAACCAAGTAAAGGCCGCTGATCTGCGTGTTTTGGCGTTGAAGTCTACGTTAACGGACAACAAAAGCATATTCTTCCCATCATTTAAAACAATTGGATTCCAAGGAGAGACATCTCTATATATCTGAGGCTACCAGTCTTTGTTTGTCATATATTCAACTCTTGGATTACTAAGGAGCAACCTCATCGAAGTGAATATGTCGTAATGTGTTTTGAAAAATAGATCCCCGCGAGCAAATTGAAGCCTCTCCTTCGCATGGAGATAATTGGTGATCAACACTGACAAGTGTACAAGGCCTAAAAGGGGCTGATGCTGCGTGCCAACTTCAACAAGAGCTCTGGAACAAGCCGCCTTCTCGGAGGTGCCATAGCATCTTGCTCAAGAGCGTCTTTATCACCAGCATGTATCACGGAAACTAGATGGTCAAACAGTTCGTCTTTACCACCTCTCAGAGGATCCTGCATAGTGCTTCCAAGAGTCAGATGCCCCGAAAGGAATTTGTGATATCCTATTTCAGATCTCTTTATAACAATTTGAACCTTTAACGAGCATCGGTGCATTAAAATACGAGTAGTAAATGGAGGCCGTAAGGTTTTAACAGTCACAATTGTAAAAGGCTCGCATCAGAAATATCACTTACTTGAAGAAACAAATCTGTATGAGTCTTTCCATCATATAGTATTAAGTCAGCTCGAGCTCCTGCCTTTTGAAGCACGTCTACGAAAACTTTACTGCATATAAAGACGCATCAGTTTCTGAAAATATCACACCATGATATATTCTGTGGAGAAGTTGAAGTCGTATTCAGATGTCTGTACTTCGAGGCCTAAACTAGTATTATACAGATCAAAATCCCATATTAATGTACATTAAGGGATTCTAACCTAGCGTCTGATGGTATCGAATAATCATCAGTTCCATGGAAAAGAGTGATAGGAGGCAAGAGAGAAACGGCACTCCTATTGCTTGGGTCCTTTACTTTAACTTCAGGAGAAAATTGATGCAAGGATTCTTCACCTTCCATAATGCTGCATGACACATCACCACAATAGCATCATGAAGTAACAAACAGGAAAAAGTACAATATAATTGATAGGAGTACACCAAAGAGTGGCTAGCAAATTGTCACTTGGTAAGTACCTCAAAAAGATGGAACGATATAGTCCACGACTATCAAAATGGTCAACTAAATTGGACAAATTGTACCTGTGAGGAGCATATAAGAAAATTAGTGTACCCATCCATTGCCGTCAATCAACAGATCTATCAACATGGTACTAAAGTAATGACTGGTCATCAGTCTCTGCAGCTCAATGCTACAACAAGCTGTGCGTGTAGTGCAGATTGTAGTGTTTATACGGAAAAGTACATGATCTGATGGAAGGATTTCTTTCAACTATCATATCCCATGCTTACCAATATCCATGTTTCTAGAATTTGAGTTTATTCGAACTAAATTCATTAAAGTTTCACTTGATTCATGATAATGCAACAAATAAACCTTACCCGCCGGATAAACCAAAATAAGCCTTTATCCGGGAGACGCTCCAAGAAATGCTTTCTCCCTTGGATTCTTTGATTGCTTGATCCAAGAGAGCACAAGCAGAAATATGTGCACCAGCAGATTGTCCCATTAGATAGATTCTACTCAAAACAACCACAAAAGGACCAAAACATATAAATAAATATATGTACTCAGCCAGTTTTGAGATGTATAGGGAAGGAAAGAACAAATATTAGACTGGACCTGTTAGGGTCACCTCCATAATCTGCTATATTGTTGAAGACATATGAGATCCCCAGAGAAGCATCTTTCACCATATCACTGATGGTACCCTGGGGAAAGTTTCTGCAAGAATCATATATTGCATATCAACACTTATAGGGTAAAGGACATAACGGATGTGTAAACTGTTCGTTTGAGTAACATGATTCAAGTCTTCAATGCGTACACAATGAACTATAAAAAACCAAAGGTTCATTTTACTTTTAGATCATGGAACGTGCTCAAGCTTCAGTGACTGGTTCTTTATATGGGAAACAGAAAACAAGACATAAATTAACCAATTAGCCATGATTGATCAGCTTGGTTGAACGGAAAATAATACTTTAATGTGCTAATGTATCAGTCTAATAATCAGACACAGTGAACATGGTGTTTACGAGTCTATCATTGATTCACTGCCCAAGATTTTTTTTTTTTTCAAATACTTCATATAGATCACCATATGCAAGTTAATGAAATCGTGCATTACAATTTGTACTGCTTTAACGAAAACAAATTACCTGTAATCAACGCATGCCACGATGATATCTCTTTCTGCCAATTGCAGACCTAAAAGAGAACCCCAAGCTTTATACCTAAACCAGCATGAAACTATAGAAACTTAATGTCAAACAACTAAATAAATGGCCACATATATATAACCAGAAACTTCAACTAAAAATGTTTTGCATGATACCCCAAAAAACGAAGAGAATATCATCTCCAGGCCATTGTACTAATTCAAGAACAAAACTCATAAGAACTGATGAGCTAACAGCTCACATCTATTTAAAATCACTCACCCAATAATCCAGGCCCCACCAGTTACAAATACTACTACCGGTTTTTTTCCATCACTATTTGCAGGTAAATATAGATCCAACCTGTAAATGATACATGACATAAATGAGTGCACAGAAGTTGACAAAATCGCAATCAACTGTTTAAATTCCTTCCACAAAATCAACCTACCTATTTCTTGGTTGATCTCCATACACAATACTACGCCGGACCTGGCTTGAAAAGAAATACCATATAGCAACTGAAGAAAAATCAACAAACAAGTTATATTCCGGTCAAATGCACAGCTGACTATTCACTACATTAAAAGAACAAAACAAATAAAAACAGAAACTCTCATCATGTTAAGCAGACAAATCTACGTTCAGGAAGTAGGTCACGTCAAAGAATATCATGGCACGGTAGTGTGAAATCTACGGAGATGACTCTACTGAAGTCTTAGAGATGAGAATATTGAGATACATCAATAACAGTAATCAAACTTGGAGCTTTTTCTGAAAGATGATCTGGATGGTGCAAAATCCCATCCAGGTGGCAAGTTCTTTCATCGATTAGCAACAAACCAAACAAATCACGACAGTGAAGCTCATCAAATGTGGTAGCATCCGAGCGGAAGCTTTTTGATTTTACGCAGGATAACCGACAATTTTCTTACTATTATTTGACGAAATTTAAAACGGATAACGAAAAGGGGAACGATGCTATACGGGCAATGAATATGTAATAGCAAGTAGTTACATAAACACACATACCTTGAAGAAATCCGGGCATAAGTAACATAGCATAGCAACCAAGAGCAAGTAACTTTGTGATCCACAGATAGCCTAGCCTGAATGAAAATAAATGATTAGAAATAATCCAACACAAAACTTCGATATAATTCACAAATTTGCTAGACTGGTTAATTTTTTGTCCTACATTTCAATTTTCTTTCGGTTTCCTACAATTTTCTCGGCAACCAAACAGCGCTGAAGTCCAATAATTGAGCAAGGTGAAGATAGGAGGAGCTAAAGAAGAAGGAGAAGAAGAAGAATAGGTACCCGAGGCATTGAAGGAGCGTGAAGCTGAGGCTAGTAATCAAGTAAGTCTCTTTGGCAGCGTGGCCAATGTCGTGGCTGAACGACTGCTGCCGGTGAGGCGGAGGCTCGGCGGAGGCTTGTTTCTTGGTGAGCATGCGACGCCTCTTGTGGCTTGATGTATTGGTATTAGCAATAGGATAGCTCAAAAACCCAGAAAGGAAGGGCGTCGCTGCGTGCGCATCTTCCGCCATGTAGTCTGCCTCGGAAGTGAAAGAATGCCGGAGAAGACGATCGGTTTCCGATGCCATAGCTGCTGGATGATAGCTCCAATATTTTTTTGGATCTGAAAATGTTTTTTAGGATTTTTTTGTGATTGGTTGCTAATTTCGGTTGGCAACATTTTCACTAAGTTACCGTTAAACCATTAATTTGGAAGCTTGCGGTTGAGAACTCGAAGCCTCGAACCGTTGGAACCTGGAAGGTACCAGAAATTAAAAACTAAAGATGCATAAAAAGTAACGATGAAATAAATATTCAGGCCCACGATTTACAGTTTTGTACTTAAGTGGCGAAAGCATTTGTCGTGTTAGTGTGGTTTTTATGTCATATGACTAGATGTGATATGTTAAATTCGTTATTTTAATATATTCTTAACAGATTCTTAACAGTTGATACGTTAAATATCCAATTTGTTAACAAGTCGTGTTGTTTTGTATCGGATAAAACCTGCAAAAAATTATCATGTTTGATGTTTAGATTTGACAACGTTATCTTATTAGATTCTTCACTGATGATCCCCCAATAACAATCCTACTCATTTATAGGTTAATCAGAAATCTGTTAATTTTGTATCGTTTTCTATCGATCTAACAAGTCGTGTAAGAAGTAATCAAGTTTGCTGCTCAATTATTTCATTTTCCACTTCATTTATTTCAATTGGATAACATATATTTATTTAACATACAAGATAATATTTATAAATAATAATAAATAAAAAAAAGAATTAGATCAAAGATTCGCTTCTCTTTATGTAAACGATGAGAGCATCCCCGCTCCAGCTTCAACCCTTCTATGGTTAAAATTTTAGTTAAACACACACGAAAAACAATATTTAATGATTAATAATCTCAAAGTATCGTATACTCCGGAGCATTATAAAACTTGTAGGAAGAACTGAGAACCCTAATTCGAAGTAAAACAAGAGAATCGACACCGCCTCGGTAGATATACTTTTTATCCATCTAGAATCCAAATGACAGTTTCGACAAATTCAGTGTATCAGACGTCAGTTTCTCCTGTATCGGAATTCAAGGAAATTTCCATCGACGTCCTTCCGAGTCTCATCCTCTTCTTCCGAGTCTCCGAGTACTCTCTACCTTAACCACCATCTCTGAACAGCAGAAAGAGGAGTTTCCAGGAACCGAGCATAGCGGTGGATGAGGGGATGAACTGTCCGTCCGATCTTAGTCCACACGCTCAGATGGTAGGCAGCAGTTGCTGGGGCATGATACATGATCTTCAATAGCTGTAAAATGTGTTCCAAGGAGGCAAGGAGGGAGGAAATTCATTAGGCTCTGAATTCTGATATGAAGTTGAGATATTGCAAAAAATGAATATAGAAATCAATTTTTTACATCACTAATACACTTATTTGACTCCAAAATTACCAAGATTTTGACCAAAAATGACCAAAAAATACTTGCCAACTGACCGTACTCTTGCAGAATATGATATTTTCATATCTATAATTATTGAGAAGAACAATGTTTGAAATGTGACGCAAGGGGCACTAACTCGGTGCATACTTTCATGTGCTTGTATCCATTTGTGTGTATGTGGTGTGTGTGTGTGTGTGTGTGTGTGTTCAATATAATCGAAAACAATTTAGCTTCAGGAACAAAGATGCCATTCCATAACCATAATGATGAAGAAAAGAACAGAAACACACCTGCCAGTACATGAACGCCTGTACAATGTTGCGCTGCCACCTACAAATATACATCACAAATTACGAAATGTTTGAAGTCAAAAGCAATAACAATGGAATAAGAATGTATCTGTGACTAGAAAAAAGCAGCAGAGAAAACGGTTCCAAGCAACTCACGAGAATAATGATATAATCAGAAGGAAGCCAACTCCAACCTCAGCGTGTGAAGAGAGTATGCTGAGGGTAGTTGTATTTGACTCCACCCAAACACAAGGCTCTTCCAGGTACTTCCTGTTCACCATGACAGAAAGAGAAATAGATTGCTCAGTAAAGAACACAAGTAGATTTCAACTCATCGTCGGAAAGGTATTATTTAGTAAGACTGGATTGAACATCAAACCAAAAGTAAAAGTACTACAAGAATCCTGAATACAATCCTCATGCCCAGCACTCAGAATTACCAATTCTCAACTTAATAAACTTGGATTCAAACACCACAAGAAAATATCAAGCAACATTGTTAAACATCAACTCTTCTACCTGTACAATGAGGATTGACTAAAATTGCACCTAAGGAACTTGGCAACATGTTCAAGAGCCCGACAGAGAATGGGAATCAGTGCAACTGCAATAAAGATTGCACCATTAAACTAGACATAACAAGAAAATGAGGCTAACTTAGGTTGAAAACATAGAAAGAAGAAAATAGAGAAGGAAACTTGAGGATTTAAGGAATGCTCACATTTTAGGCAAAGATGTGATGTGACAAAGGTAATGCAGTATATCAAGTAGATAAAATCCTTAGTCGTGATTATTGGCTGAAAGTAAACTTGCAAAGCCTGCAAGTTCCAAGCCCTTGGTTTCTGAAAAGTAAAGGGTGCGTTAATAAAATATGAACAAGGGCAGCATATCCAAATTAATGAAGTAAGAAAGCAACTGAATATGAGAAAGTATATCTACCCCATACAGCGAATACAAGGAATACAGAGACGAACATGCAGTGCCCATAAAGGAAAGCCGATACGCCCTATCTGAAAGGTTTTTAGGCACCAGTGGGAAAATTGCAAGCACAGCCACAAGAAACACCTGCAGGGAAGAAAGACAAACAAACTGAACCAATAACAACAGAGAACTATTAAATTCTAAGCAGAACGTAGCACGAGGCCATTTTTAACGCCTAAATTATGAATAGTTTGAACTTTTTTCTCTAAATTAGTGAAGTTTTGGATTCAAAAGAAGCACACATAGTTGTCACAGAGAAAGACCCTTGCCCAACTGAACCAGAATGACATTACAGCAGTTTATTTGCATTTGAAAAACCATAGAGTCAAAAGATAGAATAATTCAGGCTCAGAGAAGTGAATAAGCAGTTAATAAAAAGTAAAACGTAAACTCTATAGAAAACTGTTTATTGACACTGTCAATAGAAAACATGGTTGCAAGGGAACAAGATAAACTGTGAATGGTCAATAACAAACAAAAAAAACTACGAGAAGTCGTATGACATTTCTTCAAATCAGGCTGATTTATAAACATCATACACTGACAGATAGATAAGAAAATAAAAGAAAGCTGATTCTCTATGTATATACATGGATATAAACGCGTGTTTATATAGGTTACTTGTGTCTATCTATCAATGCATGAGTACACTTGACAGTACCCAAGCGTTTACAGAAAACTGAATGGTTTTTCGATCCCAACGCAGAGAAGTTGGAGGAGCTGCTGCTGCTGTCCCTGGAGTTCTGGGAGTTGAACCTACAAGCACCAATTCAAGGTCAATTCACTATAATCAACATATTCCAGGCTACTGAAGGCAACTAGAGTTTTCTTTTGAGATAAATTTCATTTCTTCCAAGGGAAACAGCAATTTAGGCAAATCTAACTTTTGTACCCAAAAAATTAAAGCATTCCAACCTGCACTACGGGGCTGAGTTTGGTCATTTGTTGTCCGGGACGATGCAGATGGTCTCTTTGGCTGAGAAGAACTGCCTGACGACATCGCATCTACCATAAGCTCAGGATCCTATTCACAAAATCCAAGTACAAACATTGTTAAGATGCACGGAATTAAGAAAAATCTAACAAAATCCATGCATCTCCAACCAAATTACATTCCCCCAAAGCATATACCAACAAGGCGCTCTTAATCTACGATAAAACTACAAACGGAAATCCCTAAAGCATAATTCTTCAACCAAATGTTGACTTTAATGTTGCACTATGTGTCAAAAACTATTCCTTTCGAAGTAGCAAGATCTCACTTATACTCAGAAATCTAAAAGAAAAGAAGTCAACTGAATCAACAATTGAACGAGCTACTGAATCCTGCATAAACTTTCCAAAATCGAACCCCTACATTCAAATGAGGTTCTATAGAGGGCCAGCATGCATTCAAGCACCTCGAATTCGAATTCCCAAAACGTAAAATCTTGCCATTCAAAGAAAACCCCAGCAGTAAAGATCGAGTACTCGAAGAAAGCAAAACCAATAACCCTTATCATCAAACAAAGAAACAGAGTACAAAACCCACAATTACCCAAATGGAAAACCGACCCCAATTACACAAAACAAAAGAAAACCAATTGAGATTCAAGTGTTCAGAGTCCAAATTCCGAAGAAACAAATGCTAATTAACAACCAATCGATACAGGGTAATCACTGAAATTAAAGAAACTGCATAAAGAAGAGAGAGAGAGAGGACGGACGATGAAGCGTTGATAGAACTTGCGCTTGAAATGGTCGATGACGTCGCTGCGGGAGGACATGTGAGGAGGGATGAGGATGTTGGACCAGTAGTCGGCCCATCTGGGGTCGTTCTCGTAGTCGTAGGCCGCCGCCGCCACTCTCTTCAGCTGCTGTGGGTCCTCTCTCTCTTCCGCCATTTCTTCACTTCTTGATTTCTCGATCGCTTGATTGATTGGTTTAATTCCGTTCGTTCGTTCTTCCGATCACACAGAGAGAGAGAGAGAGAAAGAGTCGTTTTGTACTGGTTAGTTTTCTTGCGGCGCAACCGAACTCTCCACTCTCCTATTCCTTTCTTTCGATGCCCGACGACGTCGTTTGGAGGACGGTTTCTTAATTTTATTAGGTTAGTTGGCCTTTTGGGTTTGATGTTTTTCTATTAGGTCCAATAATTTTTGGATCTCACGAAAACAAAAGTGAAAGCCCAATTATTTCCAGATTTATGGCTCGTTTGGATGTGTTTTTAGAATGATTGAAAGCGTTTTTAGAAAAAAATTTTTAGGTTTCAAAAACACTTGAAGTGCTTTTTGCAAGAAGTATCAATTATGTTCTTCTTCCAGGAAGCACTTTAAGTGCTTTCAGGATTTACTTGCATTTTTACTAAGAATTGGTTCTAAAAACGTTTTTAGTCATTATAAAAGCACATCCAAACGAGCTCTTAATTTTACCAATTTGTTTTGAATATTTTCTTTCCCTTTGTCATGATTATTTATTAGAAGCTCTTCTTGACACTCGAAAAAATTCATCATGCATTAATTCTATAAAAAAAAAAAATTAATTATATTTAGATTGCAAGATACCTTCCTTAGAATGGCGATGACAATAAAATTATGAATTTGTTAGAAATCTTATTTGGTGTGACTAATTATCAAATACAAATTTCACTCAAAAGGCCTCAAATATTTATATACTTATATTTGTATACCTTATTTTCTTTGCAGAATTCCTAATTGGTCCAGCTAAACTCATCAAAATGATATTCTTGTCTTCATAGTCGCTTGACTCGCTTCTTCAAGTCCAAATGGCAGCCAGAAGAGAGGAAGTGACTAGTCGATGCATCTTTTTGCATAGGCTGCCCTCCAACGAGCTTCAATAACATTTCTTGCCCCTTTAGTTTCAAGAAATGTCATTTGTTCCCGAGTTTCATATATATGCACAAAATTTTAGAAAATTATTCTAAACTAGTCCATCCACTGGAAGGAGTATCAAACTCTGGTGCAAGTAAACGAACACACTGTCCTGACAAACTCACTGACTAATTGGAGATACCATGTGAATCAATAAAGGAGGAGGTGTGGAAAATTCCATGGCAACCTCTAAAAGCATCACAAGGACCGTCCATATCGCCAATCTTTGCAACAACCACACACTCCAATTGGCTTATTTCTTCAACTCTCATTAGCTTCTTCATGTCCTCGAAATCCACTGCCCATAACACACAGTTTGATAAACAAAATTAAACACGGTAACCAAAAATGAAATTTCGGGAACTCTGTGAGAACCTTAATTTAGTATGTACCTTTTGAATTATCAACCCAGTTGAAAATTGATCCTTTAAACTATTATTTTGGTAAATTAACCCCCTGAACTATTTAAAATAGTCAATTAACCCTTGCCATTAAATTGCGGAATTAATTCCGTCAAATTGAAGGGCAAGTTAGTCATTTCATCATTAATTGTTACTTGTTAGCTATAACTACCAATAAAATTTTGACACATGGACACAAAATAATTCAAAAGTATATAGCATAATGAGAAAACATAAAAAACCAAACGTTTACATAAAGGACCATCTCACATTGTCATTACACATTATTTTTTTTTCCTTTCACATGTCATAATTACATTGTTGGTTATAGTTGACTAGTAAGAATTTATTAAGAAAAAACTAATTTTCCTTTGAATTTGACGAAGTAGTGGATGAAATCTACCGACAATGGGTACAATTAGCTTATTTCAAATAGTTATGGGAGTTAATTTACCAAAAAAATAGTTCATGGGATCAATTGCAACTGGAGGAATAGTTCAATAAGTTAAATAACAGTTTACCCTTTGAATGAGGACTCAGGACCAACCATCCCTTTATACTTGGAATGAAAAGACCCTTATTAGTTTGTGGTTGACATGTTTGCCTTTCGTTTTTGCTTTTGATACACGAAATGTTTAATGGTAAGAGGATCAAACACAAAACTTTAATTAGATTAAGATTAACTGCTTGAGATTGACGGAGACTGCTAGAAATAGAGTTTTCACCGTTAATGCATATAGAGCCCACACAGTTGCATTTTATTTTGATCTTAGCTTAAAGGCGGAGAAAGGTATACAAGTGTCAGTCATCTACAAATAGGAGATACGGATACAGCTTTCACCGTTATTGCATGTAGAGCCTGCATATTATCTTATCTTAATCTTAGTCATACGGCCGAGAAAGGTATAAGGGCATGCTGCTTTTCTAAGAGCCGGAAAAACTTTAATGCATAGTAATTTGGAGAGAAGATAATTCAGAATAATAAAATTTTATATTTCTATTAAAACAACAAATACAGATACAATATACTGTATCAATGAATCTAAATTACAAAAAGAATACAGAAATTGGGATCCTGGCAACAAAATCATGTTAGCAGAGAATACAAAAAATAAATGGAAAAAATGATATGATATGTGTAGGATTTACAAGTAATGAGCAACACAACACAGCCTAGCCTGGCTCAAACAGTTGGTTGAACTCTCAGTTGTTCCATATCCCAGATCTATCTATGGACATCGAAGTACTCGGGTTTCTTGGCTCTCTCTGGTCTCGACTCCAGCTGCTCTGAGTTTGATGCCCGTGCTCCCGGAGTCTCTACTCGCCCAGCTTCTCTGATTCTGGGACCCTTGCTCTTGGGAGTCTCTACTTTTCCAGCTACTCTGACTTTGATTGAAAAAACTCGTACTGTTGTCTTGACTGCCGAATGCCATCCTCTGAAACATTCTAATTTGTGCAGAGTGTTCTGCAGAATCAAATATTTCGCTCTGGCCAGGTTTCATTCCGTTACTGAGATCTGATAATTCATCTAAGGAGTCGAAAGCCCTTACCACCTAGGAAAGTAACGACGATTATTAGTTATCTGCTGTACATGTAAATGTGGGTGAGTGTCATGCAATATTTTGTAAATACCTGTCTCATCCGTGGCCTTTTCGCAGCTGAATGGCGCACACAAGCTGAAGCTGCTTCAATCATTCGAAACATTTCATTCTCGATGTAATTTTTGTCCAGCCTTGGATCTGCCAGCCCTTCGAAGTCTTCACTTTCAAGTGCTTGACTAAGCAAAGGCCGAGCCTGGAAGAAAAATTAGCTATTATAATCTAGGACTTAACTTTGCCAGATTGATCCGTAACAATCCATCAAAGTGTAAGCACAATAAAGGTAAAATCTCCACCGCAAACATGCCCAACAGAAAGCAGTAATCTAAACGCACCATTTGAGAATTGCAAGAATTAAAACTTTTGACTTGAGCCATTTGAGAATTCTCAGTAATGACACGCGTAACTGAGAATAAAAATTTTGGACTTGATCCCTTTAAAATTCTAAACACAATTTGACCCCTCCATAATTGATGGAAAAAGAAAAATCCGGAATTTGGCAAAAAACAGTATCGCAATGATATGCATAGATGCACTTTTGAAAAGAAATAACTCCCACCACCTACAAGGAGATAGCAACAATTATTATGAATTTACCCATTCAACTAGGCTCTCATCACCCAATGGCTGAGAAGAATCCACAGGTTTGCGACCTGTAATTAACTCCAAAAGCACAACACCATAAGAGTAAACATCAGACTTGTCCGTCAACTTTCCACTTGTTGCATATTCTGGTGCCATGTATCTAAAATCACACAATTCCATTCATCAGAACGTATGAACAGCAAGTGATGCCATGAATAGAAAGATTGAAGAAATGGGGAGGATCCTTATCCAATAAAGTGAAGAAATCTACCCAAATGTTCCCATTACTCTTGTGGTCACATGAGTATTTGAATCCAAAGTTAGCTTTGCAAGCCCAAAATCTGCAACCTTTTAGTAAGAGAAAATTCATCTTTAGAACATTAATTGCTATCAAATGACTAGCAATCGGAAACAGAAAAACCAAGCTCTGGCTGCCAGTTATTGTTAGAGGAGTCATTCCATGAATATATGATTATCAGGCTACTAAACGGCTCTTGCTTAGAAGTAGATGGAAATGGGTTTGTGTTACAAGCACTACAAGCAACCACTATAACCCAATACAAGCTTTTTTTCATGAAAATTATGGTTATATAAACAGACATACCTGAGCTTCAAAGTTGCTATCCAAAAGGATGTTTGACGACTTAATATCTCTGTGAATAATGCGAGGATGACCTGATAAACACATCAAAACAAAATAATGAGAAAGAGAGAATAAGATGCTCGAAGGCCTGACAATAAATACAGCGATGGATAAACAAACTTTGCACAACTTTGAGTGAAAATAGCTAATTTTATATGTATAAAGATTTATTTCATTTATATAACTAGCCTTTGGGTTACCATATTGGAAATAAAAACTTTAAAGCATAGAGCACAATTAAATTCAGAAATGAAGCTTGTTTGTATGAAAGATGTCATTGTGTTGACAGCAAAGAAATTCTTTCCCAATTGTTAATATTACTCAGAGAGTTGAAGGCCTTGGAAATTAGTGTGAACCATAAACTCTCATGTACAGGGCCCTCGCTTACGCTTAGTTTCTGTATGATTATTGACTAATGGCTGTCGCATAGAATCAATCACTGTTTGTACTGAATGGAAATTTATGGCAAAAGGAAAGGATACTGTTCATTGAATTAACAAATAATAGAACAGTTGCCAGTGTTTGTACTCGAACAAACCAAGGTCTAGAAATGTCAAATCTGAAATTGGGAGGTCGAGAACAGAAGAATAAACTCACAATCTTCATGTAAGTAAGCTATTCCACGAGCTGCACCAGCAGCAACCTTGACTCTGGTTGCCCAATCCAGAACTGGCATGCCCTCACCTGCAGTTTTCAATAGAGGAAAGCTAAACGAGGCACAATTTTTCACAAGATACTTACACGCAAACGAGAATTACACTTCAAAATTATGCTCCACATTTACCCCAATGTAGACAAGAGAACTACATGCAGTGACTTTGAAGCATAAATTACCAAGCACCATTTGCAGCATTAGCAAGTTATTTGGCACAGGTTAACGCAGCCATCACTTATAAGACTACTAGTTAATAATTCAATTAAAAGACATCTATATCAAACCCAACAGGATATAACACAAGCCCCCTAATTTTGTTCCTGAACATATTAGATTGGTCTTGCTTTCATAATCAGAAGACTCACCATGAAGATGGTAATGAAGGGTATCATTTGGAACGAAGTCAGTAGACAAGCAACCTTTGATGCTCAGATATACAATAACCAACCAGGGAAACCAAATGGCGATGGTGTACTCTACTAATAATTTCAACTTCAGCTTTAAACTCACGTTCCCCTTGTCCCCCACCAATTTTGAGCTGTTTTACAGCAACTTCTCTTTCATCTTCCAAAACACCTTTGTATACACAACCAAATCCACCTTCGCCCAAAAGGTTCTGTTTCGAAAACCCATTTGTGGCTTTGCTTAGTTCTTCATATGTGAACCATGACCTTGAATTGTTTACACCACCATCTGATTGTGCATATATCAAATCACTGCCAGAACTATTTCCTACGAGAGGAGCTGGAGAATAGGGCTTAAGAAATACCGAATCTGGAGAGCAGAAAAAAGTTCATTAGTTTGAATCCAATTACCTCATCCCACATTCAACTAAAGCTTACTTCTAACATGATTTTCTACAATGTTAAAGGCTAAAGGTCGTATAAGAACTAATGGCGCTAAAAGAAAGTATAATGGCAGAAACCAACAAGAAAATAAAGCAATTTTTAATAAGCAAGCTCATCCAATTCGTATAAAACAGCTGCTACAGTTCCTTGTCAATGAAGCAAGTTTGAAAAAGTGTCAGCGAACAAAAATGAAAATGATATCATTCAAGTAGTCCATGCTCAATGAGTTACCTGAATTCTGGGATGAAGCAAAGGGGGAAGGCATGTTGTAGGAAAAATTTTCTCCAGCTCTTCTTTTCTTCTGCTTCTTTCTGTACCACACCGCCATGACAACAAGACTGAGCACCAGGAATCCAACTACAATTCCAATTGCCACAGCTCCTCCAGTGTTTAACCCTCCTTTCTTTCCGGATGTGGCATTTGACGTCACATTGGCACCAGTGGTTGACCTTGCAGTTGGCTTCTGTGGTAAGGGAGTGGGACTTGACGAATTACTACTAGGCACGGTAGGAGAAGTAACAGGAGGTGAAGAAGATGAAGGGACCGAAGGAGGTGGTGATTGCACCGTGGGTGCAGGGGGAGAGTTATCAGCTGGTGGAGGAGCAGATTTGGAGCCAGATGGAGGAGGTGTGACGGTCGGGGATGGAGGAGATTTTTTTGGTGCCTCTCCTTGTGGTGGTGGTGGAGAAGCGGACGAAGGGGGCGGGACCTCAGCTGGAGGAGGTGGGGACTTTGTGGACTTAGGTGGAGGTGAGGCTTCTGCTGGAGGTGGGGAAGATTGGGGAGGGGGAGAACCCTTTGATGCAGGTGGTGGGGGTTCAGACGTAGCCGGAGGAGAGGCAGCTGGTGGCGAAGGTGGTGGTGATGCTGGAGGAGGTGATGACGGGGGTGATGCCGGAGGTGATGGGGGTGGAGACTGTGGAGGGGATGGCGGTGGAGCCTGAGGCGTGGAAGGCGGTGGAGCCTGCGGCGTGGAAGGCGGTGGAGCCTGCGGCGTGGAAGGCGGTGGTGAAGTTGGTGGTGGAGTTGACGGCGGTGGTGACGATTTTGGAGTGGGAGTAGCTGATGATGCTGGAGGAGGAGATTGGGCAGGGGGAGGTGAAGCGTCAGAAGGGGTTGCAGTACTAGTTGGGGTAGTTGAAGAATTTGATGGGGGTGGTGACGAGGTATGAGGTGAAGTTGGTGGGACCGCAGAAGGGGAAGAATTTGGAGAAGGTGAGGTTGTTGAAGACATGTTTGTGTGGAACTGAATGCTAAATTTTGCTTATTTTTTGGCTTATTATATCAATTCCATCACTAAACTTTCCAAATTCAATGACACAATAGTGACTTTCACTGATGATTATACAACAGATGCCATTACATTACAAAAATACAATCCCCAAATGTCAGAAAACCCTAATTCAAAATTTCCAGGCAAAATCCAATGTCTTCTTCTAACTCCTTCACTGTTTCCCAAAACCCCGGAAAGTTTCAGATCAACCAAAATTCACAGAATCTAAGCACTACCCAGTTCACAGAACCCCCGAAAGAACAAATTTAACAACCAAATCCCCAAAATTTGAGCACAAATCAGATCAAAAAAACCCACCATCTGCAAGCTTCAAGCCTTAAAATCCAGATCTACACTACAAAGTTTATAACTTTACTGGGCAAATGCAGCAACCCAGATCTTTAAAACAGTTCAAAAACAAAACCCAGAAGCTAAAAGCTCGAGCAAATCCAGAAGCTAAAAGTTCGAGCAAATTCGTACCTATCTCGTAAATGATGGAATTGCCGCAATGCCGCAATGTTTTCCCAGGAAAATTTGATAGTTTTGTAGAAAAAGGTAAAAGAGCCGGAGAAAAAAAAGTTAAAAACCCACAAAATACGCTAGTTAACGTGGGGGCGACTTCAGAAGTAGAGTGTCTGCCTGTCTCTATCTCTCCGTGACCAGTGAGAGACTCCACATGCAGAGTTGCACAATGATTGCAAAATTAGTTCACAGCATGATCACAAATTTTATGCTTAGCATAATGTAACGCCTTCATTGGCTCCTAGCTGTTCCTTCCTGTATATCTTTTTGTTTTGAATTTTTAAGAGAATTGTTATTGGCATTCCAAAAATCTCATTCTACATTTCAAAATTTTCATATTTAGAAAGAAAAATATACTTGTGAGGAGTGTAGAATGAGATTTTTGGAGTGCCAATAACACTCCCTTTATTTTTTGTTCATTTTTTTCTCCTAATTGAATTTTAGTAATGTTCTCATCAGATATTATTCATACTCTTTTTTTTTTTTTACAAAGATATTATTCAAACTCTTACTTGATGTGGTTGGAAAAAAAAAAAAAAAAAAAACTACTCTTACTTGATGTGCAAGTTTACTTCTAAACTTGATGTTCCATGTCCAGTTTCCCCACGTACTATCATAGGTGTTAAAATTAAAATGAACTTATATTCAATGTATATTTTCTTTGTAAAGCAAAAGTATACAAATTTGAGGGCAACTAACCACAATTTTTTCTTTTAAATTATTGAATTATATTAAAGAACAACCCTTTCAAGTTGTTTTCCATAGAAACCGTTCCAAGCTTGAAACTTGATTTTAGGTAAAACTTATTGTGTGTGTGAAGTCAAAAATAATTAAGAAAAATATCGAGGCGACGCGTGGATTTTTGGGTATTAAAAGACAAGATTACCCTTGAGGCATATCAGAACTCCTATGGTGAGCAGCGAACACTCATCACTAAATCAAGGTCAAAAGTGATCAAAATAGGTATTTATTCAAAACCTATTTCATCCATCCTCCCCACAAGGTAACCTCCAAATATTCATTCAAAATATGATTAATTAGCTAAATTAATTAATTGATTTTCTAATTGATTTCCTAATTGATTGCAAGATATTATGGTGACATAATATCTTGCAATTACACCCAAAAAACCACCAAATGTGGCCGGTTCCCACCTCTCTAAAGGGAGCCGGCCACACCCCTATAAATACCACTTCATTCCTCTAAAAACCTAAGTTGAATCATCTTGCAAAATTCTCTAAATTCTCCAAACACTTTTCCCACAAAATTCTAACTTTGGCATCAGAGGTTCTTCAGCCAAAGCCCCCCCCCCCCCAAAAAAAAAATCATCGTGGGCTTGTGAGGCTCTTGGCCTTGAGCTAAGGTATTAATTGTTTTTCCAGGAGCATTTTCGTCCAAGAACAAGAAGGAAGAAATTTGCATCCACAATGTGCACTATTTGTGTTTGCGTTGCCAAAGGCGCCCCTCCCTTTCAAGAGGATTCTTAGCATGTTAAGCCCTAGTAAGTTTCTTTGCTTTGCATTGAATTAAATCGCATGATTCACCGCTTGTGTGGGCTCCCGTCAAATCTTTTGAGTTTCATTCTTGAACATGTTCCGTATGTGGAAACAAATGCTGGCAACGGTGGCTAATACCTAATAAGCTAAAAGCAAAATGAAAAATCTTATTGAGAGGGTTTTCAGGTCTAACATGTAAAAAGCTACATTGCTTGACCAACAAGGCTTTCACTCTGTTAGTTTAAAAACTTTTGCAGTTGAAGCACTGCGTGGTTGTGTTAATTTTGCATCAAGGGGAGGTGAATAAACAAAGTTTTTGTATGAAGACGGCCGAAAATTATCAAGAATGTGTAAAAAGTAAAATAAAGTGTGTGGATAGCACATCTCAAAACAGAATAGTCAAATAACAAGGCCGCGTAGGACTTGAAATCAATTAATAAACAAATACTGTGAGATCTCATTCTCTCACTGCCAACAGTCTCCCAACAGCCATGATCTCCGAATGTGCGCATGTTGATCAAACGGCACTAAACAATTCTACAAAATTCAACTTTTTTTTTTTTTAGTACATCGAAATTTTTACATTAAGAAAAGAGGGAGTTTGGTTAAACCACACAATGGACAATCTAATTTAGTATCGAATTCGTCATCCACGAGATTTGAACCTAAGACTTCTCGCTTCCAAGTTAAGAGAAATATCACCAGACTGTAATACTAAGTGACAAACCCAGCTTTTAACTTGTTTTATTTGTTTCATTTGCTCTCCAACTACAAGTAAGTGAGGAGAGATTTTTTGGGTGTCGAAAACACTGTCTAGTACACTAACTGTAATAATACAATTGTATTATGACGCTTGGTGTACTAAATCATGTTTCCAGCACATTAAAAAAAAATCCCAAATGAAAAAGACTTGCATAGATTATATTCACACTTATGCGTTGACAGAGCGATAATGATAAACCTATATATATGCCCTCGAAGTTACGAAGGAGGAGGGCTTTTGTCTTTGAGTTGTTTTATAAGGTCGTTTAAATTAATTAATGTAAATCCATCTCATAATCTTGAAATCTTCAACTCAAAGGCTTTGATTGAATGAGAGGTTTGTTGGTTGAGGTAATGATAGAATATATGGCATGCAAGCTCTCTCTAATTATTTTATGTTGGTGTACAACTTAATGTGGCTTTTGCTTTGTCCTATAGTGTAACAAGGGCATTGACCTAAAATATTGCAACAAGGCCAGGCCTTTCTATGAATATGATATAGTATGTGAAAAACATATAAACTAGCATTTGAATATGGCACTTGAGATTTGGAAACTAATAGGGGTGTGATGTTTTTTTATAGCCAAGGAAAAGGATATGATTTAGAGTTTTGATTAGATTTCATGAATTCATACTCTTACTTTATGGTTATGACTATGACTATGACTATGACATTCAATCATGAAATTTGTCGAGTGTAAATATAGTGATAATGATGAGTGCTGATTGTTAATTTGAACGATGGTGGTTGTAAGATGACGATAATTCTAAAGTTGAGTGGCTGGCATTTATTTTTAAAATAATGGTTTTTGCATACGTTTATTTGAAAAATAATTGTGAATGGATTTGAGGGTGAGACGATGACACTAGCCTTGTAGAATTCTAACTATTTTAGGATCTAATGATATTTTTTTTTTGAATAGTGTGATATTTTATACTACTATAATTCATGAAAATGATTTTAAACTGGAGTGCACTGAGAGACGTATTCTACCCAAACCAACTTCTCTAACCCCCATATGCAAAAAATAACAATATATTTAGATGATATTAGAGATTGGTTGTCATATGTAAACTCAATTAGTTAATAAAACGTTCACTCTTGCTTAAGGTCATGTGTTCAAACTCTCCTCTCCCGTTATTGCTCATATAAGAAAAGGAAAATACAAACTTTTCTAAAATCTCAAATGTCAAAGTTTATCTCAAAAATTGAAAGCTGATCTTTCTCGTAATAGAATAAAAACATTGAACTATGACATTTTAAAAAGTTTTCTACAACTAGCACTACATAGTAATGATATTCCTTTCTTTAGGGAGGTTTCAGTTTTGGCTTATGAACGACGAGTTCAATATTTGAATAGGGTTAATCAGTGTTTGATTTAGCTTAAATATACATCTCGAGATTACTGTATTTAACTAAAAAAAAGAAAATTTCTTAGGGGCTAATAGAAAAATGGGCTTTAGCAGTATTGGACTCCTCCAAGGCTCCAACAAACATATTTGTTTCATATAAACCCGCAGCTAATGACCAAACGGCCGCGGAATCCCATTCCCAACGGCACAAACCGCGTTCGTAAGCGCGCGCACTTCAAATTTGTTCCTCTCCCTCTCTCCAACTCCAACTCCGATTTCTCAGCTGAGGTACGCCCTTCTTCTTCTTCCTCCGTCATCTAATTCACTAATTTCGACCTCATTTTCTGTAATCTGCTTTCGAATTCGATATACAGTTTCTCGTTTGTTTTCGTTGAATGTCTAATTTATGTTCGAGGCGTTTTGTTTGCTTGGTTGCTGAGAAAATGTCCCAAGGAGAAAATGAGCCCAAAATATAAACAATGCAGTCCACCAGAGGGAAAAATGAACATAGGAAAGCTATAGTATGTGTGTGTGAGATGGATGAGCGATTCAATGGAATGCCTCCTCTTCCAACATCATTTCGCGTCAAGTCTACAGCTTTCAGTACTTGTTTTTGACATATATTGTCCGATGGATGGATTTTATATCATGCCAGGAGCCACCAGAAACAATCAAAATGTGTCCATGCCGGGAAGATGATTTACCATTGAGTCTTGAAGTGCGCAGAGCACTGAATGCTTTCATTCGCCAAGTTGAAGAACAAATAGCCCAACTTCAAGAACCAAGGGATGGAGCTAGAGCAGTGTTAGGAGGCATGGAGGATGACCAAGGTTCAGAAGATGACTCGGATTCGGAAGATGACCCGGATTGGAAAGGTGAACCAGATTCGGAAGATGACCAAGATTCGGAGGATGACTTCTCACTGAGTGAAGAATTCTGGTTCTTTTTTATTATTATGTTCTTATTCTGGTCTGCATTTTTTCTCGTAGTTAGGTCTTGATTCTCGTCAGGCGTTTGTGTGACCTTACTGCTCAACTATGTAATCAAGTGCGTAACGGCGAAGAATTGGTTAGTGTGGCGTTTGTAGGGCGATTTCTCATCCGAGACCTTGTTCAGGCTCAGTGAGTTTCCAATGGCGTTTGGGTTCGGTTCAGTTCATGCTGTGAAAGAAACACGTCGTTGTGAATGTTTAAAATTTCAGAATTCGAGACCTCCCCTCGTTGTGTCAATGTTTTTTGACGTGAGAGTCGTATAAAATGTGATATATTTCAGAAAAGCAGATGGTTTCAACAATAACAGGTAAATACAACGGATCAAAATAGATAGAAAGCTCGCAATTCAGTAGAAAGAACAAGTGTATGTCAATCAAAACATGACAGTAAATACAACGGAGAACGAAATCACAATCGTAAATTATAGTGCAACGAAATTTAATGATAGTGCCTAGACCAACAAACGTTATGTCCAAGTCCGAATACCGCTCCTGCCTCTCCTCTGCTGTGGATCCACCACAGAAGATTAGTAAGCGAGTTACCATCATCGTAACCATTCAAATTCCTTATCTTCCCCAAAGCGTGTTCTTTGTCGTAAATCCCTTCCAAGGAATAGACAAATCCTTTCCATCCTTCCCCAACTCCCTCCCTACTCAAAGCCGGTAGTGTCCATTTCACAAGATCCTTAACAAAGCCAACATCTGAAAACAAGGCCTCAGTGATCGGCAGTAGCGGTAGCAACTGAATTCCAAGCCTGCACTCTTTCCACTCCGGGGGAGCGAACCAAAGTCCGCTGTCCCTCTTGTTATTCCATAAAACTCCAACCACACGATTTTCCCTTGTGAAATCCTCCTCATACATGTTACCTCCCTCTTTTACGTGCCACCACATTTGCGCCGCCTGAATCTCCAAAGCTGCAAGCAGTGATCCCGTGGCCACAAGATGCGTGTCTCCATAAGCTAATCCCAACAATGCAGCTGAATAGTAGGCATTCACTGCCTCACTTGTGCTCTCCTGATTACGACCATCTGCAAACTCAGTTAACCCGCCTGCCCACGAGTGCAATTTGTAAAAATCAAAGCACCTCAAGCGTGGATAATGTGAATGCGATCGCCTGCCTACCGTCATATAATCAAAAGCGAGCGAATAAGCTTTAGCCCGATACTTCATCCCCCAAGCAGGATCAATTTTCGCAAGCACTGAAATCCCATAAACAAAGTAGCCCAGATGATAATGGTGATCATTGTACACACCAAACCCGAAATCTGCACCCGAATCAGTCGCCCCTTGTTTCGTGACAATGCCACCCCAAATCTTATCATACAAGAAACCATTTCCCGGGAAAGTTCCGTCCAACCACGGCTCAATCGTTTCCTTCAAGAACTTCCTAATCGCCGGAATCACATCCAAATAAGCCACCTCCTCAGCAATCAAAGCCAGCCTCGCCGCCCTCGCGATCAATTTCGCATAAAAATACGAAGATGTTGTAGCTATCCCACTCGAATTCAGATCCCCAACATCTTTAACAAGCGCAGAAACAATTTCCTCATACGAATGTTCCCTAACTCCTTGACTCGAATGCCAGGTGATCGAAACAGGGTCGGGTTTCAGCGCCCACGAATCGCCAACAACGCCAACAAGGTCCCCATCAATGCTCTTGAACTTGAAATCCTCCAAAACAGTGACGTGAGAATCCTCGCCGGAGAGAAGCTGGAGGTGCAGAGGATGAGCAAGCATAAGCAAATCGCCCCATCCCTTCTTCTCCCATCTGTACTCCAAAACAAACGGCTTTGTGAAAACCGCTTCTCCGGAAACCGGGTAGCAAGAACTGAACCGGTCAAGGCTGGCCTCGAATTTCGGGTTCGAATCCGGCAATATCGCAATCCGAACAATCCCAGAAAACCCATTGGAGGTGATCAGTGAAAGGCCGCTGGTGGTCAAATCGATCGGGGAGGAAGTGTATACGAGCCATGTCTGGTTGCTGTTGAGCTTGATGGTGTATTTGGTCTTTGAGCCGTTTGATTCACACGAGAGGATTGCGTGGATGGTGGAGATTGAAAGAGAGGTGGAGTTGGAAACAGAGCAGGTGATGAATGGGCTGCCGCGGACGAGGAAGAAGCGGAGGTTGGAGGAGGGGAAATCCAATGTGATACTGAGGTCGTTAAAGGAGGAGATTTTGTGGGGTTGTGGGGAATCGGGCTTTTGGGCCGCGGAGATGGCGAGATCGGCGATGAAGACTTGATATATGAAGGCGGAGGTGGAGAAGCGAGATGGGTAGCAGATGGTTAGGGAGGCGGAGGAGGATTTAACGGCGTAGGGGTGGAAGTACTCGGGTTGGTCGCCGTTTTTGAGGGCGAAGTTTTGGAAGAAGGAGTTGGTGGGGAGAGGGGAGGAGAGGAGGTTTGGGGAGAAGAAGTTGGAAGGGTCGGGGAGCACGGTGGATTGGGTTTGGGGGAAAAGGAATGGGCCGGCGGTGGCGGGTGGCCTGAGAGTTTGCTGCGGTGGTGGCGACATAGTTTGGGGTTCTTCTTCTCCAGGAGGGGGTGGTGATGGAAATGAAGATGGAGGAGGGGGTGGCGGTTTATAGGGATTTTTCTTGGGTTTTTTGAAACTCTTGGTGATTAAGGTTTTGATTTTTCTTCTCACTTTTTTCAACATTGGATTTGGTAATGACAATGAGTTAGTTAAGGCCGCATGCAAACAAGGTTGAACGCGTCAGAAATAAATAATAATAAAATAAAATAAATAATTTATAAAGAGTACCAAAACGAAGTTAAGTCGATCGGAGCGGATCTGTCCTTCCTACTCACCAAGTTCGGATCACGATTTTGATAACATAAGATTAAATCAAAATATCGCTCGAGCGGAAAACAATTAACATTGATTGATTTTTTTGGGTGATTCGGTGGGAATTGGGGAAGAGCCAAGAGGGAAGCTAGGAGTAAATGGTTGGGGATTTTTTAGCAGTTAGTTAGCAAACAAGGAGGAAGAACTCTGGTGTATGTATATGTGGGAAATTTGGAATCCCCACATGACTCCTTGCAAGATATCCAAAAGTACTTGGATTTGGAGGAAGGAAGGTGGGATTTTAGAATGCTTCATAGGCAAGCAATCATATGACTTATGGTGTGGTCTTGATTCTGGTTTTATTGTAAACTTTGCACATCTCTAAGAATTGTAATTCAAAAGAGAGAAGAATGTGCTCTTTTTTATTTCCTTGGGTAATAAAGACGGAAAAGGATTCGAAGGATCCCGTGATCATGATTGTTCATCATACATCATACGGTTAGTTTTCGTTAGATAGTATTTATATTTAGTTTTAAATTTAAAATGATTTATGATTGCACGATGTATGCTGAACGATCACGATTATAGGATTCCCGGATCCTAGGAAAAGGATCCGGCTAGGATCCTTTTTCAATAAAGAGCTCGTAAAAATATATCTACCCTTTAACATAGTTATTTATCATAGCTAAATTTACTCTTATGTCGACTGACAAAATAGATGATTAAGTGCATGACTCTTGCATGAGTGTAGGGTGAATAAGAATACACCAGTCCTCAACTGCCTAGTTAGATTAAGGATATTATACTCGGCAATCATTTCTTTTTGGGAAATTAATTTGTGCACACTTTTTTTTACCATTAACGTACTCAATTTTTTTTTAACAATCAAATTAAACAAATCAAAATGTATTCTAAGAGTAGAAGTAAGAGAAAATATATCTAAAGAGAAAAATAATGTGCAGAAATCAGCTTTTTTAATCAGTTAGTAGAAATATAGATTTCGTTTTGCCACTGAAAAGAAAATTAGAACTAAACTAATGAGTAGCATGGTCATTAGACTCATAATTTCAAGTGTGGCGACTTAAAAAAGAAAGATAAGTTATTTAAAACACATTGACCTGAAAATTGATGAGTCGGTGAGGGGGACAATTGAGATGAGAGAGAGTGACTGGGTGAGGAAATAGTTTTTATTTTTTATTTTTTATTTTTTATTTTAAATTAACTTTAATTGTAATAAAAAATAAAAAAATTATTAATAATTAATTAGTTTTTTATTTTAGTTGGAGAATGAGTGGATCCTCCTACTGCCACATCCTTATTTAATAGCTAAATTAACAGAAAATTTAACAGATGTCTAATATTGCAATTCATAAGTTGATGTATAACATTGTAATGTTTAAAAAATGAGGTATGAGATCGTAGTTCGACCTATAATTAAAGTAATTTTGTGTAATTTACCTATTAATAAAATCAGAAAAATGGGTCAAACTTTGACTTGAAAACTGCTGGCTTGGGCTAGCCCAGTAAAACTTACGAATTCACAGGTGTCTCACATACCCGATCTCATCTTGATAGGCCCAAATTTGAAGCCATCCAAAAATTGGTAAATTACTCCCAACCCGGTTCGTTTCCGGTTCAGTTCTCAAAGCACACAGGTCCAGAAACCTTTCTTACAGAAGTGTAAAAAACACGCCATGTTGCAAACATCTATTGGATAAGTAATTTCGTTCTTAAACACGTACCAAATATTCACTTGACAAGTAACATCGCTAAGACTATGAGTTGGATGAAAAAAAAACTCTCCTTTTTGTGCATAAGACTCTTAATAATTTCTATGTCCGCGATACTCTCATTTTCCATCACCTCTACTATGAATCCACCATAAGAGATTAGTGAGGGAGTTCCCATCATCAAAACCTTCAAACTTGCAAATCTTTTTCACTGCGTTTTCTTTGTCTTAAATCCCTTCCAAGCCATACGCAAACCTTTTCCATTTTTCGATATGCAGTGCCGGCGATGTCCATTTCACAAGCTCCTTAACATAGCCAACATCAGAGAACAAGGCTTCAGTGGTCGGCAATACGGGCAGGACTTGGGCTTGGTATGGTGGACCCAAGTCCGGTATCCCTCTTGTTAGCCAACAACCCAATTTCCGCTTTTGTTAGTCATCTTGCTTAAACTCTTCGTTCCCAAACCCGAATTACCCTAAAAGAAACTTGTGAACTCGCGTGAGATATGATACCTACTAAGAATTTGGCTCAACGACCCAAAAGATCCTTTCAATTACCCTCATTTTCATAATTCATTTTTTCAACTCCGGAAGCTCTAACCACATGACACATCATGAATGATTCACAAATAATTTCATTTCATTGTTCCCATATATCACATTTATGTTCTCAACAAATAGTATTCTAGCAATATTTCATAATCATTAACAAGTAAACACTCAACTGAAGTAATAATACGATTTTCATCCAACCACAATCTTAAGTAAAAGAGAGACGGTTCGGATTGTTGAAATACATTACGCAATTGGCTCCACAAAATGTGTATAATTTTTTTTGTAAAAACAGTAACAACATGAAACATGTATTTCATTTGAACATCATATCATATGCGTGATGTTGAGATCACATTTTCTATGACGAAAACAGGAACAACATGAAACATTTGGAGTAGTGGTTGTGGTCTAGGGTTTTGGAGCACATATATATATATGTTGGAGTTTACCCTAGTACATTGTTACAAATGTTTTACAAATTTTGCAATTAGAATGAATTAAGACATCGGAGGAAACTAATATAATCTATTCATATGTAGTTACTTTGACAATAATCTTCCTTTCACACATCTTACATATCAAATATATATGTCCATTCGGATTAAAACCATAGGCATTAACAAATGACCTCATATGTGTTCTTGACGTCTGCGTGATTATAGTTCGATGATTTGTTCTTGCTCTATTGCAGTTTTCTAAATGCGCATATTTTCAATTTCTTGGGGTGTTTTGAGTATTCTTTCATTGTTTTGTGTCTTGAATTGCCCAATACTTAGATCGTCGTTAGTGTTGTGGGGAATGTCAAAGGCACAATAGTTGATAGTGTTACAGTGATTAAATTAGATCCAGCCAACCAATCACAACCGATAAAAAAATGAACAATTAAAGAGCCTAAAGAGATTCGTAAATACCACATTCAACTATTACTATGAGTGGAAGCCTTGCAAAGTTGTTATATCGCTTCTCAGTTGACTTAGTAATTCTATTCTCCAAATCTTTTTTGGTCAATGGTAAGGAAGTTTTAACAAATGCATCTGCCCAATTATTTTTCCATTAACATGATTTTCTTGTGCATTGACAGTTCCAGCATCTTCTTCCCCTCATGATCTAGGTGTTTGGGGGAAAAAATGTTGCTTAGTGTTGGAGCCTATATTTGTAATTGTGACCCGAGTTGATCATAAAGCTATGTCTTATTATCAATTTTTTGTATATTTGAGGCTATTTTGATTCTAAATACCTTACTTGGTTAAGGTAAACTACGGATTCAATATTGGAAAATAAGTCGTTGCTAAAACTTTAAGACGGTAGTCACCAGTCGAAAATTAGGATCACCTTCCATGACTTTTATTTCACATCTCTAATAATATCAAGTAAAGCCCTTCTTTAATAAATACACTTGCAAAAGATGCCCAAAACGACATAAGAAGCAACACAAGCATCCATGCAAGATTAGCTTACAATATCAAAGCATCAACCAACAAAAAATATGAGTAAAGAACATACAATTCATATTTCTCGAAAGTTGCTTATGACATTGGGTTAGCATCAAATTTTCTATAAAAAATTATTTCAAAATATGACTATATTTCGACCGAATTCAAATACTTAAGAGTTTGTTAGCTGGTTAGTTGAATCCAAATCTTTTCTGCTTGAGATTAAATCCGTTAGTCACGACAATGTGGTCACTCCCATTACTTAAATCTAGTCTCCGAGCTAGAAACCCGTTTCGCCCTCGTCCACTCAATTGGGCTTCTCAAGCCCAATGGGCCTCAATTTGTTTTAACAAACTGGATCTCATATTCATAACGCAACATCCCAACCCGCTTCGTTTCCGGGTCGATTCTGAAACCGCGACACTGCCTTTGCCTTGCCATGATGCCATCCATACAGTGAGAGAGAGGAAGAGAGATGGCGGGACTGCTAGCATGGGCAGCAGACGTAGTGGGAGGAGGTGGCGGGCAAGACAACGAACAAGACATCCCACTGATATTCACTCAGGACCAGCAGAGGTATGTCCTGGACTTGGATCACAAAGCATCTTCTCTCGGCCGTTCGATCCATGACCTCCGGCTCAGACTCCCTCCTTCCGACATCTCCCAGCGCCTCCCTGATCTCCACGCCCACTCCCTCGCTTCCAACGCCGCCCTTGCTCTCCAACTGAACTCCCATTCCACCACCCGCGAACAGGTTCGGTTTGTCTGAATTTCGATTGATTTTTCTTATCTGGGTCGTTGTGCGATTGTTGTTGAATTGGGATGTTCTGATTCGAATTCGGTGGTTTTTTCTATCTGGGTTTTTCGTTTGGATTGTAATTCTCGTGTACAACGTTGAATTGTTGGACATTTCTTCAAATTTTGAACCTTTCTATTTTGGGTTTATGTGAATGTTGATTTTTTGCTGTGGAATTGTATAGTTCAACTTTTAAGTAATCGAAAAGGCGATGTTCTTCATCGTTGATTGATTTTCTTTCTTAGTAGTTCCCATTTGTACTTGTGGACAGGCACAGTTGAGAGAGGTGACATTGCAGGAAGAGAATGCTGCATATGAAAGGGCTATATCCAATTGTGAAAGTAAAATACAGGAGAAAATTCAAGAAGCGGATTTGCTTAAGAGGAAGCTAATGGTGAGCCTTACATTTCCCACAATTTAATGCTCTTATTCATCATGTATTGTAGTTCTATGCATGTATCTTGATCTTTATTTGATGATGTTGAGGATATCGTACTTTAGTTAATAACTTAATGGAAAGCCACACCGTTTCTGAAATTCGGTGATTACTGTTATCAGGAGATGGACGAGAGTGAAGGGAATTTGAGAGATGAGCTTGAAAATGCAGAAACTGCATTGGATGCCAGTCGATCTGGCCAATCAGATGAATCCACTGGTGACCCAAATACGACAGTTGAAACTGAAAATGACGTAGAAGCTTCAAAGAAGGCTATACTTGAAAAGTTCGAGGAGAGGAAAAAAGAATTGGTCAGTTGCATCTTTCCTTTTGATCTTACAGTTGTTTTGTCTTCTTCCATTGGAAATGCTTGTTTGTATTTTTGAATTTTATCTTGATTGCTGGAAAGATGTTGTATTCTGTTAGAGTTCAATGGAAGCAGTAGTGAATGATTTAGAGGAAAGATGGGCAGAAAGTCAAGAAAATGCATTGAGTCAGCCTTCGCCAGGTAGATATCGTACATTACTCATCCTATTTATTTATATGGTTGTTTTTGTTTAGATATATTATTGGTCTTAGGAACATTCAAGAAAATAAGGTTTACTCAAAATTGGAAACAGAAAATTTTGAACCAGAAAATGGGGTAGTGGGTTTTCAAATCAAGTCATAGATGATGAAGCAATTTATCGTTACAGTCGAGTTCTTTACTTCTGCTTTTTGGTGGGGCATAAAAGAGTCGAACTTAGTTGTGTGTACTGCATGGCTAGCGTGGTATTGCCTTTTGGAATCACAGTGGTGCATATGGTGGAGCATGTGGCTATTGTATAAACTAATAAACTGCTTCTCGGCTGAATTTTGCAATTGTTAGTTGAAACCCCTTGTGAGCATGCTATCAGTCATTCTAGTTTGTATGACTAATTTGAAAGGAATTTATTTTGTGCAGTGCAAAGAGAGAAGATTTTGGATAAACAACTTCACAGCGTAATTGAGCAGCTAGAAGCAAAACAGGTATCTCCGTAACTTTTCAGTAATATTTGAATTGTTTTACTTCTCTGATGTCAGTTGTATATGGTAAAAAAATTGTTCATTGTTATCTCGAGTGTTTATAGGCACAAGCAGAAGGCCTGGTCAATGAAATTCATTTGAAAGAGATGGAGCTAGAAAGATTGAATGCGTTGTGGAGGAATCTTGAAAGTAGCAACATAGAAATGAATACTGCTAGAAATAGGTTTGGACGAAGCGCATCAGGAAATGGATCTGCTTCGTCTGATTATATCCTTGACGGTCATCATAGAAATGCTGATGGCCGAGCAGAGAATCAGCAGAGGCTCATGCTGCTGAGGTCGGGTTTTGTGCTCTACATTTTAGCTTTGAACATCTTGGTCTTCATCAAGATCTCGTTTTGAAGAGTTCCATGAAGACGCTATCGATGTTTCCAAAATCTGTTTGTATGCTAAACCTAACATATCTTGTATCGTAAATGATGGAGGGAATGAGAGAACACAAGTGGAGAGGGGGTTTTAAGAACTTTGTTGTATGGCATGTTCCTTGTTTCAAATATTGAACGTATAGAAATAAAGAAAATTACCTTTTTTTTACTTGTAACTGTCAGTTCTTGGTGTGATGAGAGTACTTCCTCCGTGTTTCATTTTCGTCCCTCAACTTTTTGTTTTGCTTTTCGTGGTCCTCAAACTCACTCTCGCATGGCATTTGATCCTTTCCGTTAACTCCGTTCATTTTTCTAGCAGACACCACAATCACCGGAAAAACATGTAGAGCAGTAGAACCCTAATTGAGGCATATTAATCTGCTAATCTTAAATACAGTATTCAGCAAATTTTATAAAAACCAATTTGAGTATGGATAAGATATTAGTCCGGTAATACAACAAATTCATTTTGACGTTGTTGATTGTTAGACGCGTCTTCTTTCATAGCTGAGGAAGCTGAGAGCAAGCGGATAGAGAGCGAAGAGAAAGAAGGCAGCCGAAGCCAACATGAACACATTCCAGCCTCTCATACCACCAAATGAGTTGTTTCGGCCACCTGCCCTGGTTGCTGCAGCAAGCATACTATCAACAAACGTACTAAGAAAGAAATAAATAAGCTTAGATAAAAATAAAAAAATAAAAAAAGAAAAAAAGAACTAAATTTGCGCGCTGCTAAACATAAACACACGTACCTGCTGAATCTTTACGTGAACCAAGCCCGAGGATGAAAGGTTTCTTCCTCTTATCAGGCATGCTCACAAATAGCTTTCTCCAAGTTGCATCGTCGTGGAAAAGCTTCAAAGCTTTTGAATAAGTATCATCGTCAAGTTCCTCCATGTTCAAAATTTCCAAGCATTGCATCAATTCTTCATCTGCAACATCTTTTGCAGCTGATTGAACATCGTTGTCATTACCTTGAGATCCCTTCTTTGAACTCTCGGATATTTCTATGTCGTTCTTTGAGCCATTATTTTCATCTTCTGAATCTGAGGGAAGTCTGCCTGTTTCTGCTGGAAGAAGCATGGGATCATCCTGCAGTTGCTCTTCTTCTTCCTCTTCCTCTTCCTCTTCTTCTTCTTCCTTTTCCTCTTCCTCTTCTCCAAGTTGCGTCACTAGGATTGCAAAAATATATAAACTTGTGATAGATGCTGATTAATTAGTACCGTCGGCCTCCTTATTTGGTATCTACGATTGGATTGAATTTGATAACTCGTTATAGTCAACGTATCTTGTACGTAGAAGTGGAGGTTAACCTTATTTCTTCCTTCAAGATACATTGACACCAAACGAGGCCTTTTTTTGATAACGTACATCAATATATTTACCATTCAAACAACACACATACCTGTATCTATTTCATGATCATCAAAGTCCCTATCGAGGTAATCGAACCAAGCAATAGCTTCAGGTGAGTGTGCTCTCCAGCAGAGCCAATACGTTCCTTTTGTCGCCTCACGTGATGACAAGTCTCCTCCGATGACACGTGGATAATAAGGATCCGTCCACGTGTTGTGTTGCGTACTCGTACCATTATTTTCGTGTTTTTCACACACAAGCTGGACGCCAAACTCGTTCAAGTGAAACACACCTGGTTGCATAAACACTGAAACAACAACTTCATTGCCACCTAATAACTCACCTTCCAACTTCCAATGGCTTAACCATACCATGTCTTCTCCCTCCCTGGGAATCCCATACACTTGTGGGTTATAAATCCACTTTAGACTCTTGCTCTTATTCCATACTTTCTTAAATAATGGATTATCGAATACACAAAAAGAAGAATGTTCGGAAAGTGCATAGACAGCAAAGATGTTCAAGCCTCGAATTACATAATTTGGAGGCAGTGAAGGCACTCTAAAGGATATTGAGGTTCCTGCATCACTACTTCTATGGCCAAATCGACCTGGAACCTGATTCCCTGGAAGAAATGTGCTGAATATACCATATTCATACAGTCCCTATATACGAATGCCATGGAAATCATTACTATTTAACTTTTATAGGATATGAGACAAATCTAGAGAGAGAGAGAGAGAGAGAGAGAGAGAGAGAGAGGTTTACCTGGATGGGACGAGACTCATAGTCTTGCGAAAGCTTTCCATATGAAAATGGGACGTGCATCTTAATGGTTGCTGTGGATTCCAAGTAATTGCGCAATTCCAACAGGTTGATCATTTCTGTATCAACTTTTCCAATGGGTTCTAGTCTGAACGTATACTCCGCCTCAACTAGGCTGCGGTTGTGACGAAACAAGACTAAAACTATTTTTATAGGATGAAAATGAATCATATGTTACCTTTTCCAATGATGTGCAATCAGTCACAAACACATGCTTCACTTTTGGTAGCCCCACAAGTTCTTTAAGACTCTTGCACCCGCCAAAGTTGAGTTCACAAAGCTTCTTTAGCCCTTTGATGCAACTTGGTAGGCTACAAACTGAAGTGGACTGTAGATTTAATTTTTCCAAGGAAGATAGATTACCAAGTTCCATTGGAAAATCTTCATTTGAGAGATTGCGCCCGCTAAGACTTAAAGATACTAAAGAAGATGGTAAAGAGGTCCAAAAAATATATGAACTTCTCGCAGGCCAAGATTCAATCAACTGCCCACCAGCAGCAAGTACTTGATTCACTGGAATTTCATCTGCTTCAAGCACTTTCAGAGACTCCATGTTCCTTATATGTATATTCTCATCTCTACCTAGCACGAGGCCTTTTGGGAGCTCACTGGCTTAGGGTTCCATAGGAACTCTGAAATTAAGCGAGAAGGGGGCTAGAGCAATCCCGTGATGGGTGACCCACTGGGAAGTTGCTTGTGAGTTCCCAAAAACAAAACCGTGAGGGAATGGTAAGCCCAAAACGGACAATATCGTGCTACGGTGGTAGAGCGGGCCTAGGATGTGATCCACCCTGGGCCAGGATGTGACATTTAGCAAAACTAAAAATGGGTACAAATAAATTAAAAAATATAGGTACAAATACAAATAAAAGTTTAAAAAATATTGGCACAAAAATGAATTAATATATGGGTACAAATAAAAATTGAAAAGAAAATTCGTACGAATTTAAAAAAAAAGGGTTGCAAATTAAAAATGGGTACAAACTAAAAACAAAAATGTATGATAAAAAATTTAGCTATAAATATAAATATACAAAATGTAACGTTTCTAACACTAAATGAAAATATTTAGAAAAAAAAAAATATTAAAATAATTAATGACGTTTGTTGAGATCTAAGGACCTTGATCAAAAATTGAAAAGGAATAAGATTTTAATCAATAAAGTAGGAAAAAGAGGGATGAGAATATATATATATATATATATATATATATATATATATAGACACTTTGAAATATACAAAATATAAATGTGTATAAAATATAAACAATGTGTACATATAACGTTTCATCAAGTATATTTTATAATTTATTCTAGGTTGTTGCAGTGACAATATGTCAAGCTAACCATGCATGTATCGTGTTGGTATTTTAATATTGCAAGAGTAACATCCCATCCGAAGGGCACGGAACGGAGCTTCTTCTTCGCGTCAGGATGTTTTGTGCCCGGATTTCAACATATACAGCAAAATCTCATTCCACGTATCAATGGGGCCAGGCAAGCACCAGTGGACACAGTCAGCAATAGTCATGTTCCGGTGAGGTGAGTGTCCGTAGAAGTTTGGATGTCCATCAGGCCTCAGCAACATAGCTTCGGTTGTATCCATTAACCTAAATTCAAGGCCTCTTTTCATACCTTCCTTTTCTGCTGCTTTTAGCTCCTCCACTTGTGTCAAATACATCTCCAAAGTGTACCCATCTAGCTTAATTTCTTCCTTGCTGAAAGGCCTCGTCCTCGGACAATTCCCTCCCTCGTTCCACGCCCCGTTTTCGAAGTGTGACGGAGAAAACGTCCTCAAAAACGTCACCCCTTTGTAGTTTTTGAGGTTCCGAAGGGTCCTAAACACTGTTCGGAATGCTTTTTTGTACCCGTAGTACGTGAGAAAAGATTTCATGTCGTCTCGTCCGCACTTGTGACACCCAATGACGCGACCATTTTCGTAGTATATCAGCGGCCGGAAGAACCATTGCCCTCCTGAGACGATGACATAATCGAAATTTTCAACCTCAGTTTCCCATCTCTCGTCGGGCTCGTCTAAGTAGAGCCTCGTGAGGCTGTTGAGGCCGTGGCCATTCAGGTCGGCATCTCTAGATTTAACCAAGTAGGGTGCCCAGAAATATGCCATAGTGAAGTTGTAGTCATGGTATACATAGCGCTTGGAGTAATCTGTGTTTGTTGAATACTTGCGAGAAATGTCCTCAGGATAAGTCACCTGAAAGATAGAACGGACGTCAGTTTCATAGCCGGACTATCTTGGAATTTTTCAAAATCTTTGTGGTTATTTGTTTAAAAAAAGAAAAAAAAAGAAAAAAAAAGAACAGACGTCATTTCCATAGCCGAACTATCCAATAGTAATTGAATGCTTACATTGGACAAAAGGCAGAGCAAGGACTGCATTTGATTCCCTCCTACAGAATCACCAAGGAATGCTAATGACGTCCCTCCAACAAGCTCCAAGAACTGAGCAGAATCGAACAATGGCAACTCACAATCTTCGGGCTTCCACCTCCATTTCATGAACTCCACGTCAGGCCTCCCGAACTTCATGCAGTTATGCTGATCAATGATGAAATTGCAAGTTTCATTTGTGTAGTAACCAGGTCCATCTGGATATGGAATCCAACTCCCACTAAGTATTTGGCATTGGTCTTCATCTTCTAGGGTTTTTAATCCACTGGTAATGTTGCTGTTAGGAGATGGCAATGGAGAAGTTGTGCTATTGTTTATACAGAGAGGGATTGTGGTGAGCAGAAGCAAGGTGAGGGCTAGAAGAATACCCTTTTTGTAGGTGTTGTTTGGTTGTGTGTATTTTGCATTAGGCAGACCAATGGCTTGAAACTTCATGGTGGAGAATTGTGAGGCTAGAAATAGATTATTGGATTCATGAAATATGTTTATATATAGGTCCAATAATTATGTGATAATTGAGGAAAATTAGCAATTCATAATTTTCCAAGTTAGCAACTTGTTTGTTATGGTTACCACCCAAATTATGATGCCACTTTTTTTGTTGGGGCATCCTTTTTCATAATTAATAACAACTTTGGACAAAAAGTAGCAAGCCACCTTACATATAATTGCATACACATTATTTGGGGATAATTACCTTCTAAAACAGTTTGCTTGTCCACTAAGTTTTTTTCTTTTTTTTTTGACAAATGATAGCATTAGTGGGTTAAATTGTTAGTTGTTAGGGGGAAGGGGGAGGTGGGGGATCAAACCAGTGCACATGCATCATGCTTTCTATTATTGTGGTAAAGCGCTATTTGCATATTTTTCAAATTCTAGTGCCGAGAGCTAGTACACTATGCTTAACTCGTGTCTAGTTCAGAATTGGCCCAAATGAAAGGGATAAAATCTAGCCAACAATAATTGAGTGCATGTATACTTTGACTCATTTCATATGGATAGTCATCAGGTACTTTATACCAGAAGTGATTGGGTCTGGAGTGGCTTAAGAGTGAAGTCAGAAATGATTGTAAAGTGAAGGGTTCTCAGACCAGGCTCGTGTTCATATCGTCAATGTATGGATTGATAGTGGAATGTAGTAGTGCAGCTTTGGCTACGTGTCTATGGACTTTATTATCATTGCGAACAAAATAATGCACAAAATTGTGCCGGTAGCTTATTGAAGGGTAAACACTAACCCGAAATCACATCCTTGTTGTCACCGTCTTTTGTTCCGTTAACAAATTTAGTCGAAATGTGATTTCGTTTCAAATATGTGTTTTACCATTAACATATGGAAAATGGTGGTCACTTTCAGTCTTTAGAGACTGATAGATGGCACTAAAGATTGAGTTACTAACTTATTTGCCACCACTTTCAAACAGTTGCTTGGTTGCCATCACTTTTACCTTGACACGCAGGCTGTCCAAATCGTTTCTGAAGTGATTGAGACTAACAATTAAAGGGGGTAGTCACTGCAGACAGGTAAACAGGGTAATCTAGTGATGTTGTTATATGAAATTTACACGGTAAAATCTTTTTATAGTAATACTCTAGTATGGGAATAACCACTTTATAGTTATAAAGAATTTTGATCCTAACTTGGGTAGTTATATGTATAGAAATAAACTTAATATTGTAATAAGTTATAATTTTTTCTGTATATAAGGAAACCTGTCTCCATATACTAATAATAGTCAATAAGTACAAAAATACGCAAGGTGACAAATAACAGTTTAAGATAAGCTAAATATTTCTCTATAATTGTTATTGGGACAATATTTTATCTTTAGAGTTCATACCACGCCTTTGAGCTTACAGGTACGTGGTACTTCGTCAACATGGAAGTCCGCTTGGTGAGCCATAATTTTTCTACCTTCTCAAGCATGTTTATACCTTTTTGTTTACATGGAAGTCCTGTTTGGTGAGCCATAATTATTTTTCCATATTTGACATATTCTTTGTTTCAAATAATGAACGTATAGAAATAAAGAAAATTACCTTTTTTTTTTTAACTAAATACCTTGTAACTGTCAGTTCTTGGTGTGATGAGAGTATTTCCACCGTGTTTCATTTTCGTCCCTCAACTTTTTGTTTTGCTTTTCGTGGTCCTCAAACTCACTCTCGCATGGCATTTGATCCTTTCCGTTAACTCCGTTCATTTTTCTAGCAGACACCACAATCACCGGAAAAACATGTAGAGCAGTAGAACCCTAATTGAGGCATATTAATCTGCTAATCTTAAATACAGTATTCAGCAAATTTTATAAAAACCAATTTGAGTATGGATAAGATATTAGTCCGGTAATACAACAAGTTCATTTTGACGTTGTTGATTGTTAGACGCGTCTTCTTTCATAGCTGAGGAAGCTGAGAGCAAGCAGATAGAGAGCGAAGAGAAAGAAGGCAGCCAAAGCCAACATGAATACATTCCAGCCTCTCATACCACCAAATGAGTTGTTTCGGCCACCTGCCCTGGTTGCTGCAGCAAGCATACTATCAACAAACGTACTAAGAAAGAAATAAATAAGCTTAGATAAAAATAAAAAAAGAAAAAAAGAACTAAATTTGCGCGCTGCTAAACATAAACACACGTACCTGCTGAATCTTTACGTGAACCAAGCCCGAGGATGAAAAGTTTCTTCCTCTTATCAGGCATGCTCACAAATAGCTTTCTCCAAGTTGCATCGTCATGGAAAAGCTTCAAAGCTTTTGAATAAGTATCATCGTCAAGTTCCTCCATGTTGTTCAAAATTTCCAAGCATTGCATCAATTCTTCATCTGCAACATCTTTTGCAGCTGATTGAACATCGTTGTCATTACCTTGAGATCCCTTCTTTGAACTCTCGGATATTTCTATGTCGTTCTTTGAGCCATTATTTTCATCTTCTGAATCTGAGGGAAGTCTGCCTGTTTCTGCTGGAAGAAGCATGAGATCATCCTGCAGTTGCTCTTCTTCTTCCTCTTCCTCTTCCTCTTCTTCTTCTTCCTTTTCCTCTTCCTCTTCTCCAAGTTGCATCACTAGGATTGCAAAAATATATAAACTTGTGATAGATGCTGATTAATTAGTACCGTCGGCCTCCTTATTTGGTATCTACGATTGGATTGAATTTGATAACTCGTTATAGTCAACGTATCTTGTAGGTAGAAGTGGAGGTTAACCTTATTTCTTCCTTCAAGATACATTGACACCAAACGAGGCCTTTTTTGATAACGTACATCAATACAAATGCTTTACCATTCAAACAACACACATACCTGTAACTAATTCATGATCATCAAAGTCCCTATCGAGGTAATCGAACCAAGCAATAGCTTCAGGTGAGTGTGCTCTCCAGCAGAGCCAATACGTTCCTTTTGTCGCCTCACGTGATGACAAGTCTCCTCCGATGACACGTGGATAATAAGGATCCGTCCACGTGTTGTGTTGCGTACTCGTACCATTATTTTCGTGTTTTTCACACACAAGCTGGACGCCAAACTCGTTCAAGTGAAACACACCTGGTTGCATAAACACTGAAACAACAACTTCATTGCCACCTAATAACTCACCTTCCAACTTCCAATGGCTTAACCATACCACGTCTTCTCCCTCCCTGGGAATCCCATACACTTGTGGGTTATAAATCCACTTTAGACTCTTGCTCTTATTCCATACTTTCTTAAATATTGGATTATCGAATACACAAAAAGAAGAATGTTCGGAAAGTGCATAGACAGCAAAGATGTTCAAGCCTCGAATTACATAATTTGGAGGCAGTGAAGGCACTCTAAAGGATATTGAGGTTCCTGCATCACTACTTCTATGGCCAAATCGACCTGGAACCTGATTCCCTGGAAGAAATGTGCTGAATATACCATATTCATACAGTCCCTATATACGAATGCCATGGAAATCATTACTATTTAACTTTTATAGGATATGAGACAAATCTAGAGAGAGAGAGAGAGAGAGAGAGAGAGAGGTTTACCTGGATGGGACGAGACTCATAGTCTTGCGAAATCTTTCCATATGAAAATGGGACGTGCATCTTAATGGTTGCTGTGGATTCCAAGTAATTGCGCAATTCCAACAGGTTGATCATTTCTGTATCAGCTTTTCCAATGGGTTCTAGTCTGAACGTATACTCCGCCTCAACTAGGCTGCGGTTGTGACGAAACAAGACTAAACTATTTTTGTAGGATGAAAATGAATCATATGTTACCTTTTCCAATGATGTGCAATCAGTCACAAACACATGCTTCACTTTTGGTAGCCCCACAAGTTCTTTAAGACTCTTGCACCCGCCAAAGTTGAGTTCACAAAGCTTCTTTAGCCCTTTGATGCAACTTGGTAGGCTACAAACTGAAGTGGACTGTAGATTTAATTTTTCCAAGGAAGATAGATTACCAAGTTCCATTGGAAAATCTTCATTCGAGAGATTGTGCCCGCTAAGACTTAAAGATACTAAAGAAGATGGTAAAGAGGTCCAAAAAATATATGAACTTCTCGCAGGCCAAGATTCAATCAACTGCCCACCAGCAGCAAGTACTTGATTCACTGGAATTTCATCTGCTTCAAGCTGTTGGAAAATCAAATCAAAACAGGTTGTTAATGGTTAAAGCAAGCTGTTAGTTTCTTTCCAGGTTGTTTCCAGCAACTACAAAGATCATTGCTCCCTCCATCTGTTAGCCGAAAGCTGATTACAAGACAGCAGTGTGCTGCCATGTGATGTATTAGCCGAAAGAGTGTTGATTGCAAGCTGGAAAGATAGCTGCATATGAGTGCTAGACTGTCCAAAGTTCCTACATGTGTTTTAAAGGGTGTAAAGATGTTAAACACCGCATTCATTGCATGTGTTGTTGCATTGTTTATTAATTTCTGTTTTGTATAAATAGGCCATCTTGCTAAGCTTTAGATAATCCCATCCGAATCCCATTTCCCATTCATTTAATTTCAGCTTGTAAGCTATTGAGTTTGTAAACTCTCTTTTCATATATCTAAGTGCAAGTGTTTTACCAAAGCTTGTTGCTTCCCTCCATTTCTCTATTTCTCTATTTCTTTCCTTGTCCAATTTTATTGAGAGTGAAAGTGAGAGGTGTGATAGAGTTTGTAAACTTATCACCCACATCTATTTTGGTATTGAGTTAGCAAACTCTTGTGAATACCAACAATTGGTATCAGAGCCAGAATACCATTCTGGCAGGTGCAACAGTTATGGCTTCCAACTTAGTGCAGCTCCAAGTTCCCACATTGAAGAAAGAAAATTATGAAAGATGGTGCATCCAATTCAAAGCATTGTTTGGATCACAAGAGCTATGGGAAGTTGTCAGTAATGGGTATGTTGTACCCACTACCGAGCAAGAAGCCACATATACTGCAGATCAAAGGAACACTCTCAAGGATTTATGAAAGAAGGACCAGAAGGCGTTGTATCTTCTTTATCAAGGATTAGAAGATTCAACGTTCGAGAAGGTTGCAGAAGCAACAACGAGCAAGCAAGTATGGGACACACTCAGTACAATCTACAAAGGAGTAGATCGGGTCAAGAAAGTGAGATTACAGTCACTTCGAGCAGATTTTGAAACTGCTCACATGAATGAAGGAGAGAGCATCTCCGACTATCACTCAAGGCTCATTGTGATAGTAAATCAGATGAGGAGAAATGGCGAGAGACTCGATGAAGTACGAGTTGTGGAGAAGATACTCCGGTCACTCACATATAAGTTTGAGCATGTGGTGACTGCAATTGAGGACTCCAAGGATTTGGAGGCGATGAGCGTAGAGGAGCTACTAGGATCCCTCATAGTTCACGAGCAACGCATTCAGAAGAATGCAAGCCCCACAACGCTAGAGCAAGCTTTGGAGTCAAAGTTGAATATTGACAAACCAAATAAAGGTCGTGGGCAGTGGAACTCACGTCGTGGGAGTTCATCCAACCGTAGCCGAGGACGAGCCCGAGGAAGAGGTCGAGGCTATGCACAAAATCTAGGTCAGTCTCAGGAGTGGAGATCTACTCGAGGAAAGGCGCATATCCAGTGTCACAGTTGCAAGCAGTATGGACATTATGCAAATGAATGTTCATATAAAAATCGTGAGCATATCAACATGGCAGAATTAAGTGGAAATGCTGGTGAAGAACTTACAGTCTTACTAGCACACCATGATATCAGTAGCCAACAAGATGTCTGGTATTTAGACTCTGGTGCAAGCAACCACATGTGTGGAAAGAAAGAGTTTTTTGCCGAACTCAAAGATGGGCCTTATGGATCTGTGAGTCTTGGTGACTCCTCAAAGTTGCCAGTTGAAGGCAAAGGAAAGATCAAAATCATCCAGAAGGATGGTAAAGAAGAATACATCTCTGATACCTACTACATACCAGGTATGAAAAGCAACATTTTGAGCATTGGTCAACTGCTCCAGAAAGGGTATGTTATAAATATGGAGGATATGTTTCTCACTCTCAGGAATGCAAGAAGAAAGCTTATTGCACGTGTTCAAATGTCAAAAAACCGAATGTTCCCGTTGAAGTTGAACACAAAGATTGGGAGTTGCAACATCGGTGTAATGGAAGATGGGTCATGGAAATGGCATCTTCGGTATGGCCATCTTCATTTCAATGGCCTAAAGTTGCTGTCAAATGAAGGAATGGTTCGTGGTCTACCCCAGATTGAAGCCACACGCCAAGTATGTGAAGGTTGTGTGCTTGGCAAGCAAGCACGACTATCATTCCCTGTTGGTGATACATGGAGAGCAAGGGCACCACTGCAGTTGGTGCACACAGATATATGTGGTCCATTGGATCCCATGTCTTATGGAGGTAATAGGTATTTTATTACTTTCATTGATGATTTTAGTAGGAAGACTTGGGTTTACTTTCTCAAGGAGAAGTCGGTTGCCCTAAGAATCTTCAAGGAGTTCAAGGCACTCACAGAGGCTGAAAGCAACCACAAGCTTGTGGCTGTAAGATCAGATAGAGGTGGAGAGTACACCTCCAATGCTTTCCAAGCATACTGCAAGGAGCAAGGAATTAGGCATCAACTTACTGCTGCCTATACCCCACAGCAAAATGGGATAGCCGAAAGAAATAATCGAACCATCCTTGACATGACAAGGTCCATGCTTAAGGAGAAGAATTTGCCAAAAGAGTTATGGGCAGAAGCTGTAGCTTGTTCGATTTATTTGTTGAATCGATGTCCAACAAAGAGTGTCAAGAAGATGACACCACAAGAGGCTTGGAGTGGATACAAGCCGAATGTTACACACCTAAGAATTTTTGGGTGTGTTGCATATGCTCAAGTTCCAGAAGCCAAGAGGAGGAAACTTGATGATAGAGGTGAGAAGTGTGTGTTTGTGGGCTATAATGAAGAGTCCAAGGCGTACAAGCTCTACAACCCACTAACTGGCAAACTAGTGGTTAGTAGAGATGTCATCTTCAGTGAGGAAGAGGCATGGATGTGGAACAACAAAGAAGTCAGTAAAGAGAAGATCGTCTCCACTGATTTTGAAGAACCAGAAGTTGTACCACCTGTTGAGCAACAACTTGCTCAAACAATCACAACAACTCCAGTGCACAGAATTGCAAGGAGTGGTCCTACATCTAGTGAGGAAAGCAGCTCCTCACAGAGATTTATAGACAAGAAGAAGAAGAAACCAATTTTTTCTGCTTCTATGCAGACCATGAGTCTCTCTCATTCAATGAAGCTGTGGAAGAAAATTGTTGGAAAAAGGCCATGGAAGAAGAGATCCATGCCATCGAGAAGAATGACACTTGGGAGTTGACAAAGCTCCCACCAAATCAGAAGGCTATTGGTGTCAAGTGGGTTTACAAGATCAAACGCACTGCAGATGGAAGTGTGGATCGATACAAATCAAGGCTTGTAGCAAAGGGCTACAAACAGAAGTATGGAGTGGACTATGATGAAGTCTATGCTCCAGTTGCAAGACTTGACACGGTAAGATTACTAATCTCTCTTGCCGCTCAGCATAAATGGAAAATTTATCAATTAGATGTCAAGTCAGCCTTCCTTAATGGAGTTCTTAAGGAAGAAGTGTACGTGGAACAACCAGAAGGCTTCCAAGTACAGGGAAAAGAAGATAAGGTGTATCGTTTAAAGAAGGCTTTGTATGGCCTCAAGCAAGCACCACGAGCTTGGAACTCAAGGATTGACAACTACCTTCACCAAAATGGATTTCAGAAATGTCCATACGAGCATTCAGTTTACATGAAGAATGGTGCAAAAGGGGAGTTCTTAATTATTTGTCTCTATGTAGATGACTTGTTGTTTACAGGAAACAATGAAGTAATGTTCTGTGAGTTCAAGCAATCCATGTTCAGTGAATTCGAGATGACTGACAATGGATTAATGTCATACTTTCTTGGCATAGAAGTGAAGCAAGGAAGTGATGGTATCTACATTTCTCAACAAAAGTACATGAGAGATATATTGGAGAAATTCAATATGGACAAGTGCAATATTGTCAACACTCCAGTTGCAACTGGATTGAAGCTGTCTAAGGAAGGAGAAGGTGAGTTTGTAAACTCAACCGTGTACAAAAGCTTGGTTGGAAGCCTAAGGTATCTTACAATCACAAGACCTGATATAGTTTATGGTGTTGGACTCGTGAGTCGATACATGGAAACACCAAGGGAGTCTCATTGGCTGGCCGCCAAGAGAATTTTGAGGTACATAAGAGGTACTCTAAACTATGGTCTGTTTTATAATTTTGGTGAAGATGCAAAATTATTTGGTTATTCAGATAGTGATTGGGGAGGTGACCAAGATGAAAGGAAAAACACAACTGGCTATGTGTTTTTTCTAGGATCAACGGCTTTCTCATGGACTTCAAAGAAGCAATCAATTGTTGCTTTGTCATCATGTGAAGCCGAGTATGTTGCTGTAGCCTCAACCGTGTGTGAGGCAATTTGGTTAAGAAATCTGTTGAAGTCAGTGTGTCATCCACAAATGGAATCGACTGTGATTCATGTGGATAACATCTCAGCTATCAAGCTTGCTAGGAATCCAGTCCAACATGGAAGGAGCAAGCACATTGATACCAGGTTCCATTTTCTAAGGGACCATGTGAAGCAAAAGACAATTGAGCTTGTCTATTGTCACACGAAGGAACAAGTGGCAGACATCTTCACTAAGCCATTGTCAGTTGAGCCGTTCAAGTTGCTACGTGAAATGCTAGGCATAAAGGCGTTTTAATTTGAGGAGGTGTGTTGGAAAATCAAATCAAAACAGGTTGTTAATGGTTAAAGCAAGCTGTTAGTTTCTTTCCAGGTTGTTTCCAGCAACTACAAAGATCATTGCTCCCTCCATCTGTTAGCCGAAAGCTGATTACAAGACAGCAGTGTGCTGCCATGTGATGTATTAGCCGAAAGAGTGTTGATTGCAAGCTGGAAAGATAGCTGCATATGAGTGCTAGACTGTCCAAAGTTCCTGCATGTGTTTTAAAGGGTGTAAAGATGTTAAACACCCCATTCATTGCATGTGTTGTTGCATTGTTTATTAATTTCTGTTTTGTATAAATAGGCCATCTTGCTAAGCTTTAGATAATCCCATCCGAATCCCATTTCCCATTCATTTAATTTCAGCTTGTAAGCTATTGAGTTTGTAAACTCTCTTTTCATATATCTAAGTGCAAGTGTTTTACCAAAGCTTGTTGCTTCCCTCCATTTCTCTATTTCTCTATTTCTCTATTTCTTTCCTTGTCCAATTTTATTGAGAGTGAAAGTGAGAGGTGTGATAGAGTTTGTAAACTTATCACCCACATCTATTTTGGTATTGAGTTAGCAAACTCTTGTGAATACCAACACAAGCACTTTCAGAGACTCCATGTTCCTCATCATGTCCACTGAAGACTCGTTAAGATTCGAACAACCAGATATAATGAGTGTTTTGAGTAACTTGAGTTTACCAATGTTCTTGTTCAACATCCTAATACTTTTGCAATCCTTCATATTCAAGTAAACAAGCTTCTCTAGGCTTTCAATGGATTCATGGACATCAATCAGATTCCGACAATCTACAAGAATCAGTTTTTCTAAATTGGGGAAAAGTGAGAAGTCAGCAACACTTTCTCTAAGGTCATGAGAATGACTAAGATCAAGGATCTTTAACGATGGAAGGCACTGTTGAAAAAAAGTAATGAAATTAAGAAAACAAAAGAGGAGAGACGAAACGTTAATTCTTTCTTACATGTGCACAAATATTGAATGTTCAAAATGAGAATCCTTAAAGAAAAGGATGAGAAAAAGTATAGCGTAACATACCTTTGTTCCCTTCCAAACTTGTCTCAAGCAGCTATGACGCATTTCAAGAACAACCAGATTCTCCAACGGAAAATTGATGGGTATGGAATTCAAAGAAAATTCATGCCAACACAACCATCTCAATTCTGTCGGAAATTCTGCATACGATCCATTCAACTGTACATGACTGAGATGGAGTAATTTGAGTTTGTGCATCCTTGCAAATGCCTCAGTTTCGAAGACCATCTCATCCGAATTCATTGAAGAGGTGTCTGCAGGAAACATATTCAGGACAAGACCGCAAATTGTTTGGGTACCCTAATGTAAAGAAAAAGAAAAAGAAAAAGAAATTAGTAAAAGCTACACAAAATGGAAAAAACATACATACAACATTGTTTGCTAAGCATGCTTCTTACATTTTTTTCTCTCAATACTTTGAAAGAATCTTTATGATGCCATAATCTACTACGTTTCTCCGGCTCCTCTGATTCTGAGCGAACAATTTCTCTGCCCATGTCACGAACTAAGTCATGCATCTGAATCTTGCAATATTTGTGCCACTCACATTGATGAATTGTCACTAAGCACCTGTCGACGAGATTTTGAATTCCAACAACAGTGTAGAACTGACACTCATCTAAAATCCTAACAACGCAATCTTTGTCCTTTCCAACAAAGAAACAAGCAATATGGAGAAATAAATCTCGATCATGCTTGTCTTGTAAAGAGTCGTAGCTTGATCTGAGTTTCTTCATGATTTGACCATCTGGAATAGCCTTTAATTTCTCTAACGTGCTTTGCCATACAGTTATACTTTCCCCCATTAGAGAAGAACCCAAAACTCGAAGAGCTAATGGAAGTCCTTCACAGTGATCTACCACCTCTTCTGAATGTTTCATGTAACCATCAACGGGATGATCTTGTTCAAAAGCATGCCAACTGAAGAGTTCCATAGATTCATCGTAACTCAAAGGTTCAACATTATGCATCTCAGAAACTTGTTGAGGCTTTAACAACTTTGCACGCCTAGTTGTTATGATGATCTTACTTCCCGGATAAAAACAATGTTTCATCCTAAATACCGCATCCAATTGGTTCGTATGATCCACATCATCAAGGATAAGAAGAACCCTCTTCGATCTGATGGCATCTTCAACCTTAGATACTCCCTCGCTAACGCTGTGTATTTCCACATTTCTCCCATTCAAAATATCAGAAAGAAGATGTTTTTGTATTTGTACCAAGCCATTTGGTTGTTCCGAAAGTTCTCGGATATTTTCAACAAAACTTCTTCCTTCAAATCTTCTAAAGTTTGCATTATAAACAGATTTCGCAATGGTCGTCTTGCCAACTCCACTGATCCCATAAAGTACAAGTATGCCAACATCAGTAGATCCATCTTTTAACCAGGAATCGATTCTTTTCGCTCGAGATTGAATTCCAATCAACTTAGGGGAAACACTTAGGGTGTGTTTGTTTGCCCTCTCTAGCTTTCATTGGACTAGACTAGATTAAGTTTTTGTGTAAGCTTGTGTTTGGTTTCAGCAGGGACTAACTTTAATGGGACAAAATGGGACTCGCATGGACTAACGGGTTCGCTAAAGGGTCTTAGCGAGACCCCCCAATTTTGGGCGGACTGCTAAGACCAATGAGCTTCGCTTCGTCTTTCACCGCTTCGCCCGTTCTGTCTTCTTCTTCCTCACTTGCTCAACCATTTTCAAAACCAGATAGCGCAGTCTGAAACCCAGAATTTGACCCAAAATTCGAAACAGTCTAGAATTTGAAACCCATTTTCAAAAATCCAACCAAGAATTCGAAACAAAAAACAAAAACAAATTTACAGAATCGTTGTGCATCTATCATTCCATCAGCTGCGCATTAGTTGTTCTAGTACCACCAAAATCCAAATCGCGCCATGGGATCTGTTGATTTTTTGATTTGTTCGTTTTGCTTAGCTGTGAGAGGGGGAGTTTTTGTCGAGGACGAGTGGGATGAGCACTGATACCTCTGCACTTAAAGGGAGAAAGAGGAAGTGAAGATGTGAGAGAAAGTGAAGAGGGAGAGATGTGTCGTCTGCAAAGTTGTGAGAAAAAGGAAAGGGGGAAGCAATTGTGAGAGAGAAAGGGGAAGCTCCTTCCAGAAAGAGTAGGGTGAAAGCCGCAGAATATTTTAAAAAAAAAAATTTCTATGCTGATTGTTAAAAAAATTTAAAATATAAAATTTAAGAGTTTTAAAATTTTTATTTTAGTCCGCACTACACCAAACGCTCATTCCAGCTTAATCTAGTCCAGTCCAGCTTAATCCAACTAGTCCAGTCCGAGATAGTCCGGTGCAACAACGCACCCTTAGGATTGACCCGCCTTAGTTTTCCTTCTATGACTTTAACAATCTTTTTGATAAACTTCGACTCATACCTAAAATTTACAGTTAAAACAAAATTATTAAATCTAACTTGTAGTCATGTTATAATTAAATTATGTATTTTCACATGAAAAAATTATTAAACTTTACCCGTCAGCTTGATTTGGTAACACCATGCCAGCTAAATCGGCAACTTGTGCAAGTGCCGCCCTCCATCTGTTGACCTTGCTGGAAGACTGAGTACTTTGGTGCCTGGAAAAAGCTTCTGCAAAACATCCTGTCTGCTTCCTCAGCTGGGATGGATCGACGTCGTAGAAGACAGGTAGAACTACAAACTCTTTGTTAGTCCTCTTGCGCTCGAGGATGATCAAAAGCTCGTCAAGGCACCATCTGGAAGACGCGTAGTCTTTGGAAAACACAATGACAGAAGTTTGTGACTGCCGGATCGCTTTCTCCAGTTCCGGCTTGATGTCTTCTCCTCTCTCGAGCTCATCGTTGTCACGGAACGTTTGGAATCCTGCACCGATCAAGGCTGTGTAGAGGTGGTCGGTAAAAGTTTTGCGAGTGTCTTCCCCTCTGAAACTCAAGAACACGTGATAACGACAACGTTGAGACGAAGAAATGGAATCCTTAAAAGCTGCTGATCTCAGAAGAACCATTACTAACCAGTTGTGTTCATAAAAAATTTCAGATGGATCGATCGTTTGAACAAGCAGCTCATCCTGAATGACAAGGTGAAAGTGAGAATCGTACAATTTCCATTGACTTAGACTTACTTGAAGGAGCTCATGCAATATCTACCGTTGATATGAAAGGGGTCGCTGACCAATGGACAACGGGGTCGCTGATCAAGCCCAATGGGCCTCAAGTTGTTCAAACAAACTGGATCTCATTTTCATAAACGCCACGGGGACCCGGATTGCTCCCAACCCGCTTCATTTCCGGGTCGATTCTGAAACCGCGACACTGCCTTGCCTGGCCGTCTACACAGCGAGAGAGATGGCGGGACTGCTAGCATGGGCAGCAGACGTAGTGGGAGGAGGTGGCGGGCAAGACAACTAACAAGACATCCCACTGATATTCACTCAGGACCAGCAGAAGTATGTCCTGGACTTGGATCACAAAGCATCTTCTCTCGGCCGTTCGATCCATGACCTCCGGCTCAGACTCCCTCCTTCCGACATCTCTCAGCGCCTCCCTGATCTCCACGCCCACTCCCTCGCTTCTAACGCCGCCCTTTCTCTCCAACTGAACTCCCATTCCACCACCCGCGAACAGGTTCGGTTCGGTCTGAATTTCGATTGATTTTTCTTTTCTGGGTCGTTGATTTGTTACGATTGTTGTTGAATTGGGATGTTCTGATTCGAATTCGGTCGTTTTCTATCTGGGTTTTTTGTTTGGATTGTAATTCTTGTGTACAACTTTGAATTGTTGAACACTTTCTTCAAATTTTGAACCTTTCTATTCTGGGTTTAGGTGAATGTAGATTTTTTGCTATGGAACTGTATGGTTCAAATTTTGAGTAATTGAAAAGGCAATGTTTTTTTTTTTTTATCTTTGATTGATTTTCTTTCTTAGTAGTTCCCATTTTGTACTTGTGGACAGGCACAGTTGAGAGGTGACATTGCAGGAAGAGAATGCTGCATATGAAAGGGCTATATCCAATTGTGAAAGTAAAATACAGGAGACAATTCAAGAAGCGGATTTGCTTAAGAGGAAGGTAATGGTGAGCCTTACTTTTCCCACAACTTATTTTTGCATGATGCTCTTATTTATCATGTATTGTAGTCCTACACTTGTATCTTGATCTTTATTTGATGATGTTGAGGACATCAAACTTTAGTTAATGGAAAGCCACACCCTTTCTGAAATTCGGTGATTACTGTTATCAGGAGATGGACGAGAGTGAAAGGAATTTGAGAGATGAACTTGAAAATGCAGAAACCGCATTGGATGCCATCGATCTGGCCAATCAGATGAATCCACTGGTGACCCAAATGCGACAGTTGAAACTGAAAATGACTTAGAAGCTTCAAAGAAGGCTATACTTGAAAAGTTAGGGAGAGGAAAAAAGACTTGGTCAGTTGCATCTTTCCTTTTGATCTTACAGTTGTTTCATCTTCTTCCTTGCAAATGTTTGTTTGTATTTTTGAATTTTATCGTGATTGCTGGAAAGATGTTGTATTCTGTTAGAGTTCAATGGAAGTAGTAGTGAATGATTTAGAGGAAAGGTGGGCAGAAATTCAAGATAATGCATTGGGTCAGCCTTTGCCAGGTAGATATCATACATTACTCATCCTATTTATTTTCTATATGGTGTTTGCTTGCTCCTTGAATGCATTTATACTGACAATTTACAATAGCCATTTAGTTGTTTTTGTTTAGATATATTATTGGTCTTAGGAACATTCAGGCAAATAAGGTCTACACAAAATTGGAAACAGAAGATTTTGAACCAGAAAATGGGGAAGGGGGTTTTCAAGTCAAGTCATAGAGGACGAAGAAATTTATGATTAAAGCGGAGTTCTGTACTTCTGTCTTTAGGTTGGGTATAGAAAAAGTCGAACTTAGTTGTGTGTACCGCATGGCTAGCATGGTATTACCTTTTGGAATCTCAGTGGTGCATATGGTGGACCATGTGGCTATTGTATAAACTTATAAACCGCTTCTTGGCTGAATTTTGCAATTGTTAGTTGAAACCCCTTGTGAGCATAAAATCAGGCATTCTGGTATGTAAAGACTAAATTGTGAGCAATTTATTTTGTGTAGTGCAAAGAGAGAAGATTTAGGATAAGCAACTTCACAGCCTAATTGAGCAGCTAGAAGCAAAACAGGTATCTCCGTAACTTTTCAGTAATATTTGACTTTTATTATTTCTCTGATGTCATTTGTATATGGTAATAAATTTGTTCATTGTTATCTCGAGTGTTTATAGGCACAAGCAGAAGGCCTGGACAATGATATTCATTTGAAAGGGATGAAGCTAGAAAGATTGAATGCGTTGTGGAGGAATCTTGAAAGTAGCAACCTAGAAATGAATACTGCTAGAAATAGGTTTGGACGAAGCGGATCAGGAAAAGGATCTGCTTCGTCTGATTATATCCTTGACGCTCATCATAGAAATGCCGATGGCCGAGCAGAGAATCAGCAGGGGCTCATGCTGCTAAGGTCGGGTTTTGTGCCTCCACATTTTAGCTTTGAACATCTTGGTCTTCATCAAGATCTCGTTTTGAAGAGTGTTCCATGAAGACGCTATCGATATTTCCAAATTCTGTTTGTATGCTAAACCTAATATATCTTGTATTGTAAAAGATGGAGGGAATGAGAAGTTTAGAACGCAAGAGGAGAGGGGGTGTGAAGAACTTTGTTGTATGAAATATACTTGGTTTCAAATATTGAACGTATGGAAATAAAGAAAATTACTTTTTTTTTTTTAATTTTATATTATATCAACAAACGTACTAAGAAATTTTTTGACATATGCCTTAGGGATAAATATTCTTTTACTAGTTTAAAAGACTGTCTTTGCCTTAAGGGATTACTCAACATGTGGGTTAAAAATTATTTTACATTTGCCCTAACTTGCTATAGCGTTGACACTTAGTATTATAGTTTAGTGGTATTCATCTTCACTTGTAAGTGAGAGGTCTTAGGTTTGATTCTCGTCGAAAGAAAATTTGAATCATATTATTACTAGTCCATTGTGAGGCTATCCCTCCCTCAGTGTAGATCGCTCGTTGCTAACGCCTTCATCCAAGTTTTAGACTTTGCGTTGGTCAGTTCGTCCAATCTAAACCCCCAGATTTGGCCGTAGACATGTACTTTATATTATGATCATGAAATATACATCAACACTCATATACTAATCTCATAAAACATGAATTAATAACATACTTTGTCTCAGTAAGAACAGTGGTGCATTTGAGAATCAAATGCACCGAAACTACACGGTAACGAACAACGAAATTTCGCTGTTGTCGTCTTCAGTTGGGCCATACGCATTCGTAATATTACGAAGTAAACGACTCAACTAATTTTATATAAAAATATACAAGTAGCCAGCAAACAAGATCAAATTTTTGCAAGTACGTTGTCTTTCTCACCAAGATACTGCTAGCATAATCATGATTCTTCTGAGCATAACTCAAATCTATGTATCCACCACAACTGACCCAAATAAATAACTCTTTCTACCACATGCATCAAGAACCTTTGTTTGTGTGATTAATTATATATATATATATATATTTACTTTGAAATACACAAAATATAAATGTGTATAAAATATAAACAATGTGTACATAAAACGTTTCATCAAGTATATTTTATAATTTACTCTTGGTTGTTGCAGTGACAATATGTCAAGCCAACCATGCATGTATCGTGTCTGAATTTTAATATTGCAAGAGTAACATCCCATCCCAAGTGCACGGAACGGAGCTTCTTCTTCGCGTCAGGATGTTTTGTGCCCGGATTTCAACATATACAGCAAAATCTCATTCCACGTATCAATGGGGCCAGGCAAGCACCAGTGGACACAGTCAGCAATAGTCATGTTCCGGTGAGGTGAGTGTCCGTAGAAGTTTGGATGTCCATCAGGCCTCAGCAACATAGCTTCGGTTGTATCCATTAACCTAAATTCAAGGCCTCTTTTCATACCTTTCTTTTCTGCTGCTTTAAGCTCCTCCACTTGTGCCAAATACATCTCCAATATGTACCCATCTAGCTTCATTTCTTCCTTTCTAAACGGCCTCGTCCTCGGACAATTCCCTCCCTCGTTCCACGCCCCGTTTTCGAAGTGTGACGGAGAAAACGTCCTCAAAAACGTCACCCCTTTGTAGTTTTTGAGGTTCCGAAGGGTCCTGAACACTGTTCGGAACGCTTTTTTGTACCCGTAGTACGTGAGAAAAGATTTCATGTCGTCCCGTCCTGCACTTGTGACACCCTATAACGCTACCATTTTCGTAGTATATTAGCGGCCGGAAGAACCATTGCCCTGCAGAGACAATGACATAATCGAAATTTTCAACCTCAGTTTCCCATCCCTCAGTCGGGCTCGTCTAAGTAGAGGCTCATGAGGCTGTTGACGTCGTGGCTTTTCGGGTCGGCATCTCTAGATTTAACCAAGTAGGGTGCCCAGAGAGTTGCCATAGTGAAGTTGTAGTCATGGTAGACATAGCGCTTGAAGTAATCTGTGTTTGTTGAATACACTGTGAGAAATGTCCTCAGGATTAGTCACCTGAAAGATAGAACAGACGTCAGTTCCATAGTCTGACTATCTTGGAATTTTTCAAAATCTTTGTGGTGATTTTCCAAAAAAGGAAAAAGAAAAGAGCAGATGTCATTTCCATAGCTGGACTATCTAGTAGTAATTGAATGCTTACATTGGACAAAAGGCAGAGCAAGGACTGCATTTGATTCCTTCCTACAGAATCACCAAGAAATGCTAATGACTTCCCTCTAACAAGCTCCAAGAACTGAGCAGCATCGAACAATGGCAACTCGCAATCTTCGGGCTTCCACCTCCATTTCATGAACTCCGTGTCGGGCCTCTCGAACTTCATGCAGTTCTGCTGATCAATGATCAAATTGCAAGTTTCATTTGTGTAGTAAGCAGGTCCATCTGGATATGGAATCCAACTCCCACTAAATATTTGGCATTGGTCTTCATCTTCTAGGGTTTTTAATCCACTGGTAATGTTGCTGTTAGGAGATGGCAATGGAGAAGTTGTGCTATTGTTTATACAGAGAGGGATTGTGGTGAGCAGAAGCAAGGTGAGGGCTAGAAGAAAACCTTTTTGTAGGTGTTGTTTGGTTGTGTGTATTTTGCATTAGGCAGACCAATGGCTTGAAACTTCATGGTGGAGAATTGTGAGGCTAGAAATAGATTATTGGATTCATGAAATATGTTTATATAGGTCCAATAATTATGTGATAATTGAGGAAAATTAGCAATTCATAATTTTCCAAGTTAGCAACTTGTTTGTCATGGTTACCACCCAAATTATGATGCCACTTTTCTTGTTGAGGCATCCTTTTTCATAATTAATAACAACTTTGGACAAAAAGTAGCAAAGCCACCTTACATATAATTGCATACACATTATTTGCGGATAATTACCTTCTAAAACAGTTGCATGTACACTAAGTTTTTTAATTAATTAATTAATTTATTTTTTATTTTTTTGACAAACGATAGCATTAGTGATTTTAATTGTTAGTTGTTAGGGGGAAGGGGAGGTGGGCGATCAAACCAGTGCACATGCATCATGCTTTCCGTTATTGTGGTCAAGCGTCATTTACAAATTTTTTAAATTTTGGTGCCAAAAGTTAGTACGCTATCTTGATCAACTGGCTTAACTCGTGTCTGGTTCAGAATTGACCCTAATGAACTTGATTTATTCTTTCTTGGGATAAAATCTAGCCAACAATAATTGAGTGCATGTGTACTTTGACTCATTTCATACGGATAGTCATCAGGTATTTTATACCAGAAGTGTTTGGGTCTGGAGTGGCTTAAGAGTGAAGTCAGAAATGATTGCAAAGTGAAGGGTTCTCAGATTAGGCTCATAGCCTTCACTGTTCATATCGTCAGTGTATGGATTGATAGTGGAATGTAATAGTGCAGCTTTGGCTACGCGTCTGCGGACTTTACTTATCATTGGGAACAAAATAATGCACAAAATAGTGCCGGACCTGCCGGTAGTTTATTGAAGGGTAAACACTAATCCGAAATCACATCCTTGTAGTCACCGTGTTTTGTTCTGTTAATAAATTTAGTAGAAATGTGATTTCGTTTCGATTATGTGTTTTACCATTAACATATGAAAAATAAAAAGAAAATGGTGGTCACTTTCAGTCTTTAGTGGCTGATAGATGGCACTAAAGATTGAGTTACTAACATATATGCCACCACTTTCAAACAGTTGCTTGGTTGCTATCACTTTTACCTTGGCAAGCAGGCTGTCCAAACCATTTCTGAAGTGATTGAGACTAACAATTAAAAGGGGTAGTCCCTGCAGACAGGTAAACAAGGTAATCTAGTAATGTTGTTATGTGAAATTTACACGGTAAAATCTTTTTATAGTAGTACTCTAGTATGGGAATAACCACTTTATAGTTATAAAGAATTTTGATCTTAACTTGGGTAGTTATATGTATAAGAATAAACTTAATATTGTAATAAGTTATAATTTTTTCTGGCCCCGTATAAGGAAACTCGTCTCCATATACTAATAATAGTTAATAAGTACAAAAATACACAAGGTCACAAATAACAGTTTAAGATGAGCTAAATATTTCTCTACAATTGTTACTGGGACAATGTATCCTTAGAGTTCATACCACGCCTTTGAGCTTGCGGCTACGTGGTACCTCGTCAACATGGACGTCTGCTTGGTGAGCCATAATTTTTCTACCTTCTCAACCATGTTTATAGAGAAGCATTAAAGAGAGCATTCCATATATATATGCACTAGATTTTAAAGATTGGAGTCTTTCTCTTTTCAACGTTACATCTTTGTATTCATAAAATTTTCTTTAAGGATAACTAAGTCAAAAAATAATATTTTTTAGCTATACATCTGGTAACTAATAACCACCCTGAAGTTATAAAATTGGTTTGGTCCCAACATTATGATTATATAGAGGTTTTCCCTGTAATAGTGTAACAAAATTATTTTTGCACAGTTTTACCAGTTGTGTAAGACGTCCATCCTTGCTAAAGTTAAAAGACAAAAATTTGTATAGATAATGCCATAACGTGTTGATATAACAAGTTGATATGTTTTGCTATATATTGGAATATGTAGTTCCCTAATCCATTATCATCCTGTCACCCAAAAAAAAGTTGTTTAACTATTATTGACGGTTTATCGACACCATATCCATATCATGTCCTTTAATAAAGAATCAGCATGATCTAGTCCTGAGAATAACATTTTTACCATATAAGCAACTATGTCAGTATAGATGTGTGGAAGCTGGCAAAGGAAAAGGACAATGACAGCCATTTGATGCTTTCCAAATTACAAACAATCTGAAACTTTGAACAATATCCATCTGTATACAAAATGACAGACAAATGAGACCAATAACTTGAGAACAAATATATTCGTGCTTGACGGCCAAAAGACACCGATTATCAAGTATATCTGCCTATCGTATTATATACAATTTCGTTTGCATATTATAATATCCAGACATGTCACCTGCAGCCAGTAGAAATGTATGAAATTGCCCAAATGGATCTCTGTACTTAGAGCTGGCGAAGTGCTGATCAGTAGCTTGTACCTAATTGGATGAAGAATTTCAAAGTATTTTAATTGCATGAAGAATGGCTGGCGGGTTTGCTATATTTTGGTCACTATCGGACCTACCACTAATGGCTTGACCACACGCTATATATCCAGAAAATTTTTAAATAGAATTAAAAAAAACAAGGATGTACTAATCCTTTCCAATAGTGACAATCTAGTGCTAAGAACACGGACTGCGGCTCCTTAATAAACAAAAAAATGTGGGAGGTTTCAAGTTTAATGCTCCAAGCTGGTAAGTCTGCTTGACTGTGGCAACGGATAAGATAAAATTCCTCATAGTCTCTCCAGGCTAGGAAAGAATGAATAAACGTAATTTGCCACCAGTTGTCTCAGAAAAAGAAATACAAAGGAGAAAGTGTTGAGAGGAGGGGTTTGTGAGAATCGTACTCCTAAAATGTAGCAAACCCACCAGCCATTCTTCATGCAATTAAAGTACTTTGAAATTCTTCATCCAATTAGGTACAAGCAAGTGAGCACTTGGCCAGTAAGTAAAGAGATCTACTTGTGGCAATTTCGTACATGTCTACTGGCTGGTGACATGTTTCGCTACTGTAATATGCATACGAAATTGTATATAAAATGAGAGGCAGATATATTTAATAGATAAAACGAAAGGAGCAAACTTACTATTGGTAATTGTCGATCGTCAATGCCTTGGTTATTGGCCCAAGTCGATCCTCCAAATATTCTAAAACCGGATTCCACTTGGCTCAAGAGGGAACATAGTGATGTAAAATCCGAATCGTTTTACATTTTTTTTTTTCCTGAGTGTTTATTTTGAAAAAAAACCCAACAGGGGCAGCAAGAACAAGAAAGCGCAGATCAAGCCGAGACGAAAGGATAGAGGGAAGTCGATACACTCTAGGCAATTGAAAAGTCACTTAGAAATCAACACATCGCTACTAGCACTCTGACGATGACCAAAAGAGAAGTGAAAGAAGTGAGGCTGATAGAACAGAGAGACTATAAGACCTCAATTAGAGAACTGCGGGTGGGCTTGGCAACCCGTCATGAGAAAGTACCATAACTAGTGAGGGAGGAGGCACTGGTGCCCATGAAAAGTTGCTCACCCTCCAGTTGGTTGGCTGTTCGAGGACTTTCTCCGATAATCTGAGTGGTATATTGGGCCGAGTAATACAGTCTGGATCCACGAATCCAAAAGACTCATACCCCTACTCTTATATTTGATAATAGGGTAAATTGTAACAATGATTCTTCAATTTTAATCAAATTAGAGTAATGGTCTCTCAACTAAAAATCAATTATCATTAGTCTCTCAACTCATCAAAACATGTAGCTATAATAATTTTCGTCAACTTTGTTAGAATTTTGTCAAAATGAGTTAAGTTGTAAGAACCATTGTTATAATTGGATTAAAGTTGAGAGACCATTTTTTCGATTGAGTTAAAATTGAGGGATCATTTCTCCAGTTAGATTAAAGTTGAGGGACCATTGGTAATGAATTTTTAGTTGAGGGACCATAGCTGTACGTTTTGATGAGTTGAGGGACCAATGCTAATGAATTTTTAGTTAATAGACCATTGCTCCAATTGAGTTAAAATTGAGGGATCATTACAACAATTTACTCTTGAGAATATCATTAGAATTTATTTGTAAATTAGTGAAATATATGTATATAAAAATTGTTAAAATCTTTGTGATTTACTGCTGTAGTTTATGTCGATGCTATAGTACAAAAGTAAGGGGGATCATCGCAGTGGACATTGCAAGACTCGAAATTAAATATTTGCAAATTCCTTTCTCACGTCCACCGAAAATCACTGCAGTTATATTAAACTGTCCGAATTTGTCTCTGTATAATTTTATCTCATTTATGTACGAAAGTCGCAAGTAATTCAATATTACTTTAACTCCAAAAAACTCTGAAACAAATGAATAATTCATTGATCAAATACGTATCAACTTCGAGTAATTACATTCATCAATTCAATCTCGTGTCGTTTGTAATCCGGAGCTTTTTCTCCTCAGCTGATCTCATACCCTCCATCTTCAACATCTCCAGCAAGAAATCGCTCCATGTATCGATCGGTCCCGGCAAGCACCAGTGCACACAGTCGTTGTACAAAGTCACATTTTCATTTGGCCAGTGCCCATATCTACTAGGATGACCATCTGGCCTTAATAACATTGCTTGTGTTGTGTCCAATAGCCTGTATTTCAACCCCTTCTTTCTCCCTTCCCTTTCACCTTTCCTGTACTCCTCAATTTGGATCTTGTAAAGCTCCAAATCTAAACCCTCCAAACGTGTCTCATTGCTCCTGTACGGCTTCGTTCGCAAACAATTTCCTCCTTCGTTCCACATTCCATTTTCGAAATGTGATGGAGCAAAAGTCCTAACATATGTTATGCCCTTAAAATTTTCTAAGCTGTTGATGGCCTTAAAAGCTGTCCTAAAAGCCTTTCTATAGGCATACTGCTTGCCTATGTCAGTCACATTGTCTATGAGGCAATAGTTGCACCCAGAAATCGTTTGATTTTCGTAGTACACCATCGAACGGAAGAACCAATGCCCTGCAGAAAGTATAATGTAGTCGAATTCATCAATCTGGGTTGTCCATGCCTCGTCAAATTCGTCGAGGTAGAGCTCAAAAAGGCCGTTCTTGGTTGGACCCTCCGTGTATGTTACTTGTTTGGATTTGATCAAATATGGCGTCCAAAATGCGGCCAAAGTGAAGTTGTAGGATGTGTACTTCCAGCGTATGAATCTCTGATCTTCGGTACTTGAAACTACTATTGGATATTCCACCTAAATTAAATACCAACGAGCATTTATTTGTACAGATTTGTGTTTAGCAAAAAATAACTTCTGTAGTGTTAATTTAGCAAAATTTAGAAGTGCTATAGTGAGAATAAAACATCTCATGGCAAGTACCATTTTTTTATACACTGATAATTACATTAGAGATGGGAATATCGAACTCCCTATTCACGAGGTTCGAATTTAAATCATGTTACTTACGAGTTCAAAAAAATATAAAATACAATAATGATTAATAAGTTGAATCACTTTTACAGAAAATTCTTAAATGTGCTTTTAATTAAGTGCTTATATTTGGGTTCCAACCAACCAAATCCAATAGCTCTGAAGTTAATCATGTTTAGCTGAAATTGTAAGTTTGATTTGCTTGCACCCTAATGCACTTAATATTTGTTAAAAGTATATTTTGAGACGCAAAGCTTTATTCTATAGACATTGAGGGTTAATCATTTGTGTTATGTATTCGGAAGTCGAGTGCCATATAATAAGACACAGTAATGGACAGTAGCACATGGGAAGCTAGATCTGATCATCGAATATATGTCAAGGGGGTCCGCCATAGACAATTAAAATTATCTTGGATACAGAAAAGCATTTTGCTTGTATTCTTGTTTTCAACTGAGTTTTTTTTTGTTTTAATAGAAGCGATATTAGAGGGAGAGAATCAAACAAGATGTTATGTACATGAACATATGTTTTACACCATTTAAGCTGTAGACTCCTTTCAATTTACTATGAATTTGTGAAGTAAAGCATTTGGGTTTGTGATCTCTTAAATAAAACGATAATCTGAACTATTTTAATATAAAAGAAGGAGAAATCGAACATAAGCAAATGACAGGGACACTATATTGCCCGTATTATTTTTACCTAATCCCCTTTACCCTTCAATAACATAAAGGGCTTAGGTCAACTACCCTTGAAGATCTAAGTCTCATGCATATTAGGACAAAATTATTTAACTAATCTAGACGTGACAGCACCAGTTGCTATAGGAATTTATATATTATATTTCAAGATTCAATCCAAAATATAATTTTTTTCTCACCTTCTTCTCCTTTTCCTTTTAGTCTCCACCTTTTCCTTTTAGTCTCCAAGTTTCGAAGTCGCTAACTTAATTACTATGCATGTTCATCGAAGGGGCCACAAAAAGCTTTTATCAGAAAAATCTTGGCTGTGAGTCTGTGACATATGTGTGCCTTTATAAAAATACAGAGTTTTTTGGCTAAAACTCAGTTTTTCTCTGTAAGTTGAGTTGTTAAAAAAGCTTGTGATAATCTAAGGATGAACTTTCCCTCCCCCTAAATTTCTTTTAACCAAAAAAAAAAAATACCGATTTCTTCAGTGTATATATAGAGAGAATTAGAGATATATTATATCTATACAACCATTAGGTCATCAAAAAACCTATATTCATCTAAATTATTGAGTAATTCAGCTTTTTATCTATTAGATTAGTAAGTAAGAAAAAAAAAATTCTCAATTCAATTATAACTACTCATTTTTCGTACTACTGAGTAGTCTGGACTATTAAAAAAATTCATAAAACATTACTTCCTAATCAAATCAACGTCGTTATGATCAAGTTAGCCATCAGGTTGATCAGTAAGTCAAAGAGAAAACGAATGTAATTGTCATTTCTCTTGCTAGTAATTAAGTATATAGGTTGATTTACCAGGAAAACCACAGGACAAAATTATGGGGACATTAAATAATAAATAATTTATTTGATAGTAGAGGGGCACTAGAGAATAGAGGGCGGCATACGTACCCTTGAAAGGAGGCATATCAAGGACTGCATTTGGTTTCTACCCACAGAGTCTCCAACAAATGCCATGGACTTCCCTCTAACTAATTCGAGGAACTGCGCCGGATTGAAAACGGGTAGCTCACAGTCATCTGGTTTCCACTTCCACTTCATGAACTCAGCGTCTGGTCTTCCATACTTCATGCAGTTTTGGTGCTCATGGATTGCCCAACATGTTGTGTTTGAATAGTAGGGAGCCTCTGGATTTGGAACCCATTCTCCGGTAAATATGTCACACTTTAAGTTGCTAGTAATAGAAGGCAAATCATCCTCCTGAACATTTGAATGGTCTGACGACGACGGCGATGATGTAGAGGGCACTTGTGGGTTGGAATCAATAGTTTTTGACAAAAATAAAGAGCGGAATATTGAAGGATGATAGAGTTGGACGATTGTAAGAAGAAGTAGGACAGAGACTAGCAGTACAAAATTTTTGGGTGGCTTTTGTGGGCATATTTTTCCAGAGGGAAGCTCATCTATGGCTTGGTGCTCCATTGAAGATCATGAGAGAGAGAGAGAGAGAGAGAGAGAGAGAGATCTGGTTTTTTCTAAAGGCAGTGGGAAATGATGAGAGAGTACTGAAACATATGGGTGTGGAATGTTTCAAAGTTCACAAGGAGGGAGGGTGGTTAGTGATTATTATTGTTGAATTATTTTATATTATGTCGTTGTGGCTGTGTTACAATGAGCATGATGCTACCCTTAACCAGATAGATCTCTTCTATCTACCGTCCTCTTTCATTCGGAGTATATGACCCTAGCACGTTTCAAGAGAACCATCGAGATATACAAATACATGTAATAGCTTCACATCTTTGAGAATCTCCTCAGGATTTAGTTGTAATTTAGTGGAAAAAGTGTATATATGTGTGTGTGTGTGTGTATTATACAAATTATTAAAATCTTTGTGATGGATGGTTATTATTTCAGTGTCATGTTTTAAGCTTTGTGTCGATGCTAAAGTACAAATTAGTCCACATTTCAAGACATGAAATAGCATTATTTGGTCATTAAAATTAATATTATTAATGTTAATAGTAGCTCATGTGATCACTAATCCAAAATCTAGTTGTTTAAGAAGCTATTAACTTCAGCATATCTAATATAATTAATATGGTTTGTGTACTTTGTTTTATATATGCAAAATTGACAGTCTTGCCAATTTTAGACCGGAATGTTAAAACCCAAATGACCAGAGATGAAATTGAATATTGACTGTCCTCGCCAAGGGCAAAACAATGTTATTGGTTCTTGGATTGGGGGAGAAGTCCTTGAGGCTGAGTTGTGGAGTCTCTTTTTGGGTTTGAAAATGGCTTTGGATAAGGGTGCTAGGGGGTTGCTTGCGAAATAGACTCTGCTATTTTATTTTCACTCTTCAAATGTGGTGTGCATGACTTGCATCGCTTGACTTCTTTGTTACATGGATGTCATCACTTGATTTCTCAATTTGATCAATGTGATATAAGTCATATTTATAGGGAATGGAACATGATGGCTGATGGTTTGGCAAAACTGATTTTTTTTTCTTTAGATCTAGGTTGTATTATATTGGATAACCCTCCTCCTTCAATTGTTGATTTACTGCTAAATGATATTTCTGAGGTTGCTAGAACTCGAGCAGTGTGTATAAATCCCTTGAGCTGATGTCTTTCTTTATTTAGCAACTTTGCTTGGGCTTTAAGCCCCCTTTGTAACAAAAAGAAAAGAAAAGAAAGAAATGATGCGGTTGTTTTTAAGCATCATTGAAAAGTTGTCTAATTGCGCATGCCCGGGATGATCATTGTCCCCCTGGCATTCTCACATAGTCACATATTTGGTTCAAACCTCATTAAAAAAAATTATTTGACTTGAATTTTCATGTTTACTCAACTCACCATCTTAATCAAGTTTATTACAACAACAAAAGGAAAACATTTTAATTAAGTTATACAAACATGCAAACATAGAATTTATTATGTTAATGTGGGGTGTTTTTATTTTAAGAAAATGCACCCACCCTATTAAACTATCGTTTAAACCCAAAACGAAATTTTCATGTTTACTCAACTCTCCATCTTAATCAAGTTTATTACAACAAGAAAAAGAAAATATTTTAATTAAGTTATACATACATACATACATACATACATACATAGAATTTATTATGTTATTGTAGGGTGTCTTTATTTAAATATCCTACTAAAATATCATTTTTCTGACCCAAAAAAAAAGAAGAAGTAAAATATCATTTAAATTAACCCAAAACTACTCCGTCATCTAGAATGTGAAAAAAAAAAGGTTAGATAAAATTGAAACGGAAATGCCACTTAGTACTACAATATAGTGGTATTCTTCTTTATTTGTAAATGAGAGGTCTTAGGTACGATTCTCGCTAAAGGCAAATTTGAACTACATTATTGCTAGCCCATTGTGAGACTAAGCACATCATCCTCTTAGTGTAGATAATATTATTTGTTCACAAAAAAAAAAAAATGAAGTGGAAAATGTGGACAATTAAATGAAATCAAATTATTATTAAGGTAATCTTTTTCACATGGAACTAATTTCAATCATCAAACATATGGTGTATTTAGTTAGTTTAATAAGGACATTTCACCTATGAAAGCCATCATTTAATTCAGCCAAATAAAGAAATTTATATGATATCATCGCTGACAAATGCGAATGAGATTCTCAAAAGTGAGACTATATGTCACCTCATGTTTTTTACACAATATTTTATAATGTTGGCATAAAAATTAATGTTAAATTATGAGGTGACAAATAATTCATGAAAAGTCTCACTTTGAAAAAATCTCTTTTAACATTTCTCATGATTGATTGCATCATTGATGTACACAATTAGGTTGCCTAATTATACAATTATGGATTGTGTGCTTAACTGCAATACAAAAAAGACACGTATAATTTGTCTGGTATTACATTACCATCGTCAATATATATATACTTGATCTGACCATTACTTTGTATTAACGTGGTGCTATATGGTATATACTAATTTATCATATATGTGTATGGTGGTACTAATTTATCATAACCACGGCGACGTCTTCTTCAAGACTTTGTGATTGGTACATCAATGAATTTTTCATAAATGTGTATGGTGGTACTAATTTATCATATATGTGTATGGTATATACTAATTTATCATATGTGTATGGTGGCACTAATTAATCATATACATGCCTCTTAATTATTTAAGTGAATTTTTCTTTTTGCTCACCATCATAATTCCTACATTATTATACTTCTAATACGTTCCTCTTTTCTTTCTTGAGAAATGCTACGGTGACTCTTTTAAAGTCGGACTCTCTATAAATTCTATACTACCTCATAGTTTAACGTCTCTATCAATATTATAAAAAATATAAGACGACAGAAAGTCCATAAGGAGTAAACACTTTTAATAGAGTTCCCTTAGCACTTCTCTTTTGTCTTTATTTTTATTGTGGTTGTTACATATATCTGCCATGTCATCATCAATGTTTGACTAAACATGATTAGGATGTTTTGCTAATTGACTTTAAATAATTCTTTAGTTAAAAATCAAGTGGCCGTAGGTTGATTAAGGTGATGGACAAGCTTCGATAACTACATAAGTTTGAAAGTTTTAAAACTTATTGGGCTTATTTCGTGTTCTTTTTCTCCATCAGAACTGCCTCCAAACCAACATTTGCAATTGCTAATTACTATTGGCCACGGACCCAGTTGGTTTCAAGAGGCCCACTTAGCTCTCCAAGGTTGCTATTAACCAAGGATTTCTATATGATTTGTATCGGTTTGGTCGAAGGGTTGTAGGTTTGTAGCCACACAACTTATTGATCAATGGATGTGTACGCATGAGCAAATTCTAAATGGTGATGAACGGACGTGTAGTGTTTATAATTGATGAATCACGCTTTTGCAATTAATTATTTATTTATAGACGACTGACTTTAACATTCTTCTTATGAAGAAATTAAGATCGAAAAATAGTATAAGGCAGATTAGACCTTCCCTAAAACCATCTTCCAACACATTACAACATACCGATAAGATGCTTTCTCCATAAGCATTGATCCTACATATTGCATAAGCATTGACATGTGATCAATACCGGTTCTAATGTTCCACACTACATAAAAACAATAACAAATAAGAAAATTAAAAACTTCAGTCAAGTGAAATCAAATCTAGAGGTATATTCATAACTTTTGTTCAATCCCCAGATAAATCGAATATAAAAATTGGAATGAAACAAAAGTGTTCATATAGAATATGAAATCCGAGCGACATAAAGTACACAAAACTAGTTCTAGTCGTGTAATTCTGGATTTTAGCGTATGAGATTTTATGAGGATTCACACAACTTGCAGTATGCTGGTCGGGTTGATTATTGAGATCCATAAGAAACAGAAGTTATTGTACACTTTAACTAACTCATGACCTATATGATAACATCTACCGTTTGATAATTGATATTAATTTCCGTGGAGGAAAAAAAGGGCAGTGTTATCCACTGTTCTAAAAATCTCTGTTTAGTGCCGCTTAAGTTGTTTTTAGGAGCTAGGTTGCTGACCACTATTCCGATTAATCTATAGACCTGCCTAGACGCTCTCCTAGCCCACCTAGGTGCCCTCCTAACCCATTTAGACCTACCTAGGTGCCTGCTTTGACCTACCTAGATGCCCGCTTAGACTTGCCTAGGTGTCCACCTAGCCCATCTAGGCGCCCTTCTAACCCACTTAGACTTGCTTAAGCACCCACCTAGGTTGCAAATCTCACTTAGACATAGAGTAGAAAGCTTTTGGTTTTTCATTTTATTTTTTCAATCAATTGTAACAAACTTATTTAATACTTGAATGAACACTCACAATATATTTGTTTTCCATATTTTAAATATGTTTTAATACTTTAAAATTAGCTTAATTTGAATATTGGATTTACGGAATGTACCACCTCACACTTTTGTCATTATCCTACAGTCCCATTTGGCTTAGAGACAATATATAGCTAGTACGGTATCTTATTCTTTAAGGACAAATCTAAACCACTCCCCTTAATTCGTGTTGTTTGGCCAACAAAATGTCTTTTATTTTTTTTATAACAGTAATACTAAAGGCACAAACTTTTTTTTTATCAAGTTTATTTATCAAATAATGTGTTTGTACACTTATGAGAGTGTTATACTCGTTACAAATCGATGAAATTCAGAGTAAGGTCTTGGATTAAATAAACACATTATTTTGAGGGACAGTAATATGATGACAGTTAAATTGGTCAAGTTGACTTTAATTTTTGTTTCAGAACTCTTTTTGTTTGAGAATCCCTTAAATTAATTCGATGTCCATATCTAAATTTGTATATTCGTTTGGCCTAAAAAAACAAAGTTTGGAGAAGAAATTTGATGTGTGTGCAGAGTTACTCATTTCAAAATTCTCTTTCCTTTTTTTGAAAGATAACTATTATTAACACTCTAAAAGTTTCATTCTGCATTCCTTACAATTGTATTTTTCTGTCTAATTATAAAAAATTTAGAATATAAAAACAAATTTTTGGAGTGTCACAGATAAATTCCTTTTGGAATGAAACCCTGCGCCTCAAATTATATAGAGCACAATAGTAATAGACTAAGAATAAATTCTGCATGTTTG